CAACTTCCCCGCTTTATTCAATCTGTGCACATTTCAACTTTGCTTCAACTTGACTTGATCGATGATGAAGAAATAACTTGTTAATTATTTTACACCGTTATAATTGATCTTCATGTATTACAAGGACAGATAAATTGGTAAGTTACTATTATATAATAAGATTTACTAAATCGCGTAAAGATTTTCGTAATCTTTAAATGGAAAATTCGGTTTGTGGCATCAAAGCAATATTATTTATTTAACCTTTTTATTTGTTTCAGATATATTTCAAGCGCCATGAAAACGGCAGATCGAATTTGGCTGGAGTGGAAGGTTGTAGGTGACAAGGCAACTTGCCGACACTGCAATCATAAAACAATAACAAAACATGCCACAAGGTGCAAGGAACATACGTCCACCTGTTCAAGTGCACCACCCGCAATTCGGCAGAAATACGTTGCAGATCTGACGGACTTGAAATTGCGACAAACTAGTCTAAGACCTGTAACGCTGGCAGTGCAGAAAATGGATGACTCGAATCAAGAGCTGGAGTTGGTCGAGGAAATCTGCGCCAATGCTGACGAGCTCTCGACTACAATTCCCAGTACTACAACGGCAAAACGACATCATTCGTCCTTCTCGCAATCAAGGCTTCTTTGAATTAACGCTATTTTGAAACTTAAGATGAAAGAACTGCAGACAATCTGGGTGAATGCCATGATAAATGGAAACATCCCATTCAACTGGCTACAAGATCCAGTTTTGAATAGTTTTTTTCAAAAACTGGGCTCAGGATTCGTCATGCCTTCTCCGCGACAGGCGTCTACATCAAGTTTGAGCGCACTGAATAAAGACGCACTTACTTGTGTAAACGATGCTATTTATAATAACCGGCACCTTTCAATCATTATTGACGGGTGGAAAAATTGTCGGGGAGTTCCAGTTATCAACATAATTTTGGCAAATCCCTCATCTTGTATTTTCTACAAGAGTTATGAACCAGGTGAGTACTTACACATGTTTATAAAATATACCACAAATTGTACGATTCGCCTTATATGCACGTATTTGACTATAATTTTATTTTGCACACATTCCAGGGGCCAATAGGGAGACTGGAGAGTATTTGGCTTCAGTAATTAAAGGAGTAATAGAAGAAGTACAGGCCACTCATGGACAAGGAAAAATTGTCGCGATTGTCACTGACCAAGGAAGCAACTTTGTGAGAGCACGACGCGTAATTTCTAATGAGGAAACTATTTTGTCCATCAATTGCGGTGCACATATGCCAAATCTGCTAGCTGAAGATATTTCAAAAATTCCTAGTATCAATCGTTTCCTTAAAAAGTCCACCAACGTTGTCAAAGAAATTAAGAAGTCCAAACTTAAACTTGCTCAATATTATGATGAATATCAGAAATGGATTGACGATGAAAGAGTAAAAGGAAATACGCCAAGATCTCGTGTCACTCTAACCCTTCCTTCGAAGACAAGATGGTATGGAATCAGGGATATGTTTCATAAATTACTGAGAGCAAGACCTGTCCTAGAAAGACTATCTATCCTTCATGAGATTGACTTCACTTCCTCCACTCGAATGGCTTTAAAGGATGACTCTTTTTGGACTAAGCTCGAACACGTGGCTCCACTTTTTAGAGCAATTACTGATGGTAGTTTTCATAAATATTTTATTGAAAACCAAGCTCTTTCTTAATCTTTCTTCATTTTATAAACTATTTTTGCAGTTATTGCAATTACGGAAGGAAATTCGTCTACGTTGTCGGACGTGGTAGAAGAATTTGAAAAATTGCGGGGAATTTTTGAACAAAACGGGGACAATTCTGACATACTAAAAAATGCCACAAATATTTCTGAAATTAAAAAATGTCAAACAATATTTAAGAACAGGACTGATATCCAAAAACTAACGAAAATTCACTACTTAGCTAACTTTTTGGATCCAAGGTATAGAGGTCAAAAATTTGTCGAAGACGAAGAAAAACTGTTGATGACACTTTCAGAACTTGAAGATTATGCGAAAAATATTGGAGTCATTCCAACTGAAGAAGCCAAGGAAGAACTCGGCCGTCAAATATCCAGTTATAGGAGGAAAGAAGGCATATTTGGAAATTCGATGCTTTTGCACAGAGTCCCTCATTTGTATTGGGATAATTTATTATCATTCCAATCTGCGAGTATCTTAGCTACTGTTGGTGTCAGGATTTTATCAATTCCCAGTGCAGGAGCTGAAAGAAGTTTCTCAATTCAAGGAAATGTACACACAAAAAATAGAAACCGATTATTAGAAACAACTGTAGAACAAATTATGAGAATCAAGTGGAATAATCAGCAGCGGTACCCAAAAAAACTGAAAAAAGCGGTAACAAGTCTCGTTATTGAGCCGCATCAGCAGGAAGATGTGGCGTCAGATTCCGAGTCCGATGACAATTCTGACATGGAAATAGCCGAACCTGACTCGGAAAGTGAACTAGATACCTAAATGCATTTTAGAATATGTTAAAAATATCCATGTTTGTTAAAAAATAAAACATGAATAGGAATATAATTGAAAGTATGAATCATTCTTGGCGTTGTATTATTTACGGAAATCATATCGTTTAAATTTAATCTGGAGGTTCTAAATGTCATAACTGACATGTCATAAATGTCATATTTGTCATATTTGTCAGACATTTATCAATAATGTCAATGTCAGACATTTATGACAAATATGACACGACATGACAAATATGACATGACGCGACATTTATTTCTTGACACGGACATTGTAGAACCCTACCCACAACCTAAATGTTACATAACTTTATTTAGAGTGAATAGAAAACCCATTGAGTTCAATTAGGAATTTATTTTACAGGGTCCTTGTGGTCATGGTGGCCAGCCGTGTGAGAGTTCGAACTATTGTTGCAGCGGGTATTGCGCTAGCAAGGTTTGCATGCCTTGAGGGAAAAAAGTTACAATGCGCAGCTAGATTTTTCCACAAAAATAAAAAAAGCATACATTACACAAAGAATACAATGGGTCTTTGACAAACATAAAATTGCAAATAAAGCTACTTACTTCGAAAACCCTATAAAAATAGTTTAAATTGTTATATGCAAATTAGTAGGCATGTACATAAATCGTAATTTTTGATATTTACATTGTGGAGCTAAGGTGGATTAAATCTGGTATGCTAATTCATAACGTTTGATCATTAGTTGGATATAGGGGCACAGGTTTAGACAATCCGAGTTTAGATAACTGAAATATAGAACGTCAACTTTTATATTTTTGCATACATAAATATTTAGAATATTTTTACTATAAATAAGGTAGTCTTAGTCCTAGGATTTGCATAGATTTAATTTTTTATTGAGATAACAAAAGATTATGAGCTACATGTCAAGTTTAACGTTACGTTACAGTTTATCAAAGATCAAAGAAGTGATCATTCCCCTAGCGCATCTTCGATTATAACCACGGTTACTTTTTTATGCTAGTTCTAATTTACTATTCATGAAAATAGGAGTGCCTATTACAAATTTAATATGTTTTAATTAGTTGGTATGTAACAATTATCCATTGAATTACATAAATATGATCCCTATACCCGTTTCGACGAACCAGAATCATAAATGACTCATCAATTATTAACTTCAATTTCAATTCATTCACGAATTCACTTCAATTGACAAACATACATATGCATTTATAGCTCTGATTGCAAGTACACACATATTTATACTTTCTGTTCCAATTTAGTTAACTTTAAAGTTCAGTCAGAACTGTAATACATTTACTGATATATTTTAAGATCGTGATCGATCGTGCACGTTTGAGTACCTTTTCTTTATTAATGAAATGAAGTAAAGCCTTTAGGAATTTAAGGTTAAAAAACAAATTACAAAATACAGCAATTAGGTCCATAACAGCGCAGTAATGGTATAATCCACAATTGCATAGCAAAACGTGGACTTTGTCGAAACGCACAAATGGTAAAAATTAAATTTAAACAAGCCCGCATATACTGTCACGGCTTTACACGTTTTCAACCTTCTCCTTAAATACCGCCGATCACAGCTGTGTCTCACCTCCACGCGCCAACTTTGCAGAAGAGCTTCCGCATTTTCAAAAATGCTAATCGCCAGTGGTAACAAGATTTGAATAACGACCGGGATAATTCCCGCCGACACGGGACACACGAGATAATACGGCATCGGGAGAACTGATCGCATTTTGACCGTTAAAAAATTCAAAGTCACACTTAAAAGGAGACCAAGAATCATTAATACCGAAGCTGCCGTGGAGGACACTTCATGAACAACTTGTAGGATTATTTCCAAATAATTATATATTCTCAAAATTTCCAAACTTTTTATCCTACTCATCGCAATTCGCCCCGAGTTTTCTTCCAGGTAGGACATGATACCTAAAATGATGTGAATTCCAATGGCAAAAATACAAATTCCCAGCGGAAAAAGGCGCATCAGCTCAATCGCGGGAATTATGTATGTAACACGCATAGTGTAAACGAAATATTTGGCATAACCGTCGCAGTCGTAGACATAGGTGCATCCTATTGTTAACGTGTCCCTGCCAAAGTATTGGGCAAAAAAGACGTTAAAAAATGGAAAGATTGCGATTATCAGGACGCAGATATTCAGCGAGATTCCAAGTGTATCAATGTAGTATGGACCAAGACGTAATCCAGTTGTAATAGAAATTTGCGAAATAATTTGCAAATTTGTCACACCCATCGAATTCCTCACCTGGCTTGTTAAACTTTGCGTCGAGTTTCGACAGACAGTTGAAGGCAGCCACAGATTGCTTTGCTTGCAGCACGAGCATCAACTCCATCCCGATTCCGAACATGATCAGGATCATCATGGCGATCGTGATGAGCGTACATACATATGAACATTTTTCTTAAACATGTTGGCGTTTTTTTTGTAAATATTAAACCCATATTTGAGCGATTTTTACAAATACATGATAATGACATTTATTGTGAAGCTCTGTAACATTCGCACTGCGAAAGATCGTAATGTGCGAATTTCGCATATTACGATCTATCAAAAATCATGTTTAGCAGGGTATGCAGACCACCGTCTGCATCCAACTCTTTTTCCAGATCGGCTAAGAATACTTCATCATTTTCAGCCAGACCGCCCACCGCTTTTGGGACGCCTTCCACCGGCACGTGTTCAAATATGGGCGAAATGTCGTCCGAACATACGTGAATCTAAAAAAATTCAGCAACTTGATTTCACTATAAATCGTGTAAAAAAAATAGCATTTTACCCACCATTTTTCGCATATCATACGGAAGTAGCCACTTAACAAAGGAGTAAGTTTTCTCAAACAAGATTCCGCTATTTCTAAAAATCACGCATTTTGTCACATTTTTGGGCAGTGCATTATACAGCCTGATACTGATTAAAGTCTCTCTGAAGCTGAATATTTTCGCGTGTGAAGTGGAGAACCCTTTAGTATCAAAAATATGCAGTAAAGTGGGAGGTTCGCTGCGTGATTTTGCGGAACATCTCGGGTCGCGATGGGCAATTTTTAGGGCTGCGTACAAGTAAAATGCGAATATTATTCGCATTTCAGGATTAGGTATTCGTGTTGGATCCCAATTTGCTAAATAAACATTAGAGCAAATTGTGCATATGTAAATCTACGTATTTGCACACATGTATTTATGTATATATTTCACAAAATGAAGAATTTTACCCGCCTCGAATAGAAGGATGAGTGAAAGTTTCCCATCGTCCCCGAAATGTTTTATAATTCGCAATAATTTTGCTTTGCGAAAAGTAGAGATCAATTGGGTAGGGGTAATTCCTTTATAAAAATTTGGATACGTGACAGAGCCCAAGTGGTGCAAGGTTTTAACCTGTGTAAAAAAATAAATCTTTGTAAATTCATAACCGGGTGAAACAATTTTTTGGTATTAATCCCATAATTACTGTTTTAATTAGAAGGACGGGATCCATAGAACAGATGCCAAGCCCGTGTAATACAAGTTCTTGATAAGGGGCGAAAATTTTAGCCACATTTTTCAGTACGTCGTCATCTATAAAAAATTATTTATGTGTTGTAATAATGTTATCTTTGAACCCTGAAATAGTGGGGGTATTCATTACGAGTTCGCAACATAAGTTTGAAAAAATTGAACTACTTAAATATGTACTAGCCTCGGAGATGTGTAAATTCGCCAATTATAAATTTGCAAGCCAAAACTTTTTGCGAACTCTTAATGAATACCCGCAGTTTTTACCTTTTGCCAATTTAAAAACTTCTTCAACCGAAGAAACTTCCTGTTTGGATATGGCGCTCATTGTTTAGGTGTTTTAGTAAAGAAGGAGGTTGAAATTAGTTTAACTTTAGTGTATTTCCTACAAATCCCATTATTCGACTAGTAAGACGATGACCAGCAGGATTTTTTCCGTGGTTGTGAAAATTTAATTTTTTCATAGTAAAGGCATCGCAACGATGAGAACCCGTGAGAACTTGTCCCGCCCGTGGCGTATGTACACAGATGAAATACTTGATAAGTACATAATGCGTACATATCTATTACACACATGGATACATATTTATACATATACATATTTATATTCTTATGTCGGTTATTATATTAACACAAGGTATGTATGTACATAGTTACACACCTGCATAAATACTGGACATACTTACTCGCATATATATTTTGAACTCGTGTAAAAATTCATAATCAGGTTGTGCAAGAACAACAAACTGTGAAGTTAATTTTTTCCGACAACGAAAATCAGTCCTTTACTATGCGTACAAGAAAGATTCCCGATTACGCTAAAAAAAAGATATGTACGTACATATGTATGTAGATAGATGTGTACAGTGTGGAGCCAAATTATTTTTCGACTTATAAGTATGTAAAAGCTGTTCTACATATGTACTTTACATAGATATTATCTTTGATAACAGCTTGAAAATTTGCAAAGTGATAACTCGGAAACATTGAGGTTGTATGGGGTTCCTTTTTCTGAAAAGTAAAACGGTTAAAGCTCATAATTTGTTATTATTTTTCAGCTCAGCTACTTATCACTAGTAATTTTGTTCCTTTTCGGTTTTATTTTTTGAGTGGATAGCCCTGAATATTTCAACATATTTACATTTCGAGATTTATTTTTGTCATTAGCCTTGGATAAGGTTACTCCGACTTGCATAATCATATATAGGCACATGCAAAGTTGTTTTTCTTATGCTTGTTTGCGCAAAGAAATGTACCACTTCCATAAATACATAAGTACATATGTATGTATGTGGCTGGAAATTAAATTAAGGAAATTTATAAATTATGCAAATAAATAAGCGCGTACATGCTTACCTAGCATTTAAACCGATTTCCTTCTAGTATTAAGAAGCAATTGTTTTCCTGCCCAAGACGAAGAAAAGGCTGGACATTATTAAAGATAAATTAAGCAGATAGTGAAAAATTTATGTGAAAGTATACCCAGTTTAGTGGATATTTTTCTCAATAAAGTTTATTAACGATGCCCACAAATTTAATTAGGAAGTAAATACACTGTTAGAAATTTAGCATGCTAAGGCAAGTACTGGTTTCTCGGTATTAAAGTTTATACCGGTCCGTAAAAATGCGCTACCAATATGGTAAAACTGCAATACTGAGCTATTACTACATATACTTATCAATACCCACTTTGGTAGAGTCATACACGAATACCGCTTGGTATTATTTTAACACTAGATTTCTAAGAGTGTACATATGCCTACGTTTACAAATAAAACTTAACATTGTCCCGGCTTCGTTATCCCAGAACAATATTATTTTTAGTCCTTCCATACTTTCGAGAGGGGAACGTTTTCACGTGAACAAAAAATGTCCCTGGCACGATACGTTCGACACATTCTTGTCCCACGAGATTGGACGGAATCCTTTACTGAACTCTTGAACGTGGCATATTTCCTGGTTTCGCTGACCTTCGTGACCACGAAAGAAGGACATTTGGCCGTGACGAGGAAAACCTGGAGAATTGCGTTCCTCTGGGGAATGCTGATAGTTTCGACGATCGACAGTTTCTACAGGGCCGTGGTTTGTGGCAAGGTCAACTACAAGGAGATGAAGAGCAAGGATATTATGCAGATGTACATCGAACTCTTCTCCAGATCGGGGGCGACGATCTTGTCGTGGGACATATTCGTCAAGATGGAGACACACGCAAACTTTGTGAACCATATTTTTAATATGAATGAGAGACTAGCTGGTAATTGGAAGAATTTTTCATCACATAAAAATTACGAATTACAAATGGGAAAAATTACAAATCAAATAGGCTGAAGGTTCCTAAAATAGTACATCTTCCTGCCAATATTTTAGTTCATGCGGTATAGCAAAAGTAACACTACCCAGTCACCAGTGGAGGTCCATATCCCGATTTCTGTCAATTTTTTTCTGTGTACAGAAATTTATATTTCTAACGTCCTTGAAATTTTCGATTCGCACTTTCCATGAGAGTTGCTAATTTTTTTATGATCTGTCTCGATACATGCTGCATTAAATTAAATCCAGACTATAAATTTTCAGATTTTTTCCTAATAAAATTTCAGTTTGTCCTGATCAGTAATGTTTTCTTCTCTTTGATTTTAGCACCATCGGTATTTTATCAAACTAGGGCGGCAACATGGAGAGGAATGCGTGGGATGGATATCTACATTTTTGTGGCGTGTGGTCCTGTCAGTTACGTGTTTCCACTCGTAGGCTCGATCGGAGCTCATCTTCAGGACAGACACAGTCCTCGGTACTGGGGCGCCATGTTGCTTCCACGCTGGATGTACGACTCACTGTTTGGCACCATTTCGTACGCTACGTTCGAACTGTTCGTCGTTTACTCGAACGGGTACAGCGTCTTTTTCATTATGAGCGTAGGAATTGCGTATGCAACCCTGATGCTCACTTGGGTTCAAGGACTAAATCTGAAGTCAAGGTTAGTAAAAAAAATATTTACTTTTAATTATGAAGTTTTGTGAAATTTTGCGAGATTTCGCAGAACTTTTGCTGGAAAACCATGAACATTTTTCGCAAATGAGCATATTTTTATTTCGCGAAATTATTTCGTAAATTCACTCTCACCGATATATAACACAAATCCATGGAAACAATATAAAAATGTGTTTTTATGTATAAGTAATTTTGTGAGATTTATAAGATATGATACTTTTTCCGAAATATTATTTTGCAAATCTCCTGACGACACAAATTTTTTTATTTTGGCAAATTTGTTAAATGAGGTTGCGATGCGGTATGTTTGTAAAGGATTATGCATGCAAAATGACTTTAAAAATCGTACGAATCTTACAATATTACTATTGTGCCATTATTCCGCAGGTTTAACTACTCTACCGACCGTCGCCTAGAGTTGTATCAAGGTCTAGAAATCCTGAACAATGTAGCCAGCGTCTGCTACTCCCGAGTTTTATGGCCAGCCGGCCAGAACACGATTTTGATATGTCACGTTACCATCAACGTGATCTTAATTTCGATGCATGATGCAATTCCTCTCGGTCTTCTGGGTATGCTGATCACCACGCTCGTGATGCTCCTCCTCTTTGAAAGAAACTGCATCAAGGCATGCGCAGAAATGTATGAAGAGTCGAGAAAGTTTAAGCGCCTAATTGCTGCAAGGGGACATCTGAGACAGAGAAAGGTCGCAAGGTCGCTACGACCTCTCAAAGTTTTTGTTGGATCATACTACTACTTTAAAATGAGCACTTTCATGACTTACGTTAATACCGTGGTCGATTACACGATTGATTTCTTAATTGCAAGTAATTAGAGCATACGCGTACTTTATAACGATGTACATACTCTTTATCCATGCAACTTTGAGCCGTGGCTAAATACTGAGCAATGTTAAAAACGGGGGTTTCTTATGGAGCTAGATTTAGCCACGGCTCAAAGTTGCATGGATAAAGAGTATACATACATATGCATTTAGTCCAAAATATGTAAACAAGCACCTATGTAAATTTGCATGAAAGTATCTAAAACTTCATTTAAACTCCTGTGAAATTATTGATTTCAACAAAATTATGGAATTAATTAAATAAAATGCGTGGAACTATGTACTTACTAACGTTTAGTGATATTTGAAAAGATTTGATTTACTTACCATAAACCTCGCCAAACAATAACACATTTTATTATTTATTTATTTGTCGAATATTCCATGTCCCGTAATTTCATAATTCAATTTTAGTTCACGTGTACTGATATTTTTTATGTTGAGGTAATTTCCCCATGTCCCTGAATTTTCTAAAGGTCTTGGGCTTCTTTGGAACCCAAGCGTATTTATGTACACAAGTACAGTATATATATGTAAACATGTTGTGTTGTAAAATGCGCATAATTTTTTGTACCAAGGAATACGGTGCAAAAGTAAAATTCAAAATACAAAATCAGCACTTTTGAAATTGAGGTGGCATGTAAATTTTTTTATCTTTAGCTACTGACATTTGTACATACATGATGTTTCATGAAATTGTATGGCTTTACATACATGCTAATGAACTTAGACACAAATTATGTCGCTATGGATATCAAATATTTGATATCCATGTAAAACTCTTATTGATTAATCCCAAGTGACGTACTAATCATGCGTACAAATAACCATACATATGTATGTACGCGCATGTACCTTGTTGTGAGCAACTAAAAGTATATTTTTGAGCTGGTTTTAACCGTGGATGAGGCATATTTAATGGACATGATTTTGCGAAACCATGGCTGATAAATATGTCTGCAAATGAAGCCCAATTAAGCCAAGTTGGCATCAACGTCTGTCACTCTGTCAATTTTCGTCGAGTGAGTTTAGGAATATATGTATATATGTACATACATACATACATAAGGTAGATAATTACTCAAGCTATACTATTGATTTGACGCTTTTATTATTTAATATTAGAACATAGTGTTTGAATATTCGATGAAGGTACCAGTTACATACAACAAGTTGAACTTTACATTTTAAAGATATTTGCATATATATGAAGTAAAGTTATGCAACAACGGGAAAGTTTTAATTGGAGGTATTATATTGCACGTATTTATATTTGACTAACTGGTCGATGTTTCCTGACAATTTTGCTAGTACTATTCTAGTGAATAAACATTTTATAGAAGCCATAGTGAACCATTTATTATGTCCTGACTCTCATGGAGGAAATAAATCTGTCTGGCAGAGAAATCAAAATTGTCGGGGTGGTAAGTGCATGCTTATCTGTGTATGGCAAACAAACTATGTACAATATTATCATTTTAATAATTGGCTGAGCATAAGACTATAAAAACATAGTTTTAATTTTTTAATAAAGTGTTTAATTTTTTAGAATGAGAAAGGAATAGCGAGCATTTCGAAATTGACCAACGACCCGACGGCAGTTAATTTCAACACAGTTGTTCATTTGATACTGGAATTGCAGTTCATGATGAGTTTCGAGTAATCCACATACATATAATTTTCTACACTCTAAAAAATGTAATAATAGGTGTGGTGATAACGTGGCTAATCGAATGTTGATAAATAACCGTTATCACTACCACCCAGTCAGATGCTGTCATTATCAATTTTCTTCTACAATGATAATTTGGGGCTATTAATTATTTGCAGGCTTAAAGTTATCGAAGTTGCTGACTACTTTCCTGAAGCTGACATCGTGTTCAATGTGACCAATTCCAGCTTGGCATATCAATTAATTACCGGCAACTCTGATATCGCTATTGGCTACTTGTACCATGTTCTACCCCGGTTGAGATTTGGGAATCCAATTGTACCGTTTTACACGGAAGAGTGAGATTTACTTAAAATATTAACAAATCTTGGCCAAAATAAGGAATTGTAGCAACCTCATATTATTGTCAAACAGGATTTATGCCTTATTCCAGCAACCTCACAATCTTATGGAACAGAGGAACGTATTCACAAAACCGTTCAAGCCTGATCTCGCCATTGGCATGGCGGTATTATTCATTGCAATTGGAACATTAGTAGAATTATCTGAAACGATGAAAACTGATCTTATCCGCTCGTTATTAACGTTGGCCAAAGGGTGTGGTTGGGCCGCTGCAATAGTGGCCCGACAAGGTTGGGCAAATTGATACAGAAGATGGTTGTAAGAATTAGTCTATTTTGTAAAACCGTTTTTCCAGGCGCAACTCAGGACTGGACTATGCGGCGTGATTACATAAAGTTTATGCTCCTCTTGGGAATGATGTTATCATTTGCGCTAAATGGATATTACTCTGCCGCAATTCTCTCCTACTTCAGGACAGATGAGGAAATAATTCGCAAATTTTCGCACCTTGTACCAGCCGGGTTCAGTATTGATGCCTTCACCAGTGTCAAGTCAACGTTCCCCAGAGACTCAGGAAATGTTAGGTTACATTGTTATTGTTACGTATTTCAAATGTCCATCCGTAAATATGTGACCCTACCTGATTGCATCCATTTCGTATAGAATTCTGTGATCCAATTCCGTGGAGTTGACTATATGACGTCCATCCAGCTGGTGTATGAAGGCAGTCATGCTCATGTCGACAGTCCGGACTGGTTTGTCGAACTTTCGACCCAATTGGGAAAAACTGCCGACGAAATATGCACCGTTTCTAGAGTTGTTTTCAACAATAGGTATTTGCGTAATGGTTTCTATTCCAGGTTCGGATTTGACCATAGGGAGAAATTTGCGATAGGGTATGTGATTTGTTTTTGTTTTTGCTTCAAGTTATTCCTAAAAATGCGTTAATATGCGTAACATTGATATCACGTGTCAAACAGAAGCCTAAGACTTCAAGAACGTGGGATAACTAGAAGATATCTGAAAATCGAGAAAAGGGCGACAACTAGAGATGCCAGCAAGCCGGCTTATTGAGTTGTGAGTCTAAGCAAGCCGGCTTGCTTCGACTCACAACTCAATAAGCCGGCTTGGCTTGACTCGACTCAATAAGCCTAATGAGTCGAGTTTGCTTATGGACATGCATTTTGGTTTACGTTAATGGACATTAAATAATTAAAACAACCAGAATAACATTTAGAAAAATTAAAGTGGACTTTTAAAATGCTAAGCATCCAAACGAAATCAATAATTTAAACTTATACTAACGTCAACTTATTGTAAACTACAAACTACACAATTACATACATATGTATGTATGTAGATATAGTAATTTGTGTGATTAAATGCAGCACGTGTAAGCTGAAACTGCAATTAGATCCATTGTCACAGTTAAAAATAAGTATTTCCTTATTATACTACTATACAGTAGTTTAATAAAATAAATTCAGTAAATTTACACATTTAAAATACCTACGAAGGTTTTGTAACGATTTATAATTTATAAAAATTAAACAGCTGAGTTTATATCAGATTTTCAAAATCCGTCTCTTAAATTTTAAATTTTTGATATAGTGAAACACAAAATGGAATAATAATTTAATTAATAATTGAAGTACAAATAACATGCAATATGTATGTACAAGTGGAGCGAAGTAAATATGTGTGTGCATACTTATGTACACAGGTGTGTAAGCATGAGGAGGCGGAGCCAGCGGCTTATTGAGTCAAGCCGAGTCAAGCCAAGTCCAACTCATTCCAACTCACAACTCAATAAGCCGGCTTATTGAGTCGACGGCTTACTTGAGGTCAACTCAACTCAGCTTGACTCAACTCAACTCAATAAGCCGATTCAAGCCAAGCCGAGTTGGCAACTCTACCCCAGGGTGACCACCCAAGATAATCACCAGGATCACTACCATCAGACAACCACTCCCAGATAACCACAATCCGAAATTTAGCTTTTTGAATTTGTTTTACTTTTAATTTCTAGCCATTTGAAGTTTTACTTTCTTTACTTTCACTTCCGTTGCGGTCCATTTGATTTTGCTTCCGTTTCCGACAGACATTTCCAGCTTATAATATAGATAATTATCACAGATGACGACGTACTGAAAAATGTGGCTAAAATTTTCGCCCCTTATCAAGAACTTGTATTACACGGGCTTGGCATCTGTTCTATGGATCCCGTCCTTCTAATTAAAACAGTAATTATGGGATTAATACCAAAAAATTGTTTCACCCGGTTATGAATTTACAAAGATTTATTTTTTTACACAGGTTAAAACCTTGCACCACTTGGGCTCTGTCACGTATCCAAATTTTTATAAAGGAATTACCCCTACCCAATTGATCTCTACTTTTCGCAAAGCAAAATTATTGCGAATTATAAAACATTTCGGGGACGATGGGAAACTTTCACTCATTTTTCTATTCGAGGTGGGTAAAATTCTTCATTTTGTGCCATATACACATAAATACATATGTGCAATACGTAGATTTACATATGCACAATTTGCTCTAATATTTATTTAGCAAACTGGGATCCAACACGAATTCCTAATCCTGAAATGCGAATAATATTCGCATTTTACTTGTACGCCGCGCTGAAAATTGGCCATCGCGACCCGAGATGTTCTGCAAAATCACGCAGCGAACCTCCCACTTTACTGCACATTTTTGATACTAAAGGGTTCTCCACTTCACACGCGAAAATATTCAGCTTCAGAGAGACCTTAATCAGTATCAGGCTGTATAATGCACTGCCCAAAAATGTGACAAAATGCGTGATTTTTAGAAATAGCGGAATCATGTTTGAGAAAACTTACTCCTTTGTTAAGTGGCTACTTCCGTATGATATGCGAAAAATGGTGGGCAAAATGCTATTTTTTCAAGATTTATGGTAAAATGCAGTTTATGAATTTTTTTAGATTCACGTATGTTCGGACGACATTTCGCCCATATTTGAACACGTGCCGGTGGAAGGCGTTCCAAAAGCGGTGGGCGGTCTGGCTGAAAATGATGAAGTATTCTTAGCCGATCTGGAAAAAGAGTTGGATGCAGACGGTGGCCTGCATACCCTGCTAAACATGATTTTTGATAGATCGTAATATTCGAAATTCGCACATTCGATTTTTCAAAAACATTCGCATGGTGAATGTTACCGAGATTAACAATAACTGTCATTATCATGTACTTGCGAAAGATCGCTCAAATATGGGTTTAATATTTACAAAAAAATGCCAACATGTTTAAGAAATATTTATATAAATACATACATACGTATGTATGAACAAAACTATAAAAATAAGAATTTTCGAAAAATTTGTACTTTTGAATTTATTAATACTCTGGATTGTTTGTTGAAATATTTACGAAATACACATATGTATATGGGTATGTATGTATTTTTGAAAACATCTATTTACGAATTTTTCAAATAATAGTGGACATATTTGGGAATATCTATGTACAAGTCCGGAAACCTAGAAATATGTATGTACTAATATGCATCAAAAATTTTGAAGTTTTTGTGATCTATGTATAAAACCTAAGGAACCCTACAAAGTGTGGCTGTCGGTTGACATCGAATGAAAAAGTTGGAAATAAATACACATTCGCCCTCTGATCATCGTTGATGGTATCAGAGGACAACCGTGGGCATATCTCAATAATGATTAAACAATAAATGTGTATACAAAATATGCTCTGGATACGCATACGTACATACGTTACGTATGTACATATCTGGTGAATCTTTAATTTCCCACAAACATATGTAACCAAAAATTCTACTACGGAGTATTGCGACACACGGTCGTATTTATTACTGATGAATGCCTTTACATATGTACGTATTTGAAAATCAGATTTTAGCATAGGTATCCGTTCATCCGAGACAACCATCCATGAGATTTTTTCGCAAACTTACCCAGCAACTGGGCATATTTTTATTTCGCAAACTCAACCTCACCATCATCAACAAGAAAAATTACATAACTCCATGGACAGGTAATAGCATCAAAATAATTATTTTTATAAGTAACTTTGCAGGATTTGAAAATTCACAATTTTGTGAATCCCCACACCATATCACATTTTTGAGCTACGCAAATTTGCTAAATGAGTTGCGATGCTAAATAAATCGTTGTCGTGAGTATGATTCATTTCCCTGAATTTTTTACGCTTATTCTGTAAATGGTGCACATAAATATTTACGTAGATCGTCCATCAAATCTGCTGAGTATAAAACATCCTGTAAACCAAGGTCACAGTGGAGCAGGAAAATTTGATCAAAAGATTTCCTGTAAAGATACATATTGTTCAATACATGCACGTATCCATGTAAATATGCACGCACGTGTGTGCCTGTTTTATGGTAAACTCGTGTAAGTAATGTCACTGCCTATGTAATAAGCCCGCTACTGTAACCCTTAATGTGCGAACCAAATGCAGTGTTTGCCATGAAAAAGACCACCAATAAGAAATTGCTGTTTTACAGGCATATTTTAATGTTTTGCACGTGTGTAAGAAAAACAAATGTTACCCAATATGTTGACAGTATATATTCGTACATATGTACAATCTTTGGATAAGTGGTAGCAGAAACATATGCACATGTATCCTTACAAAGTATTCCTTATAACTCATAACTTGCAAGTATGCTGCTGTATCGACCAATATTCTATCAACCAATTGAAATTGGTGATAAGTATGTCGTGTCGACCAATCAGGCGTCGACGAGCGATATTTCGAACACTCCTCCTAAATCCATAATGAACAAGGAGTTGCATGGGGAAATCCAGGGTTTAGTCGTCGCTATAATTTATGAGAATGAGGCTGTTCATTCCACACATGTAGGTATTTAAGGTAAACAAAGGAACTTGTTACAGGTATACAAACTTCACCAGGAAAATAGAAATCGAGGCACATTTTGAACGAGTTCGCTAATACGAACTGCGAAATTGTACATAATATGTATTTATGCATCAACATAAAGCTTATGTACCTACTTGTGAACTAAATACATGTTAAATACACGTATTTAATTTTTATACATGTACACATAAGCATTTCCAGAGATTGATGAGCGATACGAACTGCTTACAGAAGTGATCAGAATACCTATCTATGACCATTCAAAAGACATTCAAGCGATATACAAACAAAAATTATATTCCAGTAATCACTTGATTTTTACCCAACTGAGTAATTTTTAATTGTGGTCTGTCCATTTTTCCATGCAAAAAAATATGTCAGAACTTATGAGAGCTTTGATCCCCAGTAATTCAGAAACTAATGGGCCAGGGTGGATTTTGGAACCGATTTTGGCACGTATTTGTTTCTTTGTCTTATTCCTTGATTCAATTATTGGATTTCTATTTAAAAGCACACACGAGAAGGGCAGAGAGGTGAGTGGGACCTACTTTTAAACGTGGTTAATATCTATATGTAAAAAATAAATATTCCATCCATAGGGCTACTCACCCCTACGGTCGCAAATATATATGCAAAATGGGATACGACGTGGACGAGATTTGGCGCACACTCCGGTAAAAACGTTTCCTGGCGAATTTCTCACTATAGAAGACCGCAAGCTCAAGGACGATGGTGCGTGGGGGTTCGAGTAAGTCAGTAATCTACTTCCATAAAGCGTTAGTGTTAAGTTCTGCCTGGGTCCCTGTGGCTCTCAATGCACATTGCCCCGTAGAGGAGACAAAGAAGCAAGCGGAGCAACGGTTGCATGCATGAATTTTCTGCATGAGTCTCACTTCGCCTGCACGTGACTTTCACGTACGCTTGCCATCAATCTCAAATTAAATGTCTTTGTATATTTGCAGTGTGCAAGTAAATTGAGTGAGTGAGCAGTATACATACATACATCACTCATCAATAGTGGTTATCATGATAAGTGATCTTGATAAACACTATTAATTAATTATTTTAGTTTGAGAAACTCCACCCACAGCGAGTGGCATATCAATTCGAATGTATTTTTTACGCTGAATCCAACGCCATTAATGGTTTTGACCTCCGAGGCCCCCGTGACCTTGCCGTGACCGTGGTGTCCAAATATGGCTTATTCGTTATGTCGCATATCAATTCGAATGTATTTTTGATGCTGAATCCGAATCCGTCAATAGCTTGGCGTTAATTGTAGAAGTTAACGGGGTTTATGGAACTTAACGGGAGCGTGAAGCGTGGGAATTTAAATAGTTAGCTATGCAGTTACTCCCACGCGACGGGAATTTAAGTAATTAACTATTCAACTACCCCCACAGGGGGAAATTAAATTGTACTGTGACCAGGTTAATTAAAATGCAGTATGATTTGGGCAAACCCTCACTCTGATGTATGTATGTAGTATGACAAAGTCTTCACTGCGAATTATTTAAAGTATAGTATGACGGATTTTTCGCTTTGGGCACACCCCCCACTCTAGAACCCGGCCTTGGCCGGGGTATACGCTAGTAATAAATAAAATCACAATGATTCAATGTATCTGCCAAATTATGCGTGTTCGTCATATTTAGCTACACCGGAAAGCTGATCACGTGTGTGGACATGGGGTCATTTAATTATCTCGGATTTGCCGCAAACGATGGACAAATTGTGGACGACGTGAAGAATTCCATGAATACCTTCGGCTTGACAGCGTGCAGTACGCGTAATGAATTTGGCGAATTTCCCGTTCACAATGAATTAGAGAAATTAGTAGCCAAATTTTTACGAGTTGAAGACGCCCTCGTGTGTGGGTCAGGATTCGCAACGAATGCTCTAAACATTCCGGCAATTATGGATGAGAACACCTTAGTATTCAGCGATGCTAAAAACCACTCTTCAGTGATTATGGGGTTGAGATTGTCAAAAGCACCGGTTCGCGTGTTCCGGCATAATGGTAGAAAATCATAGAAAATTCGAATTGTAAATTTCCGAACTTGCACATTTCTAAGCTTCGTATTCCCAACTATGTAATTAGATTTACACCACTTGGAAAAACTTCTCACTCAACTTTTCAAATCCGGAGAGGTTCATAAGTTTGAGAAAATAATCGTTATCGTTGAAGGCGTGTACTCGATGGACGCATCCATCTTGCAACTTCCGGAACTCATCAGACTGAAGGAAATTTACAAGGTAAATATTTACATATTTGTGAGCCGTATTATAGGGTAAACTTTAAATTTACTAATATTTATGTATTTCCCTCAGTTTTACATTTACCTCGAAGAAGCTCACAGTTTCGGCGCCATGGGTCCGAACGGGGGTGGGATCGTGGACTATTTCAACTGCGACCCAAACTCTGTGGACATTTACATGGGAACGTTTTCAAAAAGTTTGTGGGCGGCGGGTGGATATATTGCGGGTTCCCGCCAACTGGTTCAGCATTTGCGAGAAAATGGATACTCTCACGCCCACGCGACTGCGATGCCGCCACCGATTGCGCAGCAAATAATCAGCTCCATCGAATCCCTAATGGCCGAGGGTGGCACCGCTCGGGTGGAGCGACTGAAGCACAATTCCACCTATTTCAAGGAGGAACTGATAAAGCGGGGAATCTTCATCTACGGTGATCTGGATTCTCCCATTGCCCCAGTGGCCTGTCCACACCCTGCGAAACTAGCATTTATTCTGAGGGAATTGAGGAAAAGAGGGGTAATTGCGGCGGGGGTGGGACACCCTGCTGTGGGGATTTTGGAGTCCAGAATAAGATTCTGCATCAGTGCGGCTCATTCTAAAGAGTCCTTGGATTATGTGAGTCCTCTTGGCATTCATTACTTTCAAATGCATAACTATAACTAATGAAATATTGGCTGAGGAAAAGCGATATTTATTCAAGTCCTGACTAAGCTAATCTGATTATTTATTTTGCAGGTGGTGGAACAATTGACTCAAGTAGCCGACCTCGTTTTCCTCAGGGACTCCAGAATTGCTAAGAAATCTGAGGAAATTATCTCCGCTAAGAAAGTTCTACAAAATTTCGACTAAACCAATCTACAAACAGCTGAAATCGTTTGCAATCAATTATATTGTGAAATTGTGACACTATAAATACGTAATAATGTTTGCATATTTTCGGATACATATGGATTTTAATTACATACCAATTATTTTACATACCAATTTTACATACCAATTACATACCATACCGGATACGTACGGATTTTAATTACACATATGTAAACGTGTAACTAAAATACAGAAAGTTTTTGACCTTGAGTACATACATATATCTATAAAAAATGATTAATTGATTGAGCGTACATAACACATAAATACGCAACTCGTTATGTTTCTCACGACCAAAGTAATATTTAGGAATTCGATTTACGTATATTGATACATACATTACAGATTATGTATGTATGATACATACATATTTATTGTTACTTCTGAAAACTGGAATATATGTACATAAATACCTACATATATATATATATGTGTATAATTTTTATTAATCAAGCTTGCTTCTTTACAAAGCTCGTTATGCCTGACATATTTGTGTATATCGGTATAGACGTAAATATCTGTATGTGATTTTACACCGTATGCTCTGCTACCCATACATGTATACACTCTAAGAAACCTGGTGATAACGATCACCGCGCGGTGGTCATATGTGACTCTACCGGAATGGTGACAGCTGTAACCACCGAACGGTGACAACTGCACCACCGCACAGTGACTGATCATCACTAAGCTGGTGATGGGCATCTACCCTCCGGTGGTCTTCTGCCACCTGCCGGTAGAGTCACATATGACCACCGCGCTGGTGATAAAATTTCTTAGAGTGTACGCATCTAGTGAATCTTTAATTTTCCACAAAGATCTGTACTGTTATTATGCACGTCTGTAATCAAACATTCTTTTTAACACTGAGGACGGTCATATTTATTACTGATGTATATACCTATTCGAAATCCAGGTTTAACATATCGATTCATTCCAGACAACCTTGATATTCTTTTTTCGCAAATGTACCCAGCAACTGGGTATATTTTTATTTCACAAACTCGTCCTCACCATCACCAGAAAGAATAATTACGGGAAGTAGACAACATCACAATAGGTATATTAATACATAACAATGCGAGATTTGCAATTCCTACTGTTCGTTCAAAATCATCTAATATGCAGTAAAAAATTTGGACGGTTATTTGGCGGATAATTGTTTGAAACTACATATTTTTCAACTTTCACTTGATTTTCATTTAAAAAGTAGAATAAACATGCATAATTAAATCGTTGTCAATGACAATCAGCAACTTTTTGACCTTTCAACAAATTTTGAGGAGTTTACTGCATATTCATTAAATATTCATATATTCTTGTAATCAAAAGTTTTAAAATTTTATCTTCTGGAGTACACACACTTATAAAATCTGATGGGCGGCCGGTCACTAGAAGTACGCACGGTTTCCAGTGGGAAATTGTCCCAAGCGTTAACTACCAATGACATTCTTGGGACCAAATGAAATCGATGAAATGAGCACCGTCCGGCTGAGCCTCGACATGCCTTGAAATCCAGTTTCTATTTTTGAATAGGCCCGACTTCAAAGGTTTTACAATACGTTTGGAAACTTTGTCCATGTAATTCTTCATAACCCTTTCTTGAACAAAACAGCGTCTCGCTTTCTCCTGCCGACTTATTCCAATCCAACCCGTCACCTAGTGTGGTGAATGAGATGTAGAAATTTTTTAGCTCCCAGGGGTATGTCTGATTTTTGCTTACTACAAATTCTGTCATTTTCTTTATTAAAATTACGCAGAGCTTGGGATAAATTTCCACTTGAAACCGTGCGTAATCCGAGCGACTAGTTTGCCATCAGATTAGGCAAGTGTGTGTACTCCAGAAAAGGAAATTTTCAAATTTAGTATTTTTATATTATAGGCAGGTATGTTATGCATCCATTTGCAAAATTGTAAATAAAAATTATTACCCGTTGTTTTTCTATATTTACTAAGAAACTTTATCTCAGAACTTAGTGTCTGACTATGTATACTGCCTGTGTCGACAGACATTCCACCGACCAATGGAGATTGGTGACCTGAATACCGTGTCGCCCAACCCATAACCTTCAATAAGTTGCATGAGAAAATTTAGAGTTTAGTCGTAAGTCGTCGTTATAATTTATTGGTAGGAGCCTGTTCAATCCAGACTTATGTAAGGTAAGCAAATGAACTTGTTCTAGGTAAACTCCACAAGGAAAGTAGAAATTGATGCAAATTTTGAACGAGAATTCGCCAATACAAATAATGTCTGCGAAATAGACATACATAGGCATACTTGACTATACGTAATAAGTAATATGTAGATATGTATGCATCAACCGTTGATGATCAACGTAAAGGTTATGTACGTGTGTGCTAAATACATGTTACATATAGGTAAACATTTCCATAGATTGCTGAACGATATGAAGTGCATTCATAAACCAAAACTAGTCAGAATACCTAAATGTGTTTTACCATTGAAAAGACATTCAATCGACATACAAGAGGTTACTCCAGTAATCACTTGATGTTTACCTGAGTAACTGAGTAGGTTTTAATTGCGGCCCGTCCATTTTTCCATACAAGAAACATGTCACAACTTGTAAAAACCTTGTTCCCCAGTAATTCAGAAACGAATGGGCCAGGGTGGATTTTGGAACCGATTTTGACCCGTATCTGTTACAGCATCTTATTCCTCGGGTCAATTATTGGGTTTCTTTTTAGAAGCAGACACAAGGAGGATAGGGAGGTGAGTGGGATCAATTTTTAAGGGTGGGAAATATGCATAAAAAATAAATATTCCATCCATAGGGCTACCCGCCTCTACGATCGCAAATATATTTGCAACACGGTATACGACACGTTCGAGATTTGTGCTATACTCCGCTGAAAACAGCTCCGGGTGAATTTCTCACTATAGAAGACCGCAAGCTCAAGGACGATGGCGCTTGGGGGTTCGAGTAAGTCACCAATAATAAATAAAATCATAATGATCCCATTTATCTGCCAAATTATGTGTATTCGTCATATTTAGATACACCGGAAAGCTGATCACGTGTGTGGACATGGGGTCATTTAATTATCTCGGATTCGCCGCAAACGACGGAAAAATTGTGGACGACGTGATGAATTCCATGAATACATTCGGCTTGACAGCGTGCAGTACGCGCAATGAATTTGGCGAATTTCCGGTTCACAATGAACTGGAGAAATTAGTAGCCAAATTTTTGCGAGTTGAAGACGCCATCGTGTGTGGGTCGGGATTTGCTACGAATGTTCTAAACATTCCGGCAATTATGGATGAGAACACCTTAGTTTTTAGCGATGCTAAAAACCACTCGTCCGTGATTATGGGGTTGAGATTGTCAAAAGCATCGGTTCGCGTATTCCGACATAATGGTAGAAAATCTTAGAAAATTCGAACTTACGCATGTCTGCCATAATCTGCATATCTCCCATTATTTAGATTTACGCCATTTGGAAAAACTTCTGATCAAACTTTTCAAATCCGGAGAGGTTCATAAATTTGAGAAAATTGTCGTCGTAGTTGAAGGCGTGTACTCGATGGACGGTTCCATCTTGCAACTTCCGGAACTCCTGAGGCTAAAGGAAATTTACAAGGTATTTTTCCGCCCTATTCCCGAAAAATTTAAAATGTGCTAATTATTACGTAAATTTTAATTTTACTGATATTTCCCTCAGTTTTACATTTACCTTGAAGAAGCTCACAGTTTCGGCGCCATGGGTCCGAACGGAGGTGGGATCGTCGACTATTTTGACTGCGACCCAAACTCTGTGGACATTTACATGGGAACATTTTCCAAAAGTTTATGGGCAGCGGGTGGATACATTGCGGGTTCCCGCCAACTGGTTCAGCATTTGCGAGAAAATGGATACTCTCACGCCCACGCGACTGCGATGCCGCCACCGATTGCGCAGCAAATAATCAGCTCCATCCAATCCCTAATGGCAGACGGTGGCACCGCTCAGGTGGCGCGACTCAAGAGCAATTCCACCTATTTCAAGGAAAAACTGATAAAGAGGGGATTCTTCATCTACGGCGATCTGGATTCTCCAATTGCCCCAGTGGCTTGTCCACACCCAGCGAAACTAATATATATTGTTAGGGAATTGAGGAACCGTGGAGTAATTGCGGCGCCAGTTACTCACCCCGCCGTGGGTACTTTGGAGGGTAGAATGAGATTCTGCATGAGTACAGCTCACTCCAAGGAGTCCTTGGATTATGTGAGTCATCTTTAGTTTCATTACTGTTGACGTAATTGTTACTTAACACTAGTGATTGTTAGTCAATCACTAATCATGATTGATCGTCCCTTATAAAAGTTTCGACGCTTTCCTATTTCCTGGTCGATTTTTTTGCCGAAAATTTGTATGCAAATGTATATATCTTTACATAAACAATGCAAACTTATGCATAATTATGCACAAACAGGTCTGGACAAATTGTCTGCAGAATCATGCAATGTTTTCCTGCATAAATTTTTCTAAAGACCAATTACGCAATACCCTAAGTATACCCTAAGTATTTTCATACGGGACTGTTAAATACATACATATGTGTGGCGAAAAGTGATATTATCGACGTAACACGACCTTACCTGGCTAATCTAGTTATTTATTTGGCAGGTGGTAGAACAATTGACTCAAGTGGCCGACCTCGTTTTCCTCAGAGACTTGCGAATTGCGAAGAAATCTAAGGAAATTATCTCCGCTAAGAAATTTACAAAAAATTTCGACTAAAACAAACCTACAAAGAAATGAAATCGTTCGCAATTAATTATATTGTGACACTATATATTTAAATACCTACTGATATGTGCATACACATTTCTGGATACGTGCATACACTCTTAGAAAATTCAATATCTTTTCATGAAGTAAAATGGAACGTTATGCGGTTTAAAGTAAACCTCACTTGATTCGAAGTAAAATGGTCAACTTCATTCAAAGTAATGACAAAACTCACCAAATTTGAAGTAAAACCACTATTTTCTAAACCATAAAGTAAGCTATTATACCATTTAGAGTAAGCAAACCCCATTTAGGATATTCTTCAGACGCTGACTTTTCCCTCGCTCTCATTACAACTCGCAGCTCAGCCAGTCAGTGCTGGTTAGTTAAATTGATAGTTAATTAATTAGTTAGTTAACTCATAAGCAAATAATGGAGGAAACGAGGAGGTTATTGCAACAATTTGGACGGGGACGCTGAAGGGTAAGAAATTCGCACAATTTGCATAATTTATACACAAATTTAATTTACATTGCGTTTAATTTTTTATTTTAATTGTCTTTAAACAGATGACAATATTACGGACGAGACTCTGTTAATAATTTCAGGAGAAAATTGTCAGGTTTTCTAGGTCATTTTAGGTCGGCTTTGGAATGCATTGTACAATTTGTGAGAACTTGGTATATCTTTGTTTTAAGTGCAAAACTAATTTTAAACCTTTAGTATAACATTAAAAAAATTATCTTAAGTTAATAGGGTCCAGCGTTTACAAATATCCTCACTAGTGGTTCATAATAAGGGTAATTTGTAATGCAATGTTGAATGTGAAATAAAATATATTATTAAAGTACTAATACTGCGACTACGCTTAAGTAACTTTTCCTGGGGTCATCAAAGCAAGAAAGTAAAGTCATAATCAACGCGATTTAGGGTTACGGTCGTTACCCTATTGGGCGCTCAGTTACCCTGTGAATATTGTTACAGGGTAAAATGGCTTACTTTGTGGCCGAGAGAGAGCGATTCGCTATAAGTGGGGTAGTGGCACTTTGGAAGTTATATCGAGTTATATTTTACGTCATATAAAGTATGGATTTCTAAGAGTGTACATACACATGTAAATGCTTAATTTAAATGCAGAAAGTTTTAGACCCTGGGGAACAGGAAAATTGGTTAATTTACTGTGCGTGTACATAACTCATCATTTTTCTCACGACCATAGTAATATTTATGAATTAAATTTACGTATGTACATATGTACAACATATTTATTGTTACTTCTAAAAAACTGGGATACATGCATATACTTGTTTGTGGTTTAGCAGTGTGATTTAACAGTGCGATTTAACAGATTTATGTATGTACATACATAAGTGCATATTTTACTCACTTGCAAATTTCAAAGATTTATATACGTGTCTGAGCTTTGTGCATAGTGTGTATTATATTTTATGGAAAAGAAGTTGATGAATTTGTTATTAGCAATAAGCGATAAACATGACTATGTATAATTTGTTAAATAGGTTAGTGCAACAATTATCATTCGGCGTGTATTTAAGAAATTATCTAAATATATATACGTATATTTTTGGCTCTGGTTAATATGATTAATATGATTAATATTAAGTGTTACTGGCTACATGAATTCTTATCTTCGGACTCAATTGGCTTTAGCTAAGTAGATTATTTTTAATATAATTACTAATTCTGTTGTACTCTATGGGCTGTTGTCCGAAAGGGTCTAAATAAATCTTTTATCAATATCAATCAATATAAAACATATCATAAATATCTAAATAAATTTAACTACCGTTGAGATAACTCTCCAGGTGGGTATGTAAATACATACATAGTTGATGTGGCCATGCGGCCTTTAAAATTACATATATACACAATTTCAACTATCTACATACCTATATATTTAGCAAATGTGTATATAAATGTATCGTAGATAAATAAACAGTGCATATAGTTACAAGTTTAATTAACAGTTTAGCATTATCTGTATCAATCATAATATGTAAAAAGCTCTCAAATTTCATTTGCTTTCGTTAAATACTTACTAGCTGTCTTTATTACATGGTGTAATATTTCGACAATTCGTACTACTTGGTTGAGATTTTCGACAAATATGCCGTGTCGACCAAGCTGTATGTTGTACATAGGCCAATTAGGTGTTGACTGATTAGCTACATACATATACTGTTAATATGTCGATCACCAACTCTGAACGACGAGGAGCTGCGTGGGAAAATCCAGTTTTGAAATCAACATAAAATTACTTCAAGTAATTTACTTGATATATTTAGGGATGCCCATTACACTTTGAACGAGTTCGTTAATACCAGCAATGATTGCGAAATATGTATGTACTCAAAATCCCAGCAACCTTATTTACTTATACAATTGTTACATAAGATGCGAACATAGATTGATGGACGATACCAAGTACTCCAGCCAAAAGTGGTCAGGATATTGCGATCATTGATTGAACAGGCTTTGAAGTTACAAAAAAGTTATGCAGTTGATTTTTAACTGCTGCACGTCAAGTCTTGAATACAAAAGCATGTCACAACTTGTAAAAACTTTGTTCCCCCGTAATTCAGAAACTAATGGACCAGGGTGGATTCTGGAACGATTTTTGACGCGTGTATGTTACCTCATTGTATATCTCTGTTCAATTATTGGGCTTGTTTTCAGATCAGAAAGTTCACAGGAGGAGGACAGAGAGGTTAGTTAATCAGATTTTAAGACTGGAAAATATGTATGCATCAGTGCTAAAAACAAATCTTGCATCCTCAGGGCTACCCATCTTTACGAGCCGATATCTTTTTGACATATGGGATCCGACGTGTGCGGGATTTGTCGCACACTCCGGTAAAAACGCTTCCCGGCGAGTTCCTCACGATAGAAGATCGCAAGCTCAGAGAGGACGGCGGGTGGGCGTTGGAGTTAGTCACCAATAAAAAATACGTAAAATCAGAGAGCGTACCTCAACCTTCGTATATCTCGTAAATTGAGTATACATAGCAACATAACCTGTCAAGTTTTGCGAAATTCGGCAAATTTCGCAAAAATTTGGGTTGGGAACTACAGATCTGTACATTGTAGAAATTTTTGTGGCACATTTGCCCAGCAATTTTGGATGTTTTTATGTATTTCGAAAGCTTATCACTATTAAACGCTTCTGAAATTGCAAATAATTCATTCAAATCAAAATTACAACAAAGTAACAGAATCATTTGATTGTATAGATTAATGAAATTAGCGAAATCACATTCCCGAATCCCGTCATGACACAAATTTTCTGAGCTGCGCTACATAAATGAGTTGCGACGCGAAATAAGTAAGACGTCGTAGTGAGTACGGTTTGATTAACCTAATTTACAGCCAAATATTCTACGTTTTCCTATTTAGTTACACCGGAAAACAGATCACGTGTGTGGACATGGGTTCATTTAATTACCTCGGATTTGCCTCGAATGATGGAAAAATTATGGACGACGTGATGAACTCCATGAATACCTTCGGCTTGACAGCGTGCAGTGCATGCAATGAATTTGGAGAATTTCCCGTTCACATCGAATTGGAGAAATTGGTAGCTAAATTTTTGCGAGTTGAAGACGCCATCGTGTGCGGGTCAGGATTCGCTACGAATGTTCTAAACATTCCGGCAATTATGGATGAGAACACGTTGGTTTTTAGCGACGCTAAAAACCACTCGTCCGTGATTATGGGGTTTAGATTGTCAAAAGTATCGGTTCGAGTATTCCGGCATAATGGTAGAAAATCATATGTAGAAATTCATGCCATACTGAATTTACAAATTTCTAATCTTCGTATCCGCATTAGATTTATGTCACTTGGAAAAACTTCTCTTCAAACTTTTTCAATCCGGAGAGGTTCATAAATTTGAGAAAATAATCGTTATCGTTGAAGGCGTGTACTCGATGGACGGTTCCATCTTGCAACTTCCGGAACTCATCAGGCTAAAGGAAATTTATAAGGTGTGTTTCCTCCCAATTCTTGAAAAAGTCTAAAATTTAGTAACAATGTAAATATTTCCCTCAGTTTTACATTTACCTCGAAGAAGCTCACAGTTTCGGCGCCATGGGTCCGAACGGAGGTGGGATCGTGGACTATTTCAACTGCGACCCAAACTCTGTGGACATTTACATGGGCACATTTTCCAAAAGTTTATGGGCGGCGGGCGGATATATTGCGGGTTCCCGCCAACTGGTTCAGCATTTACGGGAAAATGGGTACTCTCACGCCCACGCGACTGCGATGCCGCCACCGATTGCGCAGCAAATAATCAGCTCCATCCAATCCCTAATGGCAGACGGTGGCACCGCTCAGGTGGCGCGACTCAAGAGCAATTCCACCTATTTCAAGGAAAAACTGATAAAGAGGGGATTCTTCATCTACGGCGACCTGGATTCTCCCATTGCGCCGGTGGCCTGTCCACACCCGGCGAAACAAGCATTTATTCTGAGGGAATTGAGAAACAGGGGGGTAATTGCGGCGGGGGTGGGACACCCCGCCGTGGGAACTTTGGAGGCCCGAATGAGATTCTGCATGAGTGCGGCTCACTCTAAGGAGTCCTTGGATTATGTGAGTCATCTTGAGATTCATTACTTACTACTTCGCATCATTTTTGTTGATGCTAGTTTGCTATTGATTGGAAAATATTTAAGCGTGATGGAATTTCTGCCCGCCAAAACCACTAGCCCACTTGATTAACATTACGATCGGATTGAAATTCAAATCAAATTCATCACGCTTAAATATTTTCCAATCAATAGATACTTGGTAGATAAAAATCACAAATGATCTAAATAGATCAGCCAGTATGCAAGTTTCAACCCATTTTTTATTGATTTTCTACACAAAATCTTTATGTGTGTAGATCTACATATCTGTACATAAGAAATGCAGAATTATAATAGTACACCAACTGCTCTGAAGAAAAGACCAAACAGAAATTTTTGCAGAATCATGCACGTTTTTCCTTCAGACATGTGAAGACTATTGGTGAATAATTTTGCAGAACTCTACACACGATTCTCATATATTCGAATGTGTTCAATATGTACTCATGTATGTAGCATGCACTAATGTGGTTAAGTATTTGACAGGTGGTAGAACAGTTGACTCAAGTGGCCGACCTCGTTTTCCTCAGGGACTTCCGAATTGCGAAGAAATATGAAGAGATTATCTTCGCTAAGAAACTTCTATAAAATGTCGACTAAAAAAGCCTTAAAGCAAACACAAGAGTTTATAATCAGTCATATTGTACATAGTTTTTAATATGCGATTAAGTGTGTAACTACATTTCGTCGGACTAACTCTAAAACCACGTAAGTGCATTCGCTTCTTAATTCGAAATCCACCTAAGTGCAGTCAATAGTTAATTCTAAATCCACCTAAGTGCACAAGAAAAACGGGGAAAAAGACCTAACTGCAATTCCAAAATTGCACGGAGTTTATTAATTATGCAAATCATACTATGAGCTGTAATATGAAAGTTTTTGGCAGATGAGGCTAGTGCTGCGAAAACGTTCGAAATTTAAAAACCACAGGTTCAGGGGGTGTGGTTCTTGCGCCTATTTTAAACTTAAAAAAGACCTGGCTGGTAACCTATCTTTTTTATCAGTCCCATAAGGAAATTCTAAAAACGGGATAAATTAAAAATTCACTCCCTCAGGGGGTGTGGTTCTCGGCGCCTAAATTAAGCTTAATAAAGACTATCAACCATATAATCTATCTTTTTTCTATCTGAATTAGATGAACGGTTCAGGATATTAAAAACTGTGAAACAAAATCTTTAGGGGGTGTGCCCAGAAGCATGCTTTTACGAATGTTTCTAATCCGATTTATACTTTGTCAGTACAATTAAATATGCTATGCCATGAATTTATGAAACTTAATTGAGCGGCCAAGAACCACACCCATTGAGGGTGTGGTTTTAAATTTCGAATATTTCATTGGGGTTCTTTTGGTTGAAAAAAGACATATTGCATGCTAGATAGTCTATATTAAGCTTAATTTAGGCGCAAGAACCACACCCCCTGAACCTGTGGTTTTTAAATTTCGAACGTTTTCGCAGCACTAGCCTGGCAAAAACTTTCATATTACAGCTCATAGTATGATTTGCATAATTAATAAACTCCGTGCAATTTTGGAATTGCAGTTAGGTCTTTTTCCCCGTTTTTCTTGTGCACTTAGGTGGATTTAGAATTAACTATTGACTGCACTTAGGTGGATTTCGAATTAACTACTTACTGCACATAGGTGGATTTCGAATTAAGAAGCGAATGCACTTACGTGGATTTAGAGTTAGTCCGACGATTTGTAGTATGCAGAAAGTTCTTAAACTGAGGCAAATAGAGAAATTATTGTGCGTATGTATTGTACATAAATACATATTTATGTACATACGTAACTCACGATGAGAAACATGATGAGCATAACAGACAGACTGACGGACAAGAGGAATTCAATAACCCCCGTGCTACGCAGGGTGAGCTAATAATGTAGACCTACATAAATCTCTGCGAATACCACTTATACTACAATGAATAAATACATGTAGTTTGCACATATTTATATGTATTATGCGTAGCGTGTAATATATGTGCACTATTTAACCATTCACAACCAAGGTATGTACATATTTACATACTACAAAATATGTATGTCGTGGGCAGTTGCTCGTGGTAAATATGTAATATTTACTTAAATATCATGTGAATTTCAAAAACGAAGTACATGGCTGTAACGACAACTAGAGATAACTGTATTGCATGTTAATTATTTCAAATTGTACATAATCTCAAGATTTGTTTATTTATTTAGAGCCCTATTTCAAAGGGTGATAGGGTGGTTGAAATTGTAAATTATTGTAGTGCAGGAAAGCTTTCCATGATTTAAGAGTTAATTCGTCCCAAAATAATCGCCGAAATTCCGAAATCAGACAGAATATTTGCGTGACATGCTTGCGTTCAGAGACGCAACCCGGTGAAAGTCGTCGGAATTAAATGCATAAGTACTTTATAATTGCTAAACTCATAGCATTGATGAAAACAAACAATGAAAGACAATGCACATTAAATGTGAGTCATTTAACCCATACAACTTACATGCATTGTGGTTTAACTGTCTCGCTACAATGTAAAATTTTGCATTGGGAAAAATTCGTAGATTTTCATTAGTTATAGATGTTTTGCTCTAAAACTCACATTTTGGTATTATACTCCATCAGTTTTGATATTAGAGTTGAATAACGATTTACGTTATTAAGTATCGCAGATACTTTATGAGGATGTTCTGGACATGCATGCATATGTATTTGATTCGTCAATTTTGATGGATTGTATAGCTCCCTTAGCACATCAACTAATTCAGCAAAAAAGTTCGGATTTCATCAAAAGATTGGCTCCTTCATTAAAATTTGACCAATAAACTTATGTATCATTGCAATATTCACGTTTGTCCAGGATCGACCATACAGCATGCGATTGACCTTTCCTCAATTTTAATCACGATCCCCGCATCGACGCGCATGCCCCTTTTATAAAGTACATGACCTGATTGATACCAAATCACATACATATTTGCTTAATCTATGAAGAATCCTTAAATTGCAAAAAGACCAAACTCATACATGCATAAATATATAACTAGATATTTATGCCTACAGATTTATTTTTTCCCCTAAAAAGTTTTGTAATTTCGGTTCAATTATTCAGGCAACCTATACTTATGTATTTATAAGTCTTTGCTTGATTGCGTAATTGGCATTGGGAAAAAATTGGCACAAGTTCGGCTTGAGTCGTAGAATAGCAATAGATCAAGCTGCCATTGCAAAATTGATCTAATCTAATTGTATGTTATTTAAATATATTGGAATTATCTTCAAAATTTAAATGTATATGTACATAAATATTTACCCCACGTTCTAAAATATTTAGTACAAATTAGTGCATGTGTGCGAACTTATAAATACAAAATTTACGAATCTGGATCTTTTAATTGTCAATTATTTATAACTGTAAATTACACTAATCGCTAGTATTTTTCCGATGTATTTTTCCAGCGACGCCTCGGTATCAAGTTCCATACGTATTTAGGAAGGGTTATAAATATATATATTCAACCATTCAAAAAAGTGTGGAAAGGTTCAAAATTCATAAGTTTTCTAAAATCAAACTACTTATTTACAATGTTTACTCAACGTTTCCACAAAATTTTTGGAAATTTTGTCAAGTCATCCAAATACTTTTGTGGTCCTTTAACTTGGAACAATACTTCACATCGGGTCGAACTTTCCCCCAAGTTGCACGCCAACACGACGGCTTTCGCCTTCTTATTAGGCTTTCATACCTTATTCCTGTTGAGTCAGGCATTTCGTTTCAAATTTTCGGGCGATTTCGGCACTTTTAATTTGATATTCTTTGCAGCCATTGCAAATTTTGCAATTTTTATCTATACTGCAACTACTGCAATTCAAGCAAAAGATTTGAGTCAAGTGTGCAACTCGTGGATGGACTTTTGCGAGAAATTTGCAGGTATTTATAGAATTTAAGATCTTACTGAAAATGGAGACGCAAACCATGTTCACCCCAGATCATTTTTTGACCACTTAGTGATAAGCCAACTCTTTAGAAAACAACATTTAGTACGGCACCTGCACAAATGGGCAAAATTCAGCAACTTTTGGACGCCACAATTTCGCGAACACACAACAACTGCTGCCACAAGCACATATTCCGTTGGAAAACTGAGCGTTTTTGCGAGGTTGTGGCGCCCATTGCGCTCTGAATCTTACGCGTCTGAGTAAGTGCCGCACTAAATGTTTTTTCTTTAGAGTTTGTTTTTCGAACTGTTGACTGTTATGGTCAAAAAATATTCTGGGCTGAACACGGTTTACGCCTCCATTTAGACTAAGTTTCTGATACCCTAGCCCAATGGTTTCTCACACCGGACCTTGCGCGGGATCATTTTGACAAAATCTGGCTGAAGATCGTCCACCCTGTCAAGATTATGGAACACACTTTACAGTTTCTTGCCCCAATTCATAACGTTTTACAGCCAAATTATCCCTTCTACGTGACCAGCATATATCAAGGCACACTCTTCTATTACCCCGTCGCCTTCTTTTATTTCTTCATATTACTATACTTCGTCCAATGTATTTTAACCTTTGTAAAATTGGTACTCTACATGATATCAGCCATCATAATAACTTCAAATTTGCTAATTGGCGAGCAACAATTCTTTATAAATTCGTCTCGCAGTTTTAAAAGGATCGAAAAATCTGTCAAACATCCCTGGGCATGTCGTCCTGATCTTTTCCGTAAGGTGGAAAACATCATAATTTTGTACCGAAGTTATCAACTGCTCCAAATTGGACTATTGTCCCTTTATGGACCATGTATTGTTCCAATACATTCGTTAGTTGGTCAGATTACAGTGCTCGGAAGCTACATTTTGATCACTTCGAGACACCGTTTGGACAATTTGACAGCTACGTTTATACTGCTCCTCTTCCCGGCCACGTATTTCGGCTGGATGGGCATGCTGACCAATGCCGGCGGGATATTTGACGAGTCAAAGAAATTTTTACTATCCTGGAAAAGAATGGAATGGAAGACTAAAATGGAGGTGAGATTGATGGCCAAGTATCGAAAATCCTGCCCACCGTTGTATTTTGGGATGGCGGGGTATATGAAGATTACGAGGAAAACGGTGCTCAAATTTACGCAGGGCGTGGTCCGGGGTACGTTTAGGAGTTTGTTGGCGCTAAAATAGTGCGCGTTTAGTTTTTTTTAATTTAAAGTAGTATATTTTCTGGCATGTATAATTTTTGTCTTTAATTAAATAGCGTCAATAAGTTGAAAAGAAAGACGTTGGGGACAAAATTGGATTTAAAACTAAAACTACCTATATAATGCAATTGCAATTACTTGTTGATTAACGTAGGATTAGGTGACTCATCGTCACAGGTCTAAAAATCTGAGCATATTTACGCATTTCTCCGTTCTGGGAATTTATTTTCAAATTCTATCAGATCCATTTGTAGACTAGATCAGTACCAATTTATTAAAAATATGTACTCTAGATTTTGACAAGTTTTGAAGGAGGAGACCCAAAAAGAGTGAACACCTTCAGAAAAATTGGGCCTCCTCCTTCAAAACTTGTCAAAATCTAGAGTGCATATTTTTAATAAATTGGTACTGATCTAGTCTACAAATGGATCTGATAGAATTTAAAAATAAATTCCCAGAACGGAGAAATGCGTAAAAATGTTAAGATTTTTAGACCTGTGACGATGAGTCACCTAATCCTACGTTAAACGAGTTCCGTGGTCTTATTTACGAGGACGAAACAAAAAATTTATTATTCAAAAACTGAGGGTCAGTAATTCAGAACCTCGTAGAATTACTTTGATTATAAAACTTAATAAATATTTAATATTATAATATGCAGTATAAATTCAAATTAAAACATAGCTTGTGATTGTGATGTAAGTTGATTGCATTTGTGAATTTAATTAAGTCATTTGAATTTTTTACGAATTAAAGCTCGAAAGCAAGTTACATACATATGGACTTCCGATTCCGACCGTGTTTTTATCCCGCGTTTAAGGACTTCTGTCGATTCGGCTTTATTCCTCAAGCCTTGCGGTGATTAATATGTGGCAATTTCTCTCACCCGTGATTTTGCCTACTTACTGGGCCTTCTGAATACAAATGCGAACATGGTTTTCCTTCGAAATTTATCTGGTAAATTATGTATTGTGTTATTATTGAAATTTTGAAGTACAAACATTTGTGTATGCATAGGATTTGATGGAATGTTGTACTATACAGTTATTTTGCGTCAATCATTTCCGATGAGTCGGTTTGCAGATGATAGTCTGTGTGGTCATAAAGTGAATTTTATTACCGCAATTTAATTTTTGTATACCAGCCATATTTTTATTCGAAGTTTACATCAAGAACTTTTGAACAGAAAAATGACTTCATATCTGCATAGAAGTAATATTATACGCTGCACTGTAAACGCACCGGCTTACGTGGTGTACGGGTCTATTATTGTCATCATTGTGTCACAAGTGCACCCACAAGAGCCCAGTCGTCTAGTAGGACAAACATATTTTGAGTAAGTGTATGAGATTTATGCATGCAATTCTCATTAATTGTTAACATTTAAATCATTTATATAAATACATTTCTCGAAACTTGCCCAACAGTGATATCTCGAGTAAGTTTGTATTGAACTCCAGGATCCATTCTGGTTGGGAGAGTGAATTCTGGAAATGGTATTACGTTGCCAATAGCGTATTGATATACCAAGTGGTAGGTGATGCCATTTGTTGCGATTCCTGCATACAAGTTCAATTATGTGACAAATTATATAAAAAGAACAATCGCTCTCGCATTACATAAATCATTAAACAATTTTCATGTTGACCTTCCGGAAAACTGGCAATTTGTGAATAACTTGTTACAAGTTGCTAGCTACTAGTTACGTGTAAAAGTAAGCACTAAATGAAATTAAGCAATCCCATAAACCATATCCTCTTCATAAATACATAAAAATCAGTAGCAAATAAATAGTTTGGGCAAAATTACATATTAATTTATTTATTTTCATCCGTAAGTTGCGGGGGTATACCGCTACCTGTAACCAACTACCTACCGTATGGTACTCTAAATCCATGCCTTTAAAAGTGAATGACCTATAGGCTCGACCCACACATGAATTGAAGGTATTAGCGAGTAGATCGTATCATTTCTACATACGCAAATTTGCACAAAAATCGAATTTTTCTCACCTTTTGGGCATATTTTGATTTTTCCTGACATATTTTGAGTGTGGAAGTTGGAAATTTTGTATGTAAAAATTATCTACTCACTAATACCTTCAATTTGGTAAACCTGTCGAGCCTAGGTCATTCAGTTATAAAAACATTAGGGTACCACACCCCTGTTAAGTTGTCTAGATTTGGAGAGATGAAAATAGTACAATATTTATTAAGAGACATTATTTCGGAATAATATTTAAGAATAATATTTAAATAATATTTAATAATATTTAATAATAATATTTAATATCTTTTAAATATTTATTACCGGGGATAAAAGTTGTCGAGACCGTGTACGACTGACCCTCAAGCATTTCACACGGCTCCGTGGTGCAACCAGTCATTTCGAATTCAACAAATTGGCCGGATTCCTCTACATGTAGGAATACTAATTTATGTATATTACATTTTAATTTTTGGCTGATGTGATGACATGGCATTGAAATCACTAACGATCAGCACAGTGCCTTGGTGAAGGGGTCACGCCATCAAGCAGTTGAATACCAGCTTCTTTCGATATGGACACCCCTTTGCAATTGCCTAAAAATAGGGCGCTCAGAAACAAAAAGGTTAAATGCATGTTTATAATCCTACTAGCCAATCTACTTCATTGACGGGAGATGCTTGTGGTACTGAGCATGTTAAGCTTTTAAGTAGGCCTTTAAATACGGGGGATAACCCTTGCGTAAGATATGTTATCTTATAATGGAGTGATATTGGTCGATGTTACGAGATACTAATTAAATTAATTAATATCGTATGTGTATTTTAATTGGATTTTGGATTGATGCTGTTACATAACATCGATTTTGCCTGATGCAATATCGTTCAAAAGTTTCAGGGTTGGATGTACATATTAAATTTGTATTGATCAAAGAAAAACCAGAGCTCCAAACTTTTTAATATTTATTCATTTACATTGAAAGATAATTACATACTTACATAATCATACATGAACATGACATAACCTAGCCCAACCTGGTATTTCCAATGTATTATCGCGTTGCTCTACTGCATACATATTATTACATATATTTGCACTCCGAAATAATTCATAACTAATAATTTTGTGTTAGGGGTTTGTTGATAAAAATCATTCAAGTAAAAAATCTGGTTTTTTTACGCATACAAATTATACGAAGAGCGAATAAATGCGAATTTTTTTATAACTGAATGACCTATGTAGGCTCAACATGTTTACCAAATTCAATGTATTAGTAAGTATTTAGATCATTTCTATATAAAAAATTTCCAACTTCCACACTCAAAATATTTCAGGAGGAATCAAAATATGCCCAAAAAGTGAGTAAATGCGATTTTTGGGCAAATTTGCTTATGTAGAAATTATTCGAAGACCCTCCAATGATTTTTAAATCAGTTAAACATTATTTAAGGACATGAATATTTTTTGCTTACCCTATTTTACAACAAATGTGATGATTCTCATGTTATACAAATGTAAATACACATATACACTCGGTGGAACTGCTGATCATCCTCACCTAGTGCGCTCGGTTCCAATGGTCACCGAAAGGGGGACGGCCGACCAATACCAATCAAAATGGCATGAAATGTGCAGAAATATGTTATCAATCAGTCTATTCATCAAAAACTTGTAGAAAATTATCTAGATGCATTTTATACGACATTAACATGGAGAAATTCATAAACGGGCTCGCAACTACTGCTCATCCGCTTAAAGCAAATTCCATTTATTTTTAGATTTACCAACTTAATTTTACAATTAGTAGTTTGTGTGACCACCCTTGGCCATCAGGACTGCATTGACTCGATTTGGCATCGATTCCACTAATTTCGCTGTTGTTTCCTTCTGGATGTTGTTCCATTCTTCGTCCACAATTGAAATTAAATTTGTTCTGGAAGTCGGGTTCCTTTCAGCAACTTTTTTCTTCAAAATTGACCATAAATGTTCAATTGGATTTAAATCCGGGCTCTGTGGCGGCCATTTCATTACGTTTACCCGTTTTGTTTGCAGCCAATTCGTGACCAATTTGGACGTATGTTTGGGGTCCCCGTCTTGTTGGAAGACAAAATTCTTCCCTAGTCGCAGGCTGTTCCGAGATTTCATCAAATTTCGGTCCAAAATCCCTTGGTACACTTCTTTCGTCATAATTCCTTCAATTACTTCCATGGTTCCCACGCCTTTCCACGACATTGCACCCCAAACCATAATGGACCCCCCACCATGCTTCACGGTCTTCTTGGTACAGTTACTCTTGACTCGTTCTCCTGGTTTTCTCCAGACAAAAACTTTGCCATCTGATTCAAATATGTTTATTTTGGTTTCGTCACTCCAAAGAACTTTTTTCCAATCGGATACGGACCACGTGGAGTGACTCTTCGCCCAATCCAAACGCTTCTTAATTTGGGGCTTTGTCAGCAGTGGCTTTTTGGTTGCGACTCGGCCTTTAAACCCCATATTTCGGATCCGATTTCGAATAGTGGAATCAGAAATCTTCGTACCAAACTGCTGAGCCAATTCCACATTGATTTTTCGGGCAGATAAGAAGCGATTGGAATTTGCTTTCTTCTGGATAAGTCGGTCGACTCGAGGAGTGGTAACACGACGGCGGCTATTTCCCTTCAAATCAGTAATTGTATGGTATTTCTTCCATTTCGACAGCATGGATTTGATGGTGGGAATCTTCACTTTCGTCTTGTTGCTGATTGCTGTAGGTTTCAATCCTCTCTCGTGGTAACTTATCACCAATTTCCTAATGTCGTGCGACAAGTGTTTTCCAGGCATTTTCAGCTCTGAAAAACCAAAATGACAATGAATAAAATGGTCTTCATTACTTGAATTAATAGTAATCAAGATGCACTTACCCGCATAAAAAAATGATAAATCAAGAAAATTGTTTCCACTCGAAAATTGTGTTTTTGTTGTGGCGGATGAAGACTAGTTGCGAGCCCGCTTGTGTCTTACTCTATGCTCATTCCGTGTAAAATGAGTGCAGTTAACTTTTTGGAAGTTTTTGCTTAATTGACTGATTTAGTACATATTTCTGCACGTCTGATGCTTTTTTGACATATATTGGTCGGCTATGCCCCTTTCGGTGACCATTGGAACCGAGCGCACTAGGTGAGGATGATCAGCAGTTCCACTCAGTGTACATACATAGTATGTATGTATTACATACAGACATACGTACATGTGAGCCTTCAAGATATTGTACATATTTATATACAATGGAATTACGGACTTGGGTTAGACATACATAGTTATGTACCGTACATACATATTGTAGATCGCAAACACCTCTCAAGTTTCTCACTTGACTTTCATTACGTTAAGCCAAATAATAATTTTCAAGTGGATAATCCACTCCGGAGATATCTCCCCACTAACATCGTTACTATAAGTCGTCTCGAATTGTACAAAATTTCTGACACAATTGCCCCCCTTTTTTCCAAATTGATCCCAAGATTTTCCCACTGTTTGCAACAACTTCACCTGTCTGGGACAAATTGTACGCCATGTGAACTGTTTACCCCGATACTGCCAAAATTAAGGAGCTTAGAGATATCTGACTTTCTCGGAAATGTGTTTAAATTTGAAACACAATTTTGCTTCGATTATGCCAAGCAGTTTCCAATTTTGGAAAAATTGGGCATTTTTCAAAATAAAAAGGGCATTAAAACAATAAGTGACACATATTAAGGCATGGTCCCATTGCTGTATGCCACTTTTTTACAAGACAATATTACAGCGTGTCACTCATTAAAACAGCTCAAGCTACCATTGCCCCTCATGGCGAGGTTTAGATTATTTCCGACGAATCAAATTAGCCAATACAGGGAGCACGTAAGACCTTCAAAATATGAGTGGAGGGATAGTGAAGAGTATTTTGGCAGGATTTAGAAAACTTTTCCTCATGTTGATTACCAAGTTTGGAGAAAGAAGAGGCTCGAAAAGGTAAAGAAATTTGTGAAAGTCGGGATTAGTCTGGGTTTCTGTGGGGAAGATTTGGAAGACAGTATGATGAATGGGTGTTTGATGGATGCATGTAATTTGGAAGGATAACGGTTGCGTGGGTAAAATTTGAAAAATATATGTTATTCATGTATGTAGGCTAAAAAGCACCAATAAATATTATGACAAATCTGTATTTTTTAAAACGTATAATAACAAGGGAGAATTTATAAGTAATACCGATATGAAATGAATTATTGATTACATGCATAAATATATGTATGTATAAAATCAACGCAAATATGTAGTTATAATACGCAAGATGACTCTAATGGAACTTGTTTTTTGGTTTAATAGATTGATATGTACATATAATGTGAGTACGATTGGCTTCGGGATATGTATATTTTAGATAATCAGATTTTGGATCAATAGTGCTAAAATCGACATGTATTTTTTAGTGATGCAGTATCGTTCATACATATGTAAATTTCAGTTTTGCACGTATTGTCTAATGCAATTTTTAGTTATTAAAGTAATCGCATACCTAAAGTAGCTATTTTATGCGAACTTAATACTTTGGTACGCTTTATTCAGAAGAGAAACCGGAATTTCAAACTCGTTAATTTGTATTGGTATAGGTAATTATTTCAATAAGTAATTGATAAATGACAAATTATTTAAGTAATAAAATGGAAACAAGGCAAAACATGGCGATGTCAATTATAAAGCTTTTCTATATCCAAAGATTTAAACTCATCCTCAACATAATTCGCGATCCGCATTAAACTATCCTCATCTGGAAAAATTCTCTTATCTCCGATCAGTTGTAGCCCTAATTTTCCATTATAACTCGTAGTGATTACAAGGAGAGGATTTCCGTTGCGTTGCAGCCCCGGTACTGTGATCCACCTTTCCAACGTATTTCCAAAAATTTTCATCGGCTCGCCGAAGTAGGCAAAATTCGAGTGTATGTAAGTGCAGGTATTTGGCGTAATTCTCGTCTGTCCGAAGAAGCCAAGCAATAATCCGAATACGTTGAAAAGTGTCATCATTCCTATTGGCAGGGAGGAGTAGAACATGTGGTCAAATGTTTTAGAAATCCGGGCGACTCGTTGAAACCTGTCTTCTCGTGACATCGGGGAGACCAGAGGCACGCCAAACCTAATGATTTACATATAATTATGTATATATATATATATTAGAATTCGTGATCATTAACACCACTCTTAGGATTATAAATCCGGTATGAAAATCATATCAAGCGGCATTCATTTTTTACGATTACATCAAAATGGTAAGTATTTATAAGTAATACCATACTATCTATCTAGAACTAGCCCGGTATCAAAGTTTTACCATATCCGTAGCAAATTCTTATGAACCGGTATAACTTTGATACCGAGAAATTAATACCTGCGTGGCTATTTACACCAGATTTTTTAGTGTGAGGTTAACCGTAAAATTAACAATGACAATGATCTTGTGTGCGTACTTAACAAAACTTTCTCATCACCGGGAAATTAAGCACATCAACATATTTGCATTATGAGATTTCGCAAAAAAAGTTTTGCTGCAGAAGTTCATAATCTATGGGAATTTAGTTCGCAAATGATTCTAGCAAATGGAGATATTTTCTTTTCATTCGATTATTTTGTAAATTATTTGCAAAATTATTTACAAATGATAAGTAGCTGTCGTGCATATACCGTGTAAAAATACAATGGCGGACTAAAATTTATCTATAATTTCTGGCAAAAATCAGTCTAACCTATTCACTTACACATTGTTCGACAAAGTTCCTGGATGGTTCAGTTTGGGAAGGATGTAGACACCCGCAATATCTCCCGTAGGATCACCGCCCCTCTCTAGAACAATCCTTCGAACCGCGCCCGCCACGCCGGCGTGAATCACGGACGTCACATTAGCCCCAATTTTCTTAGAGATGCGTTTCAACAACGTTAGATCAATCCAAGTCGCCACATTTATCTTCCTATCATAGTCACAGTTCCGACCCTGTTTTGAATTTCGCGGGATGCTTTGCGAACTAAACCCACACACCCACCAGTACACGACTTCCCACGGCGTGATAAATACTATCTGCAAAAAGTAGCTGATTTTTTTCCAGAAATTTAAACTCAATTTTTTCCTGATTGATTTCAACAGTTTTTCAACTTCCTCATCGGCAGCGGGATCCTTGTCGCACACATCGCGTATTATGGAAAGTAAGGCTAAACCATCGCCGAGGATGTGATGCACTCTGAGAACAATGGCGGAAGATGTTCCGCTCTCTGCGTGGACATAATTTGGCAGGGATATAATTTCCCAGAGTGGTTTTCCCACCGGATAATCCTTCTCGCTTAGATTGTTCACCAGTTGGGTGAGTTTTTCCGGATCAGATTCTTCATTACGGGAGACATGATTAAAAATTTGAAAATCTTCGCATCTTTTCCAAAAGTAGACGGACATCCATCGAGTAATTGTACAAGTTAATTTCGGACTCTGAAAAATTGTGATGAGTTTTTAAACGAGAAAATTTTTATCCAAGTTATATATGTACATATGTACATGTCAGTAATTTGAAGAAATTTAGTATTCATACACTATACACTCTTAGAAATCCGGTATTAAAATAATACCAAGATGTATGTATATATATATGACTACCAAAGTGGTACCGTTTAGTAATAGCGCAGTATTAAAGGTGTACGATATCGGTAGCGAATTTTTACGGACCAGGACGGTATAATTTTAATACCAGGCGGTAGCAAGTTGCTACTAGCACTTTGACAGCGAGGACTTTACCAGATTTCTAACAGTGTGTATACATAAATACTTTACACACCTTGGCAATTACTCGTTCTACTCGGGCCACCAAATCATCGAAAGAATGACCACTTTTTAAACAGACTACACCCGAAATTGAACCACTTGGTCGGCCGTGTATATCGTCAACAATGTGAATGCAATCGTCCACACTTAACGGGGCGTAGTTTTTTCTTCCCTTGGAGAGATATATGACGATTCTTTTGTAAATGTAAAGTGGTACCACGACCAGGATGATGAAAGGAAGCAGAACAAAGTACGCGGAGAAGACTGAGAAAATTTTTAGGAAAGTTTTATTTCGAAAAAACAAGTTTAAATTCATTGTAAGACAAAATTTTGAGGGTGATTAAATTACACAAGATTGAGGAAATGAATATGTAAATGACTTATTCTGACTTTTTGGCACACATAAAGATTTATGTATGTATTCAGTACATATGCACGTAACTTAAGTAACTTGAGGTTATTGATTTTATAACCATGTTGCAAATATGATAATGTGCCATAATAACTGATCCTAAGTTTCATTAAGGAACAGAGCTCCAGCTCTGGTCGGACCGGGGTATGCTGGGTTCGATCAAACACATATAATATGACGCTTTTTATCTCAAATAAAATTGTAACGAATTTACCAAAATTGTAATGCAATTGTAATTTTTGATGAAAATAATCAGAGATAATTGGGTAAATATAGTGCTGGTAGTACAGTCATATCATTTAAAAATAGTTAAACAATTTCAGATTAAAATTGCGTAATTACTTTGACGTCAAAAATTTTATTACTTTGAATAAAGTTTTGCTTAATAAGAAAAATATGTGTGCGCATTCAGTCTTAAATTTTAAAAGTTATCCGGCAACCTCTGGTAACGAGATAGGAAAAGTGCGACCAGAGCTGGGACTCTGGTACGGAAGATGAGGGATGGAAGGTTATCAAAGAATTGACCTGTCCGCTCATTTTAACCCATGTTATATCTATATTATATCTCTGTAATTAATGAACTCGAGTTCATGTAGGTACGAAATTTATATGGTTATGCACATGCATATATAATTTATACATATGAATCAATACGCACACATGTATCATAGGGTTATCTACATATGTAGATGTATGCAGTTGAATAATAGGTAATTGTTCTCTAGAGAACATCTTAGATGCTTATTTATGTCACGATTTAAATCTAAATTTTATTCATGGAAATGCAAAATATTTTTTGCAGAGTGATGTAACCTTAATTATTCCTAATTAAACATATATGATTAATAAATATATTTATTAAATAGTATTAGGAATGCTCACCACAGTATGTTAATAAATATGCCAATATGGAAGCCGGTGATAATCCGGTGGTAAAATTTCTTACAGCGTAAATCATCCAAAGTTAACATGCCAGACCTGTATACTTTGTATTTGCATATACTTATATACTACTCCAGGACCATAAATATGCAGAACAAATACAGATCTATGAGGAAGAGTTAAAATTCAATTATGTTTTTATGTATTTGAACAATTTAACTTCAATCCATTCCAATTATACTTTCTCTATTTCGGCAGTATTGAGCATGTAAAGGAGATGGTCATTTGTGAAACTAATAAGCATAAAAGTAAAAGTCATTACTTTCCCCAGCACATCATTTACAAGCTAGCCAGATCAACTAAGCGTATTGAAAATGTTTGTGTCATCATTTATTCCCGTTTTTTGCAGAGAAAGTGGAGAAAGTGCTTTGGCTGGTGATCTAGGCTGAAAATTTACTTTGAGCACTTTTTAGAAATTAGAAGCATGTCACCTCATCTAAATTTATTTTTTGAAGGGATAGGTGTCACGTTTGTATCTTTTTGCGGCATCGTGGCTGCAAGTGGAAGTCTTATTGTTTTGCGAGGTAGAGAGTTTGTTAATTGCCCAATTAATGTATTGTTAACGGGGCTGCAGATTTGCGACATTGTGATCAACATGATTTTACTCACATTCTTTGGGCTTCCCTTCATTTGCGAATATGTTGGTATAAACACTGCTATCCTGCGGACACCAGTGGTTCATTATTTCGTGTACTACACATTCTGGACAGGTACATTTTCAAATCAATTTGTCGAAAACTTCTTTATATATATTTCGAGTCCAACAGCTCTGTTGGATCCCAGGAAATTAACCTCTTAGCTACCAAACTACACACATTGTGTAGAGAAGGTACATACTTCCATTGACTACCAAAGTACATATGTACATTTGTGTAGTATTGTATTTTCCGTTGATGACCAACTATAGTTGGTTTGTGTATACACAAATGTGTGTACTGTATAAATTTCCTTGACACCAAAATTGCTTTAAAAAAAGAATATTTCTTCGGTATTTTGTTGAAAATTCGATGGTGAAAAGTGGATTTTTTTCGATATTTTTCTCCCCAAATTTTGGAATTTTCCCTATACCGACCAATGTTAAAAAGTAGATTTTTCGTGTTTTTCGTCAAAAAAACTCGAAAATGAGAAACTGGTTAAAAATTTTAATTGGTTGCTATCAGGTTTACTTATGACATCAAGATGGTACCTAAGGGAAATTTTATTTAAAAAAAAGTAGTCCGAAAGAGGTTAATATCTTATTATTATTAATTATTTTTTCGCAGCTAAACTAGGAGCTCATTACTTTGTTAGCTGTGTATGTATTTTACGGTAAGTTACCGTAAGAAAAGTTTGGTCATTTTTCAGAACGCGTTTTTTCATAAACCCCTTCAACGCATTGTAGTGCAGTGAATACTTATAATAAGAATGCATCAAGATCAGTGGCCGTGGGAACATCTGGGGACATTAACATTGTGGGACAGGGGAGGTCGGGGTATACATAAAATGGGCAGATGACGGAGACGTCGAATAACCGTATTGGTGAATAACCGTGGGGACATTGTCCTAATTGACCTCTGTCCCTGCGCTTCCGCGGCCACTAATAAACAGGGGTGGGCAAGATACAAGATAGTATCTATCTTTATCTTGTAATTTCGTCGCCTGATCAGAGAAGTATCTTTTAGAAAGTCGAATAGTATCTTGTGCAAGTATCTTATTTACATATGCCTAAACCTATGTATTATACATATGCATATCTGTACTATACATACGTATGCATGTACATATATTTATGCGTACTCGTACATATACACATACGTTGCGTATTACATGATATGTACTTCAACATAGATATTATAGGTATATGTAGGTATTATACATAGATATTGACCTATGCGTCTTTATTACTAATAAATCTTTACTACTAATAAAGACGCACAGGTCAATTATACACTTATCAATTATAGCCGTTTAGGTGACATTTAATTTGCTCAGATCTTAAATTTCGGTGTATATAAATAAATATGTGCATATTACTTAGTTACAGAAGTTTTATTTTTCTAAGTCACTAAATATAGAATCAAATTAACTTTCCAGCTACATTGCGGTTTGCTCTCCACTGCGGGCAAGAAATTTATGCACCAGGATGAGATGCGTCAAGATATCCATTTCCATAGTAATTTTCTGCGCCCTCCACGTGTGCATTCTACATGGACCGAAAACTTTTGCGATGTCGGAGTTGGAGTTCGTAATATGTTTCATTTTCCCCATTTCGATCATTACATTCACAAATGTATCAATTTACCGAAAGGTATATTTTTTAGAGCCTTAAACACGATTTTTATACCCATATATATTTATGCAAGCACTTATCTATGTTTTATTTTATCTTCTAATTTATTTAAGTAGATGGTAAAATCAACAAAAAGACGGGAATCAATCACGTCATCCGTATCAAGTTCTGGGGATTCGGCAACCAAACAGCTTAATAGGCTAGTATTAATGATCGCGGTAACTTTTATTGTTTGCAATAGTGTAGAAATTCTTAGCAGGTGTTTCGAAATTTTTAATCTCGAAATAATTTTGTTTCAAAATTTTGTCGTTCCGACATTTTCTAATTTTCTAATTTCGTTATGTGCTTCATCAAATACGTTGTTCTTTTGCTTGGTCGGGTCAAAGTTTAGGATTAATTTTTATAATCTTTTCACCTGCTGCAAAGCAAACGCCAGTGAGGTTGAGGCGGTCGAGCTCCGAGTACTTCGAATTCGGTTGCTTCCTGTGGAAGCGGATCAAAATGAAGTGAATGTTTAGTATTCAAGTGTCGATCTGACATTATTAGCTCACCCTGCGTAGCATGAGAGCTATTGAATTCCTCTTGTCCGTCCGTCCGTCCGTCCGTTGACGAGTTTTATGCATCAATTGATGCTAATTAAAAATCCCCTTGTCCATTATAGAATATCCTAGTTCTACCATTGGTATAGAACAAGCCGAACGAAAATGGTGCAAATCATTTGATAAAGTTGATTGAGAAAGTACTACAATTTGGAATAAGTTGCACCGTTAGGATAGAACAATCGGTTATCCAAACTGATGCGAAATAATTGGAAGAATCGATACAAAATGCACCAAAACAGCAGAATAACTGATGAAAATAATTACAAAAAATATGACACTGCAATTTCATGTTTTCTTGACAAAAATGGAAATTATGTAAAAATTGGGTATTTATTTGGTCGCATTGTTCTACACCATTGGTGCAAAATTACATGATTTGTATACACTGTGATTATTCTGCAACATTGGTGCAGAATTATTACAGCGTTTTAACAAATTAATTGCATCCTTGATATCCAACAATTGGTAACACAAAACGGTGCGAAATAATTGGGGGAAGGGATGCAAAACACACCAATAGTGCAGAATATCCGTGAGAAATAATAAATATAATTTTGACATACGTTTTCAAAACGTTACCACCCCGTCGGTGGGCCAACGAATTCCCTAATTTTTTATACATATTTTTGCATTTATATTGCATCATTGAATCATTGAATCGCAAGAACATATAGGAGTTAGGATCTATTTTATCGGCTTATTCCGCACCAAGGTTCTGTCTAAATCACTATGACAGGGTGAGCTACTTCTAACGTTACTACGGTTTATTTTAAGTAAGTGCACTAATAAGTTTCCATGAGATGCAACACTACAACAATATTAATACTTATAAGTAGGTACTTTAATCACCTGCAATGAAAGAACTTATTACAAAAGAATTTAACGGTAAAAAGATGCGTATTATTCCTCAGTCCTCTGTTCATGTATGTATTTAAAATTTCCCGCTAGGCGATAATATTTTATTTCGCCTTCTTCATGACCGGATAGTTGTATTTTTTGTTCAGAATTTAAGTTAGCGTCGAAGTAAATATTCTAGAAAGGTCTGGGTATGATGCAACAGCAAGGACGAGCGTAGGCTGAACAACCACAAGTCCGGCACCAGTTGCGGTACAGTCGAAATGCGTGTCGCCTAGTTCGGATGGGTGACGAATCTTCGGTCCAGAGCTCTGCCAAGTCCCCGTCATCTACATCTGCATACGCCGACGAGAAGGGAACCATTAATTATGACGTGTGAAATTTATTTTAACACATAAATTAAGAATATTATGTAAAGTTCTATTGTATGCGGGTTGGATAGTTGGGACATATTCAAAAAGACAAAAATTCAAAACCCGCATACAAGGGAACCTTACGAGTTTTAAAGTTTAGATAAACTACATCAGATGTCAGAGATTTTTTAGCTTTCAATTTAATTACTACATTAACAAATACTAAGTTTGTAAGATTGTATTTTACCAATTTCTTCGTCAGGAAACTCGGCAGGATTTGGGCCGGTCAAACCGTTGCAAATCAAGAGCAAGATTACCACCCCGCCCAAGAAAATTGATATCTTGTTCATCGCTAAAGCCGAAGTAGTGATCGCAAGAGAGTTGAACTTATTTAATTTTGAATTGTATCAGCTGCAACCCTTTTTATCTCCAAATTGTATCAATTAATAAGAATATGGATTCGAATTATGGGTTGAAAGGTTGCAAAAACAATGGAAGAAATCAAGGCATGCATAGGCGTTCTTTCGAATTTCGTAAGTGCCAGGATATGATGAAATCACAGAAAGGAAAAAACAATCGTGAATACATAAATTCAGTATAAACAATACATTGTTTATACAATGTATTGTTTATACTGAATTTATGTATATTTTGTCCTTTTTGTGATTTCATCATATCCTCGCAATTACGGAATTCGAAAGTACGCCTATGCCTTGATTTTTTCCATTGTTTCTATATATTATATGATAATTGTTAAGTTCACGAAGCCACTTTCTTATTTACGACACTCAATTAATCAAGGGCCGCTCGGTTTCACCTCAAAATTCTTGAGCTTGTATGCATTATTGTCCATAACAGTATAACAATTGATTTTAGGCTAACTGAGTAAATCAATTAAATATTTACGCAACCAACCGGCACAGCGACAAGATACAAATTTGGAAATTCAATCAATTGTCTTTTATGTGTATTTGAATAAACATGACTTTTCCGTAAATACAAATTATACCGGCAAGATATGAAATGAATCTGCTGGGATTTAGCATTCCAGCAATTAGATACTCGTATGAATACCAAATGTAGTGCGACACAAAGCGGTATTTTTATTTCAAATATTTAGCTGTCACGCAGTCTGATTCGTGTTCATCTTGTAGACAAATTGAGGACGTTACGAATGCTTGGTTATTATTTTTTGTTTATATATATACATATATTAATTTACATTTATGTCTGGTTAGTTGCCAGATTTTAGTTTTACGAGATACGTACTGCGTCCTTTTTCCTGGGTGTATGTACATATGTCCCACCGGTTCTTCCAAAGTGGTGCGAGTGTCCCGTCACCCGTTGGAACCAGCGTCCGGTGTACTTTTGAGCTTCGCTTGACGCCACAAGATTAGTCAAATTTAACAGTATGTACTAACAAGTACTAACAACTTATTTTCTCAGAATTTGATGGAGAATACGAATATGAAGTTAAATTTCGAAAATTAAGTTTCGAAGAAGTTACTTCAGATAGCCTCAACATTCCCAATTTCGTGGGTGGTAAAAAGTGTCTTTTTCCCACTGCCCTGGTCAATTTAGTTTTTGCCATCGAAACCCTGCTCGTACCATAAATATCTAAATGATTACACGATCCAAGCCAACTCTCAAAGAACATGCTTTCGAAGCTACTATTCCATAAAATCGGGAATGATCCCATCATGCAAGTCACGTGTCTCAATATTTTTAATACACAATATTTTTATCTGAACTTTGGCATAAGAAATATTCTGAGTGGTAATATCTGTATGCGTACAAATTGGTCATTATTCATTAAATGCTAAAAGTACAAAAAACTCGTCAGCCTCAATTCCTCTATTGATTTCGAACAATTAATTAAATAGTTTTTAACTCATCGTCCAGCCGAAACCGAGATGCTCTCCTCTCCGAAAATTCGACACAGCGGAAACCTCTTCCCCATCAGCAGACTCATTTTGACTTTGTGCCGCAGGACCGTTCTTAACTTGAACTTTCTTGGATTTCTTCCTCACATAAAGTGGCGCCTTCCTTTCCAGAACAATTTTATGGACCTTCGTCAAATGTCGATTTAAATTGTTTACAGTCTTGAATGCTGCCCCACACAGGTCACAAATTTGGTTCCTTTGATCCGAATGAGTTTGGACGTGAATCCTTAATGCGGCCTTGGTGTAGAATCTTGACTTACAAATCTGCAGAATAGAAAGCAGCTTTTTGCGACATTCTTTATAAATAGTACGTTTTTTAAAAAACTTTCTTACCTGACATTCCTCCTTTCTAACTCCAGTGTGTCTTACTTTGTGACGTCTTAATAAATGTGGGGACGTAAAGGTTTCATCACTGAGGGAAAAAGAAAAAAGTATTTCCGAGTGAAAACACGATTTTTGAAAACGTAGATTTAGAAATATTCGTAAAGTTTACCACTCATCACAAACAAACGGCTCGGCGTTATGCTCCAAGATAAGATGTTGTCTGACAGCGGCGTTATCCCTGAATTTTTTTCCACACTCGGAGCATTCACCTTTCTTTTGCTTTTCGTGCACCAATTCGATATGGGTTTTGAGCTGGTACTTTATAAGGAACTGTTTCGGACAAATGTGACAACTGTATTTTTCTCCTGTGTGGTCACGACGGATGTGATGGGTTCGTGATTGAGCGTCAATAAAGGATTCTTCGCATTGGTCACATTTGTACGGTTTGTGTCCAGTATGAGACCGGATATGTCTAGGAGTAAAATAGAAAAATTAGACATCACTTTATATTTAAATTTAGCAATTCTCGTGTCTTGTTCTAAATAAACAAACGAGGCAATTCATAAGATCCGAAACGGTTTGAATTCGTTATAAAAAAGTTTACAAAATAAAATTATCTGCACAAAGATACAAAAATTTGTAAGCTAATTTTGACAGGTTGTTACAGATTTTAAAATTTTATGCACCAACACGTGAACTGTCTCAATAAATAAATAAATATACGTTTACGTTTTGTCTGCAAAAATTGCAAAATAAATAAACACTTTCCATATTTTCCTACCTTCTCAGTGCCGCACTCGTGCTGACTTCCGAGCCGCAAAACTCGCACACAAATCTGTTCACATGAACAGATTTATGCTTTTCGAGATGAGGCTCGTCTACAAATCTGACATCGCAAACTTTACACACGACGGGATGACTTTTGTCAATTTTGTGGCGATCAGCATGGCTTTTGAAATTTATTTCGAGGCTGAATCCCTTCTCACATTTTCTACAAAAGAATAATTTGTCCTCCGTTTCATGCCGCACGATCATATGGGCGTCCAGCGCTCTCTGCGATTCAAACTTGTTGTTACAAATGGTGCACTGGAATTGGTAAAAACCCGGGTGTTCTTGTCGCAAGTGGAAGCGTAATTGTTTCAATTTTCTAAATCTGGCTGGGCAAGCGGCACAGGAAAAGTTGTAAAATTCTTCCTCTTCAGATGGAGTGGTGGGGACGAAGGTTTTGATGTTTTTGAAATAACGCTTTTTCGGGGGAGCTTCGTCATCTGAAATTCTTTTGCGTTTCCTTTTTTTACTGCGATTTACATAAATGAAGAAATAAGTAACAACAATTAATTTAAATATCCAAATTAAAATGACATTTTTTTTTTTACTTTTTCTTGTAATCATCCGGTGTTATGAGAAGGGGAGAAGAGTCGTCGCTGGAAAAATAATCATCATCTCGGGAGGATTCCTCGTTATCCTTCAATACGAAGGGGGGATCGTTCTTATCGTAACTATCATCGTCGTCTTCTAGACTGGACGTTGGAGACGGGGCTGGAGGGGGTGAAGTATTGCTATCGTCGGGAAGGATTTGTTCCTCGAAATTGTTCGTGACGCAGAAATCATCATATTCCGGTTCTATTTTGACTGGAAAATCAGGAAGGATTTCGCCGTAAAAGTCGACGCCACCTAAGAAAATTAATTATTAGTGGAAAAAATCAAATCGAGTCAGGAGATATGCAAAGTACAAGTTTAAATTTGGTAATTTTGCAAAATAATGTGCACCAAATTTATATAGCGCGTTTAAAAAAATTGTATGAATTTTTTAAATCCGAACCTGCAGAAATTAGAGATTTTCGAATCCTTCTTCTTAACCCTATTTCTTTGTCGTTTTTTGAGTAAGCATTCTCCACCGATGACCTAAATTGTTGCACCTTTTTTTCAACTTGACCTTCCAATTTGGTTATTTGTTGCTTCATTACGGCAATTTGTTCCTTAATTGTTTTAAGTGTTTTCATCCCACAATAGCAAGTTTGGCATAAGTTGTAAAATCCACCATTTTCATTATTAGATTCTGCAACGATGGCCTGGTGGGGGGTGGAGGTGCGATGTTCCGGCACCAAGAGGTCGTACAGCGTGATAATTTGTATGTTCTGGGAGGAATCATTCGCACAATTTGATAGGCACAGGAGGCAGTGCGAGCTGACCATGGTGGTGACCCTGTAAGTAAGTAAAAGACAAGGTTTTAATAATTAATAAAATTTTTATAAGGCGTTAACCTCACCTGCTCAAAATCTTGTAAAATTATTCCTCCAAATTGCAAAATCAAAAGAAGCTACAAATGCATACATAAATATGAAATATCTGTAAAAATGATAAACCTCACAAATAAATTTGTATTGTTAATATTTTAAATTTGGTTTTACCATTTGAAAAAGTAGTACGACCTACCATCTTAAATTAAGTATTACGGTATAAAAAGTCAAAACAAAAACTGTACTGCATGAAATTTCAAATTTATTCACTGCTCCAAGAATTTTAGTTTTTAATTCGATATATTTTACTTACCGGGGTCGAATGGTCGAAGAAATGCTTATTTTGTTACCAAATCGTGTAATTTATTGACGATTAGATTATTTTTTTCAAACCGAAATTTAACCCAGTGTTTATTACATATGGAGACAAGGGAAACATATGATATGCAAAAGTGATACATAACATAAACTCGGGAAAACGTTGAGAATTGAGCATGCCCGAGGTGCATCATTTGCTATGAAATTGAAAATGAAAAAATGAAAATGACAATTTTGAATTTCGAATTTTTGTATGAAAATTTGGCATTTTTGATGTTTCGACATATGTACATCTAGACTCTGTCCTTTCTATTTCTCTGCATAAGATTGGCATATGAATATTTTCCACCATTTGACCCACGGAAATTTACATCATTTAAATGAATTTTATAATGTTAAAAATAACACTTACATAATTTGCATGTATCATGATTTGCAATAAGAATTTCTAGTTGATTATTTTTGAAAATATGTTTTATTTAAATTTTTATTTCTTAGGATAGTCCAATGTAAAAATAACTTGGTTTGACTAAAACAAGTTGTGTTGATCACTCAATTTAAAGTCCAAGAGCAGCAGCAACATCGATACGTCCGTAACCTGAAATTCACAAAATATTTTCAATATAAACGTCTTCATATGACATTATTCGATCTTCACTTCAATTGCAGCAAACTTACCGAAGGCATGATTTGGGAAATCTCCACCTTCCGGAAGTCCACAATTTCTATCAGCATTGGACAAGGTGGGGTGGGCTGGGGTGGTCGTGAGGGCAGTGAAGATCTGGTCATATCCCCAGCTTGGGTTGGCAGACATGAGAAGAGCGATGGCTCCAGCGGTGTGGGGACAGGCCTGGGTTATCATGAAATAAAAAAAAATAAAATCAGTCCGTCAAAAACTAAAACATCCCTGAAAAACCCACCATTGAAGTTCCGGACATGGTGACGTAGTTGTTGGCTCCAGTTCCGCACGATACGATATTATTTCCTGGTGCGGAGACTTCTGGTTTGAGTGCTCCCGCTGCGGTGGGTCCTCGGCCGGAGAAGGTCGCCATGGCGTCGGTGTTAGTGGTGGCACCGACGGAGATAAGGTTGGGCTGATCTCCGGGGGACCCGACCGTCCTGCAGTTTGCCCCTGAGCCTCCGATCGCGAAAACTGGGATGATCCCAGCCGATCGCCAAGCAGAGACGACCGTGTTGTAAAATGGATCCCCAGCACCACCACCCCACGAGTTGGAGACGATGTTTGGTCTGGGATTGGCCGTCAAGACCCATTGACCACAGGAGATGAGATTAGCTTCAGTTCCGGATCCTTGGTGGTTAAGTCCACGGCAGGCGACCCATTGGGCAGCAGGGGCAACACCGACACCGTTGGCACGTCCGAGGACGGTTCCCGCGCAGTGAGATCCGTGTCCTTGTTGGTCAGTTGGTCCGGCAGTGTTGTAGTACGGGTCGCTCCAGGCACCTCCGTACGCGTCAGCGAGCGCAACGTGGCCAAGATTCACTCCGGTGTCGATGATGCAAACGACGGTACCTTCACCTTGGGTACGCGCCCAGGCTTCGGGTGCCCTGATTTTGGCAACGCCCCATTGCGGGTTCTGGGTAGCGTTGGTCGCCTCAGCAATGGATGGGCTCATTCGGACGGTGACTTCCTTGCGGAGGGTGAATTCTCCGGGGGTGGCGGCCAAGGAGGCGAGAGTCTCGGGGGTCAAACCCTTGACGAGGATGATGTTGGATCCCCAGTAGGTCTGGGTCTCGAGGCCGAGGGAAGAAGCGACTTGGACGAAGGGGGCCTGAGCAGCGGAGGTGAGTCCTTGAAGCGTGGCGACGAGGGCGGACACCTTGGCATCACCGGAGAGGGACGAGAGCGGTCGGCTGGCTTCGACCTGGTCCATGACCTGGGGTAGTTCGAGAATCGCCTCGGTGGCGCCTTCTTGAATGGCGAGGTTGAGGGCGGGGTGGACCGTGCCGGCGGCGGCGACTGCCAGGGTGGCAGCGAGGACGAGAAGCAACTTCATGGTGGAGCTGAGGAGTGGAGGGAAATACGATTGAATTGCTGTTTCTGGAAGTGTGAAGAAATGGAAAATTTGGAGCGCTTATATGAGACAGATCAGCACGAGTCGATGAGATTCACGAGATTAATTTGGATATGTTGATCGATTACATTGGTATCAGAGAACATTTTAACTTGAAGTATTTATTATTGCAAGCTTTCGATATTCATACAGAATTTCTTCATCAGACAAAAATATATTGATAAACTAAAATTCATGTCTATATACGTTTCTTCCTTCAAGTCTAATTTGGTTTGATATCATATAATTACATGGTTACATTTATAAAATTTTTATGTGGGCTTTAAGAACTATTCTGTGAAGGTTAAAAAGTTGGTTAGTGTACTTGGCCAGATCGGGCTATATTTGTATATGCATAGGAGTAGAATAAAGGCAGGTGGTAGGTAGCAATGTTTCGATAAGCGCAGATAAGCGGTTAATCGTTACCTGGTCAGTAGGGAAATCCCAGTTTTACATACATGCACAGTTATCAGAATTGCAATTTGTTTAGTCTACTCGATTGATCAAATCTGATGAAAAGGACACGTTAAATCCCAGACATGATTGAGTACTAATGATTAGTCGACATACATAAGGGAACACACACATAATTAAATAAACCGTAGTAACGTTAGAAGTAGCTCACCCTGGTATAATTAGTTGGACATAATTTTGCATCAAAGGTGCAAAATAAGCGGATAAAATAGATGTATAATTTTTATATAATTTTGCACCAATGGTACAGAATAAAGGGGAAATATGTAAAAGAAATTTGATATAATATTGCACCAATGGTGCAGCCGAAATGGCAAAAATTGGGACTAAATTATAGGTTGTTCTAGGCTACCTCACCCTTTCAGTTAATCCTAATCATTGGTGTAGAATACATCGATCCCTCCAATTATTTCGCACCATTTTGCGTTAACGATTTTTGGATACCAATTGTGCTACAAATTAGGGTTAAAATGGTCTTGGGGCTTATTAATTAGCATCAATTGATGCAAAAAACTCGTCAACAGACAGACGGACAGACGGACAAGAGGAATTCAATAGCTCTCATGCTACGCAGGGTGAGCATAATAATTATTTATAGAATTAAATACTTACTATTTACGGGTTTTCCGATCATAAGTTGATTCTGTAATACGGGATGATCTTCTTGTATTGTATGTATGGCTATCGAACTTCTATTGTGAAGATGTAGGTATATGTAATTTGCATAAGGTCTAATTTACTAAATTTATGCATTCCCGAAATCCAAGATGAATATAATATGTTAGTATTCATAAATATGTACACACACGCTACCCACACGACCACCTAATGTACATAGGTAAATATATATCAATGTCAACACGTACATATGTATATTTCAGAACTAACCATAAATATGCACGTGCCAAATTTAATTCGCAAACATTACTTTAGAACTCGTGAGAAAGATTTATGTACCCACGATCGGAAATTCTCTGTATTCTAAGTAATTACACATCCAGAAATATGTACATATTTGGAGTGTGACACTATCATTGATGACAACTTCTTGTTTCTGTTTTGAAGATTTTTTAGTCCAAGTTTTTTAGAACTTTCTTAGCGGAAATAACCTCCTCACATTTCTTCGCAATTCGGAAGTCTCTGAGGAACACGAGGTCGGCCACTTGAGTCAATTGTTCTACCACCTGCCAAATAATTATCCAGATTAGTCAGTGCGTGCAACATGGATAAATTATGTATGTATTGAACTAAAATTCTTATGAAACATTGTGCAAAATTCTTTACAAATGGTCTCCACATTCATGTCTAATAAACCGTAGTAACGTTAGAAGTAGCTCACCCTGAAATGATTTGGATATAACTTTGCACCAAAGGTGCAGAATAAGCGAACAATGTGGGCAAAATTAGGATTTCATTTTGCATCAAAGGTGCAGAATAAGCCGACAAAGGAGGTACATATTTGCGACACAAATGAGTACCGATAATGGAAAATAAGCGATGAAAATAGATACATAATTTTCACCTAATATCGACTCTTAGCTCGCTCTCCTGAAAATGCGGTGTCAAGATTGTTTAATTGTTACTGCTAGTTATTCTGTACTTCTGGTGCGCTTTGCATCGATTGTCCCAATTGTTTTGTTCCATACAAAATAGACAACCTAGGTATGTAATTTTGATAGAATTATGCACCAATGGTGAAAAATAAGCGGAAAAAATTGTTAGCCAACTTTGCAGAAACTTTGGAGTATACAAATTCTGCAGAACCGTTCACGCATAATTATGCATGCATAATTAGCATTTCGTATGCACATATCGCTCCGTATTCATATTTTTTGCAGAACAATGGACAAAGTTCGGGTTGAAATTTTCAGAGGGATAATCCAGATCATTTATGATTTTTGATTAAGAACAATCAGTAACTAACAACTAAAGTAATGAAAGCAGAGATGACTCACATAATCCAAGGACTCCTTAGAGTGAGCCGCACTCATGCAGAATCTCATTCTGGCCTCCAAAGTTCCCACGGCGGGGTGTCCCACTGCCGCCGCAATTACTCCACGGTTCCTTAATTCCCTAATAATAAATGTAACTTTCGCCGGGTGTGGACAAGCCACTGGGGCAATAGGAGAATCCAGATCGCCGTAGATGAAGAATCCCCGCTTTATGAGTTCCTCCTTGAAATAGGTGGAATTGCTCTTGAGTTGCGCCACCCGAGCGGTACCACCATCGTCCATTAGGGATTGGATGGAGCTGATTATTTGTTGCGCAATCGGTGGCGGAATCGCAGTCGCGTAGGCGTGAGCATAACCATTTTCTCGTAAATGCTGAACCAGTTGGCGGGAACCCGCAATATATCCGCCCGCCGCCCATAAACTTTTAGAAAATGTACCCATGTAAATGTCCACAGAGTTTGGGTCGCAGTTGAAATAGTCCACGATCCCACCCCCGTTCGGACCCATGACGCCGAAACTGTGAGCTTCTTCGAGGTAAATGTAAAACTGAGGAGATAATTGCGAGTGAATTTTAAGTTGACTTCAGAATTGGGCGGAGAAATACTTACCTTGTATATTTCCTTTAGCCTGAGGAGTTCCGGAAGTCGCAAGATGGAACCGTCCATCGAGTACACGCCTTCAACAATGATGATTATTTTGTCATAATTATGAACCTCTCCGGATTTGAAAAGTTTAATGAGAAGTTTTTCCAAATGGCGTAAATCTAATGGGGAATATGCAGATTAGAATTTGCAAATTCTAATGGCATGAATTTCTACATATTATTTTCTACCATTATGCCGGAATACTCGAACCGATGCTTTTGACAGTCTCAACCCCATAACCACGGACGAGTGGTTTTTAGCATCGCTAAATACCAAGGTCTTCTCATCTATGATTGCCGGAATGTTTAGAACATTCGTAGCAAATCCCGATCCACACACGATGGCGTCTTCAACTCGCAAAAACTTAGCTACCAATTTCTCCAATTCATTGTGAACCGGAAATTCGCCAAATTCATTCCGCGTACTGCACCCTGTCAAGCCAAAGGTATGCATAGAGTTCATCACGTCGTCCATAATTTTTCCGTCGTTCGAGGCAAATCCGAGATAATTGAATGACCCCATGTCCACACAGGTGATCTGTTTTCCGGTGTAACTAAATAAATAGGATATATCTGTACACACGTAAATCAAGTTATTAAGTCTGGAATGCCCTTTATACGATCGTTATGTCTGTCTGTCCGTTGGTTGGATAATACGAGAAAGTACGCCCAAACTAGAAATCTTGAACCTAACTCCAGGAACTCCTAACATTAACAGACAGGGTGAGTTCGAAGATTGGAGATCACACCGCTTAATGTTGGAAAAATCTTAAACGGCCAAAAAGGTCAAATTGCATATGTATATCAATTTGAACGGAAATTAAGCCCCGAACGCAATGGTGACGTCCATTTTTCTTAGGTGAAGCTATGGTGATCTAATGATTAAAAAACACCTAAGTATGCATTTACTACAACGTTCAAAAGTGACAAAACCACATTACTTTACCATTTCTTAACCGATTTTTGCGAAATAAGTGCCGAGAGTTAATTATGAGGGATACGGGTTACTTGTCGAATCCTATGTCGTCGAAAAGGTAAGTCGTCTAAATCAACTTGTCGAATGAAAAACTCGTCAGAAAGGCAAGTCGTCGAATTTAGGTGGCATGAAACTCGTCGAATTTCATGTAACATTATTACTGATTTTACCTATATGAGTTCACACGTATACACAATACATGTGCATCGTGGGACGAATATACACTGCGGACATTCCAAAATATTCAAAATATTACACAGCAGTAATTCGGAGGATTGTTTTGTTCTTTTTACCCTTATATTTTAGACTAAAGATGTCAAATTACTGTTACGAACTGTAACTTAGCAAAGAGAAACTTAAATTTGAAGATAAGCTGTTCTGATGGATTTTGAACAAGCTGAGATAAAAGCTGTACACGACACGTTTCCAGACTCCGTACATCACGGGTGTCATTTTCACTATACTCAAGCGTTGTTTAGGCATTTGACACCCAATTTAAAGAACCAGTACGACCAAGACGTTACAATGGCATTATTAATAAATATTTGGTCTCGCATTTGTTCAGCTCGATGATTTAAGAGTGACATTCCGAGAATTGAAAGTATCGTTCAATTTTAATGGTCAAACTAAACTCGAACTGAATGAATTTTTAGCCCGAGTCAGGGCTTATGTACCCGTCATGTCCGTCTGTCTGTCTGTCTGGTTTGCGATAACTGCCGTTAAACTAATCCGCTCGACTTGAGATTTTGCACAAATGTAGTCTGGGTCAAATGAGGAGTTAAGTTCGAAGATGGGCGAAATCGGTCAAGTGGTTGACCGGTGGGGGTCATATAGGTGGGTGGGGTATTATGCATCAAAATTTCAAAATTGACGTAGAAAGCTGAAATTAGGTGCAGAGGTTGATAATGATTTCTAATGAAGGAATACAAAGTAAAATTGCAAAAATTTTCATCTGGAGGGACCCTAGTGACCCATACCGATTTTTAAAACTTATCCAATCGAACTGAAATTTGATACACAGGTTGTTAATGACTACCAATAGAAGAATATGAATTGAAATTGGACACATATTCACCTGGACAGACCCTATGGGGTGACCCATACCAATTTTTCAAATTCGTCAAATCGAGCTGAAATTTGGTAGACAAGTTGGTAATAGCTCCTAATGAAGTAAAATAAGAAAAATTTTCACCTGGAGGACCTTATTAGGCGACCCAATCAGGTGACCAGGGAGAAAAATATGTGTGCACCAACAAATGTATACGAACCTAGTCACCCGCGTGGCTGGAATTTGCATATGTTGCGTCTAATATTACTAGGATAATATCCTGAGAGTTTTAGGAAAAACAATACACTCGTTTCAAAGTTATGGCCACAGTCGATACTGGTGACCAAGGGAAAAAAATGTGTGGACTAACAAAAATTTAGTGATAGTGGATAAATTTTAGTATATGGGTTACTAAAGGCTCTTAATTGAACAATTCGAAGTTTAAAAAATTTTAATTTGGAAACAGATTTACGCCTGACTCGGGCTATATCAAGTCTGCACTGTAGGTTTTTTAGTTATGTTCAAAAAACCTACATCGGTATAGTATACGATCCACTAATGTTTCCAATACTCTTCTGGAATGTGCACCAAAGTGTATTAGATAATATTTTCAGAACCAATAATGCAGTGGAGGCCTGGAACAGGCGGTTTGGCGTTCTTGCTGAGAGTTCTCATTTAAATGTTAATTTATAAAATTATAATTTATATTTAGAATCGTATTTTATTCAGAAAAATACTGTCGACAAGTATTATTTTCGACCACTTGCCCAAATGACGAGTTACCCTTCAGACGACTCGTCCTCGACGAGTTACTCTTTCGACGACCATGTTTTCGACGAGCTACCCTAGACCCAATTATGATAGTCTAGTTTTGGATTCCAACTCTGGTCGGTTGTGAGCCTACCCATTCCTAAGATATTCTCAAAAAACACCCTCCAAAAAGTGGCATTGCTTTATACGAACAAATTGAGGACCTAAATCAAAAACATACTGTGAAAAAAAGTTTCTAAATATTTTTAGCTTTCAATTAACTTTGAGATAATCAAAATCGGATAAGAAATGGCCACGATATTCATAAATGCAAGTACCACTGGTCACGTGGTATTGCTATATGGTTCGTTGCTATTGCAAGTATTTTAGTCGCACTTCCCTTCGCTTCACCTAAGCCGCCCGTTTTAGGGATCTATCATGTGATCTCAAGGGTCACAAAAGATCGCAAAAGGGTCACTAAATCTTAAATTACATTCAGAAGTACTTATTACAATTTTATCATATTTTGAACGCTGGAGATGAGTATGATACTCAATTTCATGTATTACACACTTCTTTCGCCCCTTGGTTACATGCGTTACAACGGTTTATTGTGATTTTATTATTACTGGTGACTTACTCGAACCCCCACCCGCCGTCATCCTTGAGCTTGCGATCTTCTATAGTGAGAAATTCACCGGGAAGTGTTTTTACCGGAGTGTGCGACAAATCCCGCACATGTCGTAAGCCATGTTGCAAATATATACGGGGTCGTAGAGGTGGATAGCCCTGTGGATTGAGTACATGTTTATTTTTTCCACAGATATTTCTAACCCTTAAAAACTAATCCTACTAACCTCTCTATCCTTCTCGTGTGTACTTCTAAAAAGAAGCCCAATAATTGACCCGAGGAATAAGATGCTGTAACAAATACGAGTCAAAATAGGTTCCAAAATCCACTTCGGCCCATTAGTTTCTGAATTACTGGGGAACAAAGTTTTTATAAGTTGTAACATGTTTTTTATGTGGAAAAATAGACGTGCAACAATTAAAAACTACGTAAAAAAAGATCTAGGTAATTTGAATTAATTTTTTGTAGCTTGAATGTCTTCTCAATGGTCGCACTGCTACTGGCCACTTTTGGTTTGTGCACTTGGATTATCGGTCACCAATCTATGGAAATATTTGCATGTTATTTAACAATTATGTAAGGTACATACTTATTTACATAAGCTTATGCAGGTATTGTGGCATGCATGTATCTATTTCGCAATCATCACTCGTATGTACTTACATACATATTAATTGGGTAACAAATTACAAAAATGTTTCAAGTGTTTGCTTAGTGGGGTTTACCTGTAGCATGTACATATGCAATTTTAGTGGGGCAATTTTAGGTTTCTTTCCAGTCGTAACAGAGCAACTATGTACATATGTAACATAACAAGTTCATTTGGTCTACCTTAAGTAATTGAATGTTGGACAGACTATATGTTGGTAACACGTATGGCGACTAATCCGTGTACACTGGAATTTCCCATGCATCGTCTTGCTCGTTATGAGTTATGGTGGTCGAAATACCGCTCGTCGACACCTGATCGATCGACACGACATATTTATACTTTCTAATGAAGGTATAATTAGATATGTACAAATTTTATGGTTACCAATTATCCAGGGATTGTACTAATAGATACTGTTAAAATATAAGATAATATAGATATATACCCATATATAAGTACATATTTCGTGCCCCAATCCTAAAAAACAATGTCTTACAATAATTTCGAGCAGGTAATTTTTTGCAGAAATTTTTTTCACGACAGACACTGGATATTAATACCACACGCGCATTCAGGGTTATTACTATTACTGGATTTATGAAGGTGTGTATTACACACGCATTGACAAGCGTTGAATAAATTTACCATAAAATAGGTATACATACACGTGGGTATGGAAAGTCATACTTGCCTTCAAAAATAATCGTTTCATGAAATTGTTAGGTTAACTTTTTCAGTTCCAGGGTAGCCTTGGTTAAATAGGTAGATTTGATACATGATCCATCAAACCTCAAAATAAAGGACATCATCATCGAATATTACAAAGAGTATAATATTAATTAGTAATTATTAATTACCCTGATAAATACCGATATGTGCATACATACATACATATACAAAATACAGATAAATATATGCATACATATACTTATAAAATTGAGGGAAAGGACACAGCACAGGACGCACTCATGACGACGTCTTACCTACTACATACGGCTATAAGGTCTGACCAACGCTTTCCGCGCGCCAAAAAATTAGTAGGAGTTATGTTAGACAGTTGTACTATTTTTTATTGAAATCCACATGCAATTGTCTATCAGAAACCATGTTCCGAAAATTTTTGTGACCCAAGGTGCCTAAATGGCAGATCGGCCAAACCGACGTGTTGCAATTTTTTAGCCACATTTTGGTAAACAAAAAAATCGTTATTTTTCAATTGCTCAATAAAAATAGGAACTGATCGCAAGATGGTCGACCGTACCACAAAATGATCCATTGACACTAGCAGTGTTGAGAAGTGAAACAAAAGTGGAAGGGAATTGTCGAAAAGGTAATACAAAATTGCTAAAGTGCGGAAAACCTGAATTCGGGCGAATCCATGCCGGACCCAAAGAAATAGTTGCATACAAATGAACGGCTGAAGTACAACTGTCTCGGGTCCCTAAGCTGGACCAACGGCTTTAAGGCCTGAGGAGGATAACTTTTCAGCTAGACACAAAGGGAAAATAAACCCTCCGAATGTCGGGCGCTGATCATGAGGTACGCGCTTGAGAAATGAAAACAAACATTTCTAAAAGATAAACAAACTTTTACAATTGAGGCCATATAAAATAAAAAAAACACCGTGCCGACACCCCACCGGTCCATATTATTCAGAAAAATTTCAAAAACATTAATGAGACCCACGATCCTTCTTCTGTGATTTTTTTATTGGACAAGTCGAATGGGGTGGGAAAAGTGATTTTTCTTCCTTTATGCGATGAAATTCGTATCATGAATTATTCTTATTAAATATTCGAGCCAATTGTGGAACCCCAGGACCACTTGGTACTCAAAAAATTGCGACTGGACATTCAATATCATGGCCCCGGTCCTGCTCATGGCGCCAAAACAGTTTTTTGGTGGTTAAATTCCAAAATTCCTGACTTCATTTTGGATCAAGAATAAAATTCACTGTCGTCGAACCTTAAGCTACTGGAATGTGACCTATGGTGGAACTGGAGCTAAATGTATCTGTTAAATTCCATATAAGTTTGAAATCCGAAAAAAAAATTTAAAGCATAGATATGAGACCGATATCCCTTTGAATGAGTGCGTACCAGGAGTGAGATGCGGATACCAAGACTTCGGGCTCTTGTAGCGTCAAGAGGAGGAAATTTGGAAAATTGCTTGGTGTATTTCGTAAATAATTTAATGGGCTTTCTCGTGATATAGTTCGTTTTTTAAAATTCACTAAACTGAGTCCGCTACATTAATTTTTATAGTGGCCAGAACTTATTGCAGTAGTAGGTACATGTTAAGCATCCTAACTCATTTAGCAAATTGTGAAGCTCAAAAAATTTATGTCGTGAGGGGATTCGCAAAATATGATTACGCTAATCTCACAAAACTAAGCACTAATAGAGACACTTAAATATTTTGATGCAGTTTCCATGGATTTATGTAATTTGTTTCGCAGGTCATGGTGAGGGTGAGTCTGCGAAACATAAAAATATTCTCAGTTGCTGGGTAAATTTGCGAAAAAAATCCCATGGTTGTCTCGAATGAACTGATATCCTGGATTTCGAATACGAATGTAACTAAATGCATAATATATTATATACTAATTACTGATTTATTATAATAAATATAATCAGTACTCCGGAGTACAGTCAATGGAACAAGTATTGGCAACACCCACACAAGCTAAATAAAATTGGCTATAACTTTGGCATGCATTATCAAATTAGCATGAAAATTTGTACGCATTTAGCAAATCCAATGTAGTGTTCGATTATAATCATGTTTCTGATTTAAATCTAGTAAACATAACACAATTCTGATTTTGACCTCAACGAATCAGATGCAAACCTGCAAAAAGTATTGGCAACATTTGGCCAAATTAATTACTCAAAACAATTTTCTTAACCATCTTCCACATTTCGTTACGGTAAGTTAATTAGGTGACAAAATATGAGGTTAGCTACATTGTAAGTCTACAATTGTGTTGTCTGGAGCCAAAATGGCGACACCATATGAGCTGTATTTGGCGCGGCGAGAAATAATCATGTCTCTTTCACAAAAAAACTTTACTATCGAAAAATCAAAGAGAAAACATACTTTTCCATATTTACTATTGAATAGGTAGCAAAGAAATATAAAATGACAATCTCAGTTTCTACTTTTCCATGATGCGGAAGAAAAAAGTCATCTACGCCCAAAACCTAAGGATGACTCAAGCAACGAACCACTAGAGAGCGGAAGATTTCAGCTTCCAAATCCATGTTAAATTGGAGTATCAACTGTAGGGTCAACATATCATACAATATGGTGATCAATCAAAAATTATGCCTTGGGGTTTCAGGCTCCAGAAGCCCGACCGAAGCGAGAGTACCCAAAGCCAACCACCTCAATAAATCGAAATGGGCTAAATATCACCCTAAATAGAGTTCCGATCAATGAAAAAGGGCCTACTGGTCCGACATAGGCATATTTTACTTATTCGGAGCTCATTAATTGGTTCAAGTCTAGCGGATGCAATAAAAGGCTCAGAAATACTAAAACGTTCTTATGGCAGTTTAACACATAGGAGGATCGATTATAGTTTGGGGTTAAATGACCAGTTCTCGGCGTAGTTACCTGGTCACTATCGATGAAATCATGACCAGGAAGGTGTTGTCGATCATTCCAAACGATAATTTGAAATCATTTAACAAAAACCTGGCCTAGGAAAAAATTTCATATTCCAAAAATGCAGTGACCCCAAACATGTAGCAAAATTAACGATGCAAGTTTTTGGAGACCGAAAAGGTTAAGATTCTTTCGTTGGCTGCACAGTCTCCTGATGTGATTCTGATTGTCCGGGTTAAGAAAAGAGAGACCGATGGGAAACCACTAGTCGAAAAACGAGCTTGTCAAAAGTTTAAAAGAACTGTGGGCAGCCATATAAAAAATCGTTATATAGGAACTTGTCGAATAAATTCCACGACCTATTTCTGCTCTTATTGGGTCGAGGGGAGGTGCCACGCAATACTAGAAGCACTTTGTCGCAGTAAAATTGGCGTTTCGTTGCTCTATGATTTTTTAAGTTAGAGGGTGCCAATACTTTTTGTGGGTTAATTTCGCAAATTTTCCATCAAATTATTCAAAAACTGCGTTAATCTAATTTTAATCAGTAAAACATGATTATAATCGAAAACTACATTAGATTTGCTAAATGCGTACAAATTTTCATGCAAATTTGATAATGCATGCCAAAGTTATAGCCAATTTTATTTAGCTTGTGTGGGTGTTGCCAATACTTGTTCCATTGACTGTACGGACATAAATATGTATGGACTTACCTGTTAGAATTTTTGATAACACATGCATTTATTTTCATTACAAATTTTTCTGAAAGATTAAATATTCACTAATATTCTTCTTATGTTTAAAGGATATTGAATATAAATGTATGTATGTATGCAATATTGTTTGACACTGTATCATTCTACACATGTTGTGACAAATGAATTGTTTCCAACACAAATTTTCATTTTTGAAGAAGTTAAATTTTAATTATTATGTACTGAAAAAATGGTGTGAGTGGACCGTTGCTAAGTTGGAAGATTGAGATGACCTCCTAGGTCAAATCCGGGTCAAGTGATCTCACACCCTCCAGTGGGATATCAATCGATCAGTCTAGATCATACGATCACTTTGGTATATTATAGAATTTTGTGAGCCCTCCTTCGAAATTTAATTTATATCAAATCAACAGAAAAAGTTGGGATATTATTATGTTGCATAGATATTTTATTCAGGAAAACAAGTATTTATTTATTAATTATTGGATCGCAATGTCAGAGCAGGTTCGGTAGTATTGCTTGGAACCATCCCCATACCAGTGCCATTGGAGGACGCATCTGGTGCAAGTAAGCCCTGCTGGGAGGACGACTTGTGCGGTGACCGAATTTCCGGCATTCTTGATCCTGGTGCTTCCGTCGGCCAAGCGGAGCAAGTGGTTATCGAAGCATTCCTCACTCTCGACCCCGGTGTTGGAGTAGTCGCACAGCCTGAACTCGTACCAACCGTCGTGGCCCGCCGCAATCTCGACAGAGACGGGAATCGTTGCACCGGAGTTGTACGTTTTCACGATGATGCCACGTTCAAATTCGCCTGAAAATAGATTTTTTTAAATGGTGAAATATGTCAATTTAGCCTAAAACCGACTCAATTATTCAATTTTTATTCCACAAGTAAAGAATAGTTTTTTTTAAATACACAAAATTTGAACAATGGTGGTTTTCACTACGCATGTATTTAACTGTAGATTTGTAAAAAAAACAATTTGCAAAGGGTTGACTTAAAAGTCCTTCGTAAATAATATTTTCGTAAATATTTTTTGAAAAATTCTCAATTTATCTTAACCCAATGGCATCGGTGGCTATGGTGCTCGAAATACGCTGACTTTCAATTCGTACCAAATATTTTTACGAAAGAAAGAGACTCGTCCACTTTGCGCATATTTACGAAGCTTGGTAAGTGTGGAATTTTCGTAAGTTTAGCCTATTGGCCTATTTACGACATTTATGTACCACAGTTACGAAGGTGATGTGAACACCCTCAATGAAAAATAAGTAAATATAATTTGCAAAAAAGTAGACAAAAATCAAGAATTTTGTATACCCACCTCCAATCTCGTGTTTTCTCGGCCTAGGGTCCAAAATGCTGTCACCGCAGAGACCACACGCCCCAATGAAGGGATCCGTGACGGCCCTGGAGCCGCAAAAGTTTTCATAGTCGTCCGGTTGCCGGCCTGGATTTGCATACTCGTATTCGGGATGTCTCCACAAGGATCCACGCTGAACGGGGTCGGAGATCCGGCCGTGAGCGTTGATCTCAACGACCGCGAAGGCCAAAGCGAGGCAAAGTGCGAAATACTTCATAATAATTGTCGTTAATTTGTCTGCTTGTCTGCGAAAAATCAACTAAATCCTGAACAAGTGAGGCAGCTTGTATTTATGCTGGACAAACCCAGCCGTGTGCAGCCGGTGGTGTGGTACTTTTTTAATAAGTGCACGCGGTGGTACTTGAAAAGTTTGATTGATAAATAGATGAGTGCATAATTGACTATGGGCGTTCTCAAGTGTGAGGAAAGAATGACATTTCAACACAACACGTTTGTCAAAATAATGTCAAAATCACCAAAGTTGTGGAATGTGTAATTATAAATAAATAAATACCAATTCATAAATATGACCACATCATCATTGAACCGATTTATTTTAGAGTAGGGTTCCACTCTGTGAAATTAATGAATTAATGCATATATGCAAAAAAATTATTTGAAAACATATACATGTTTGTATGCAAGTAATGAAGTAGAGAAACCTGCCACGATTCTAGAATGTTGCATATTCAAAAACGCTGCGACGAAGGGTCAAAGAAATGGGTGGGATCCTATGATATCGAAATTTTAAATTATTCATCAAGTTCGAATTACCTTATGCACAAATGACACTACACACGCCATAGTTGCGCTATTTTGACACTTGACCCTTCAATAACTTTCATATAATATAATAATAATAATAATAATAGCCTTTATTACCCTCATTTACTAGTACTAGGGAATGCACAAAAATGAAATTTTAGCATAGCACACTAGCCTATTTTCGTGAGCTTACAAACAGAAATAACTTACTTTAAATGATTAAATAACAATAACTAAGGGCTAAATTACTATATTTAACTTAACAATATATATGTACGTAAGATATTATCTACTCTTAGTTTGTATAAAGTTAGCTATAATCTATCAAATTTGTTAGAGCTTCAAATGACAAGCCAAAAACCGTGGATTTTGATTTCCATTCGTCATTAATTTTGCTGATTATCATATTAATAGGGGAATTTTTAAATTTTGACGACTTAATTACCGGTTGAAATAGTAAATCCTTGTTTGATCTCAATGACACACCACTGCACGAAGCACGCTGGAATTGCGGCAAAAAGTGCCTATACCTACCAAAAAACAACTTGTAAGCAAATTTATCAAGAGCCAATTCTCTCCTTTCATTTAAAGTTATCAACTCAGCTTCCTGCATGCATTCAACATAATTTAAATGATCAACTCGTTTTCGGAAAATTATACTTAAAGCTTTTTTCTGAACACTTTCAATTTTGTAAACTAATTTCTGGTTCAAGCCAGAGCCAAACACAACTGAACAATACTCAAGATTACACCGAATATATGCACCGTAAGCAATTAATAATTCTTTACTGGAGAAGCCAGCATTGAATAATTTTCTTAACTGAAATAACTTAGAGTTTGCTTTCGCAACAATGTTTTTTATATGACTATCCCAACTAAAATTTGGGCAAAAAGTCACCCCTAAAATTTTTAAGCTCTTTACAACGGGTATAGGAACTGAATCAATACAAAAGGACTTAGTAGGAAAATTAACTCTTCTTCCACCAAAATTAACTACCAATATTTCACATTTACGAGGATTGGGCGTTATTTTAACTGCCTTACACTCTTCACTCGAAATATTGAGTGCAGATTGCAATTTGGGTGCATTACCAATAACTCTTTCAGCAATAACCAAATCATCAATGTATCCAGCTATACAAAAATTGGGGTTAATATCAAGTAATTTGATTTTTAATGCATTCAGAATCGGATTAATTAAGATAATAAACAGAAGAGCAGCTAGTTTGGTACCGGCTGGTGTACCGCATGTTAATCTCTTGGGATTTGAAAACGACTTTTCAAACTTAACAATCTGCTTACGAAATTTTAAGAAGGATAATAACCATAAAATATCAATGTCGTGTACACCAAGATCAACAAGAAGTGCGGCCAACAACGAGTGGTCTACTAAATCGAATTCTTTGAGACTATCAATAGCAGCAATTAAAACTGTAGCGCCAGGAATTTCGATTGATTTTAAAATAAAATGGTTAATTTGAATTAAATAATGCGCAGTAGACGATTTTTTTAAAGCACCAAATTGGTTAACGTTGATTTTATCAAATATTTGAGAATAAATCCTGTCAAACATAAAACTCTCTGCAATTTTTGAAAATACGTCAGTTTGAGTTATCGCACGGACGTCATCAAGTGATGAACAAGTTACTTTCTTGAGTAAGGGGGTGACGAAACCGATTTTCCAACAATCAGGGACAGTAAAAGTTGCAAAAGATTCATTGAGGATAATGGCTATTAAAGGGCCAAGAAATTCGAAGCGTACTTTATAAGCTCAGTAGGGACTAAATTCGGACAGTTGGACTTTTTCTTATTTAATTTTCTAATTACTCTCGCTACCTCATGAGCACTGACTTTAATAGGGGAAGAGTCTAGAGGGAGTGGACACAGCGAAATAGATTCACATTCATCAAAAGTGTTACAAATTAGTGAGAAATGTGAATTTACAACATCGGCTAGCTCTTTATCAGTTAGCTGACTAAATTTCAGATCTATTAATTTAATTTTGTCGATGGCAGACACGGGATTTAGACCACAAACTTTACGAATTAAATGATACCATTCGGATGAATTCATACCAGGTATCTTATCTTTGAATTTTTTACGCACTTCAGACTGAGCAAAGAAAATTTGCGTTTTAATTTCGCTTTGTAACTCGAAAACTAGCTTGACATTATTACTCTTTTTTGCTTTGCGCTTAGCTTTGAATAACCTTTTCAATGTAATATTCATCCAAATGGGTTCACCATCGTTTATAACCTTGTCATAAGGACACGATACTTTAGTTTGTATTGAGAGTAATAAAGAATTTAACTCATTGACTTTGGTATTGATTGGTAACGATTCAAATTTTTGGATATCAATATCTAAATTATTTAATTCATCGACAAAGGGAATAGCTAATTGATTTAGTTGGGGTTTACATTTAATGATTTTTAAAGGCTTACGTAATTCAAACCATGGACAAGGTGAAAAGGAGATACAAGCATGTACTCTATTTCTTGCCGTTCCTTTAACAGGGGGCAGTGGAACAATATGATCTTAAAATTTTAGAAAATTGGTGGCGTTCAATGGTATGCTGCATGACCCATTTGATACTGGTTCTAAATCATAATGAGGTAAAAAAAAAAGTTCATAAAGGTTTACATTTATCGCCCGTATCACAGTGCTTAACTTTGGTTTCTCTTACACCAAAAACGACATGTTTCCAGCATAAATAGTTGTTTCAACATTTTCGCGTAATATATAAACCCTGCCAACTACGTCGCACTTTTGATTGATTGATTGCTCATTCCTTATCAAATTAATTAATTAATCAAAACGGGACTTGCTACGTGCGGAATTTATTGATCACGTGAAAATCACGCCAAATCGAAAGTGTCATATCACTCAAGCATATTTATAAACTTACGATGTGGAATCACTTATGTTCACTCAACTTGAACTTGACTCGCTTATAAAAGCACAACAAAAACGAGGAGCTTATCATTTGTTGTCAGGAATCCTTGTCAGCAACACGAGCAATAAATCTACACGGTAACCATGTCCCTTGCAACTTTTGTCGTTCTTGCCTGCGTTCTTGCGCTCGGCAATGCGCAAGTTCTTTCCCCCGCCGCCCCACTTTTTAGCGGAAGGAGGGCCGCCTCACCCAAAGCCCTCAGTGGCATCACGGACTGCGGTAAGAAATGCGTAGAAATTTTGTCGTCAAATTTGGCAATTTTTTGCCTCTTGAAATGCAACATTTTTTCTGCGTACAGTATTAGAAATCTGGTATGGTTACTTATATCGGTATTGATTCTTCGGTATTAAAGTTACTACCGATTGGTATTACCGGTCTGTAAAAATTTGCGACCGATATGATAAAACTTTAATACAGAGCTATTACTATACAGCATTACTTATCAATACTACTTTGGTAGAGTCATTTGTCAATGAATACCGCTTGGTATTATTTTTATACCGGATTTCTAAGGGTGTATATGAAGTCGATTTTTGTTGGAAAATGTTTAAAATTTTGTGCCCTAATTTAATTTATTACATATTTTTTTTACCAGGTATTGGTGAACTTGTCGACGTTCGTCTTTCTGGATGTACCCAAGCCCCATGCACCCTCACCGCTGGCCAGTCGTACCAACTTCAGGGTGACTTCCGTTCCCGTAAGTCAACAAAAAAATTTTTAACTTATGCAAATTGATAAGCCCATGTTTTGGTTAACCAATCCCTATTCGGCATCTAACTTAATATTTATGTTGTTTTTTTAGGTGATCAACACTGGATCCTCCGCTACGCCATGATTGTCCACCAGGAGAACCAGTTGACCACGATCTTCCCGGAAAACGCAGTTCCCGACAGTGTCGTGACACCTGGACAGCTGTACACTTTCTCGCATGACTTCATTTTCAACCCCGCCTTCCGAGGGGTAAGGATTAAAATTAAATTTTGTTTTTGTATGGCAATTAGCCTAATGGTTTTGGTATTTATTACAAATTTTCAGAAAAGCTACATCAGGCTTGAACTTCATGAGAACTGGAAACAAGAGTTCTGTCTCATCATCCCGGTCAATGTTGTGTAGAAGGAAATACTTACTTTTAATTGGAACAATAAACAATTTTAATTTCTTTGAGTATCGCAAAATGTGGTGATTTCATGAATTTTGTAATGGCATATTGAGGATATTCATGATTCCTTCGTATCATAAAACAGATTACGAAATTCTGTGATCAAAAGCGTCATAAGATTTTGTCATCAAAAGTCGCGTAACTGACGATTTTTGCGTAGGTTGTCCCCTCCTTTTCTCTTCGCAAACTATTTTCCGATACTAAAGATAAGAAGACAATTGTGAATATACCCTGATTGTTAGCATTTATGCACACATTTTACCACTTGAGGTTGTCATTTGGTTATGAGGTTGATGGGAATATGTGAGACTCAACAGTGTTTAGAAACACGCACATTTTCATCACTTTATTTTTGCATACGGTCATAAACCCTTTTACATGAAATATATTTAATACAATTTTAGCTAAATTTATCTCATTTTTAGCCCAAGCAAGGGCTTACCTATGTATGCATCATTGTTATCCTGCCTCTGTCTCTCCGTCTTGCGCTTAACTTATCCCTTTGAGTTGAAACTATATTAAATATTCACATGTGTATGTATATAGTGCAAGAAACTATGAAAAATATGGAAACACATTTGGTCAGAATTTGGCGAAATTTCCATAAAAAACAATATTTTCGGTTTGTGTTTTTAGAACAGCTTCACAAATTAAGTGTTCACGTCTATTAAAACCTACCGCTTATATTAGCATCATAGACACCGTCGTCCTCTTCATCCACAACTTTAGCCTCTGCCCCCACAAATTTCTCCAATTTTGGAAATAATTTACAAATCCCATCCCTCCACTCTTTCCTCTCTGTTCGAGAAACGTAGGGATTCACGAGCTCCAGTTTGGTCACGGACACGTTACGATAACCTTCCCCTAGTGGTATAAATATGTCTCCTATCGCCGCCACAATTTGAGTATTTGCCTCACTCACAAATGTGACTTTGACTCTAAGTTTCTTCAAATTAGGGAAAAGTTCGGAAACATTGATCTCCGGAAATTCCCATCTATCTACCTCATCAATTTCCACTTTTCCCATGATGAATTCCACCTCTAACTCGGTGAGATTTTCCATCCTTGGAAAATTCAATCCGACAAATTCTTCCTCCCGAAGCAGATTAATTGGAAGGCTGAACGTCTTGAGAAAGTTGGAATGACTTCGCAGGACGGCACCAATTTCATCCCTGGAAACCTGTGTCCAACGGAAGCTGTCATAAAATCCTAATCCTTCCAACCCTCGTGATCCCCATTGGTTAATTAATATCTCCACATTTGTGTAGAGAAGTCGCAAGCGTTTCATGTATCTGTGAATCCCTGGACGAAAGGGTGGCTCCCAGTGACTTAGGCTCGAGACAACCATATCTGTAAAAAAAATATTTTGTAATCCTTATATAAAATTATCTACCTATCTACATGCGTACACTTTTTATTGGTACTCTGTTTTTGTTACAAATAATAATCTTTATAGATCCCAATAATATACTGTACACACATTAAATACATACCACTTATTTATATTACCTGTCATCCTCCTTTGAATGCCATCCTTCCTAAGGACCGAGTAGGGTGGTAACTCAATATCCTCCAGGGCCGGGAAGACGGTAGAATTTAGCAAAAAGTAGTCAATAAACTCACTTGTTGACCAGGCAACGTCAGATTTGTAGTAAATCCTTAACTTTTTCAAGTTTGGGACGACGATTCCCTTAGAATCGTGATACCAATCCATACTCCGATTGTCCCTTCTATCCAAATAGAGGTGCAGTTCTTCCAGATTTGTTAACGTTTTTAGGACAAGTCCGAACTGGGTGAGCTCGTCTTTTGACCCATAGTTCATGTAGGCGTCCAACCATTTCATTTGAGGACCAAACTTGGTGAAAAATTTGGTCAGTTGTTTGCCCTGGTTAACGCTGGATAGGTTGGTATCGGGGGAGAAGCGGAATTTTGCATGGACATCGGTCGACTGGGGGTGGGGTGAAGAATAGGTGAAATATTCTGAGAGGGATGTCCAATCTGGGATGGTGACCACCGTTTTGAAATCTTTAAACCGATTGAGGCAATAATAGTACCAGGCGCGGTTGAGGGTGAGGCAGGTCCGAGCATCGTGGTAGCCAAGATTTTGATAAATTGTGGAAATTATCTAATTTTAGGGATGAAAAATGTTTCTAAAAATTTATAATTGTAATGGTGAGAAAGTCATTTCTCTTGCTAATTACTTGAGATAAATAAGTATGTATGTATACATTAAAATTGTTTTTCGAAATAAATATAAGAAACTTTTCATGGAAAACATTCAAATGCCATGGCCAAAATCACTGAAAAAAATGACAGGCATTGTGGAAATTTAGAAATAAAAAAGGTATTTCTCCCTAGTGTGAAATTTGAAATTTCTGAAGGGAAATGAGTGTTCATTAAATACAAGCACATGTCAATGTTTCTCAGTACAGTATGTATGTAAGTAGCGACTGCAAGTCAACTTAAACTACATGTTTCAAAATTTATGAAAATCCGATATGTTTAAGATATGTAATTTAATTGACAACTTTCAATAGGCAATTATCGATTTTAGCGTAACCCAACGTATTTGTAATTGACTGCAACGTTACGTTAAAATCATTAACTGCCTAACCATGGCGACCTACTTACATATGTACATATATAATTTTACCCCAATCAAAATAAAAAAATACTGTTTATTCATTGAACTCACGATAGGATTGGAAAATATTTATACGCTTAATTTGTCATCCAAAAGGAGTGAGGCACTAAACTTCGGAGTCTCCATATTTTAAAAAATCTGGAAACGTTTAACTTATTAATTTCGCTATATTTGTTTGAAATTAGATATTTTAGTGAATCCGTACTTGTCACAAATGGGCCAGTCTCCCTGTAGTATGTAAGAATTTGCAGTAGGAAATACTTTGTAACTAAGATTTCAAGACGGGATTCAGCAACTATGCACTTTTCTTATCATAATAAATACACTACGCGAATACGTTTATGCAATTTAATAATGAACCGCATTCTGAAGTACTTTCGATGGCACATTAAATTTAACCTGTACTTTATGTATGCAAGGCTCTCACATACATACATGCATAAATACATACCGTAAAGCCTCTATTTATAGCCCTATTCTAATTATAGCCGGTCTCCAAATATAGCCGGGTCTAGAGACCAAGATTTCAAAATTTTAGCCGGGTCTCTAATTTTAGCCTGTCTTATCCGCTGTGCCCCCGTTCACAGCCCACTCGAGAAAAATGTTGCACATTATGCTAATCAACGAATAAGTTGAACTACTAATTTTTACCGATTAATTTCAAGTTTATAATGGATACAATCATGACAGAAAATTTAAAAAACCTGCTAAACCTCGTTAAAAAGTTAGATTTAAAGTGAATGGCTTACTGATGGCATATCTTGCTCAATAAGAAAACTCAAATTGAGTCAGCCTGATCTTGCAGCATCTAAAATTTTGGGCGGAACGAAATTTAGCCGGGTCTCTAATTATAGCCGGTCTCTAATTGTAGCCGGGTCCATGACCCTCTGTTTTGGAATTTAGCCCCGGCTATAAATAGAGTATTTACGGTACATAAGTTTGCAAAACTGCATGCATACAGTAATTCATAGTATGTTGAAGCCATTCATAAATTATGAAACCAATTTTGAAATATGAGATGAAAGGTTTGGAAAGTTATTTGGCTATGATACATAGATAGAAAGGGGTGTGAGAGATGGTCTATAAAATGAGTATTTTGCTTCACAAAGTTTATGAACGGTCCATGAAAATTATTATTGAGAAATTAAGTTTATATTCATATTCGTTTAGTCATCAGAAAATGTCGTAAATCGCAGCATACATTCATATATGATATATATTGTCTGACAAATTTATCAGTTTCCCTTATGTCTGGGAAAGCTTGTGGAATCGTGCACACTAGACATGTTAACTATGTGCATTTTTATGCACGACAAAATTATGCATTTTATCAACCGCTTCCAGTTCAGACAGAGTCAAACTGCTGGCGAAATAGTTTCTTTGGCCGTTTGACCCCTTAATGGTGGGAATGAGAACAACCGCGGTTCAGCGAATATTATAATGATAAGTTGGACAATGTAAATTATTTTTAAGAACACCATTTCTGATACATACATGTCTAATAGCTAAGCTAAGGAGGAAATCTTCACTACCTGCCACTCTCAGATACTGATGTCCTTTTGATAAGCATGTTGTATTTAGTATGCGATGAGTCAACAAGAACCCCGAATTTAATATTTGGATTACACGGAGTTTAGTGGAAAAATCGAAGAAAAAGTTTTGTTTTATTTTGTCAATATTTCGAATGCAATCTGCCATTCATTATCAAGACATTTTACAAGAAGGGAAATTTTTACAAGATTTAGTGGTTGAAAAAATTTTTTTGTGTAAATTCATAAAACTAGTTGTCATGTTTGTGGCGTTGGATACTAGGGTCACATTTTGAAGTGATAAAAATGTAAAGGGACCCAACTTGATGGACTGAGGGAAAACCTTGCCATAAAGAAAAGAAGGAAAACCCCGAAATAAAGAAAGAAAGAAAGAACCCCGAAATAGCTTGAAGCCATGGCTTCATTTGTGTCTGTCACACCCACTCAAAGGGGCAAAAAATGACATATTTGTTCCTTACTAATTCATTCATTCAATCATTTTCCATCAATGGATAAATGCGAACAGGTATGTATGTACATATGTACATATTCTTACACATATTGCAGGCTAGCAAATAAAATTACCTATTCATACCGATGAAATTGTACAGAACAATTGAATTACCTAAATAAATAACGAACTTAGAACTTTGAATAACAAATAAACGCCATGCAATCAAGTTCACATTGAACTTAACATGTTCATATTCCCTTAATAATAAATGTATTCGCAGCAGCATTTAATATTTCATTTATGATTTTGTTCATGATTTTGTGTGTATGAATTGTTCCATGATTTTGTGTGTGTGATTTTAATCTTTTATGTATGAATGTATTTGTATGAAAATTGGGCATTAGTAGTAAGTATGTTAATTTATCGATAACAAAGTCTTTCCAAGTTCAAGAAAACTGTGTACGTGTTCGTTTTCCCATTGGCTAAAATAACGAGCAATGTGAGTAGTCAGTGGGCTGAAGCTATAGTGAAGAAGTGAAGTGATTTTTGGGATCGATTGTTCTGCCCAAGTCAGTCTTTTTTGGAGAGTCGGAAGTCTTGGTATAGTTTTTAAGTCGCTTTCCGAACCAATAATTTAAAGACTCCAGTGACATTAGCAATAGGAATTTTATGAATTGATTTGTCATTGTAATTGAATTGATACCGAAATTAAACCCTGTCAGCAATAAACTACTACTAATTGGCCAGAATCCATGAATTGAAATAGCATCTCATTGTGCTGAAGAGGATTTCATAGTGGGGGGCAGATTTGGTAGAGTTAGGATCGAGGGATAAATAGTGGGTGTAGTTGGTTCCTGAGTAGGCACACACTAATGTAGATATCTGCTACAATAAAGTTTTAGCATTTTGAATCATAACAAAATTTTAATTAGCTTCTAACAATTTTGCAACAAGTTCGCATCAATATTTATCGAACGATAACAAATAATTGTGTTTTATGCACGCGCTAGCAAAGTACCTGGGTGAAAGTCAGGTATGCATTTTAATTAACGTCACGTCGCAAATAACATAAACACTTATTGAGTGTCTCAATTTGAGACAAGGTATACATACATCAGCGCAAATTGTATATATTTAATTAAGACCTTCGACATTACCCGAAGTCGTCCTGGGTGTTATATTTAAAGATAATGTAATTAAATCAACAATTCCTCTTTTTATTTCTTCGACTTTTAGTACATGTCACGCTCGCTCGGTTTACCTTTTCTGACGTTGAGAAATTGGTAACATTTCAAAGAAAAGTGTTATAATTTCAAAATATTCTAATCTGCATTATTCACAAAATGGATACAAAATTTTGTGGCCTTGCCAGTCTTCTTATACGCTACCTGAAAGCTGGCGACATCTTCAGGTGCATGTACACTACGTGGGATGGAAGCACGAATCGCGTCATCTTGAAAACAACGAAGGCCCAAAATTACGTTAGGTTCACTCTAATCTGCCACATTTTCTACCTTCTGGCCCAGATCGTGTCCACTATCAAGCATTCAATGACAGTAGCAGATACCGTCGAAGCGGTAGTTTTGGTTAATGTATGTTTGGTTTGTTTCTGCTGCAGATTTGAATTTACCGCGGATCCACTTACAGGTCAACTTCTCGACTATTTTATCCATTGGCCAGGTAATTACATGAAGGTATTCATTACAAGTTGACAAATTCGTTCCACAGCATAATTTTGAAAAATTTTTGACGAACTATGTATGTATGTACATAAGTACTAGCCCTGGAGATGGGCAAGTTGGTAAATGATTTTTCAGGCCAAATTTTTTTGCGAACTTGATAACTTCATGCGAGCTCATATTGAATACCCTTATTATTTCCTTGTAAATGTGATAATTTTTTTAATGCACTAATTTACATATTTATGTACGTACAGAAATGCAGAAACGACCCGGTCAAAAAATGGACATCAGTGTAATTTGTGTCCGATACATTCTAAGCTCGACGCAAGTATTCATTGTTCTCTGGGCAACCTTAACCGCTACCTTAAATATAATTCTTCCCTGTAAACCACCCTGTATCTCGTCCCATTTTTGCCAGAACGGAATGCCATTCATTAAACTGCAGAGTCGTCTCGTATTTTTCGCTGTCGATTACATCAATTGCATTTGGTACCTTCTCGGTGGTACGTATTACGGTGGGATCATCCTCTGTTGCTGCATTTCCTATCAATTCGTGAGATACAAGGACTTGACAAAAATTTCAGGCAAAAGTTCTCTTAAAATTGGGGCATATCGAGAACTGCAAATTGAGAATAAGATCATAAATTCCGTGATAAGAGGCAGGATCTTTTTGGCATTTGCTTATCTGGAACCTTTAGCGGAAATATTATTCGCACTTGTTGTCATGATTTTCTACCATTCTAATGGACACATTCTTAGATTAGTCGCATTTTTGGTCGGGTATCCAACCGTGATCTTGGTATGCTTGATGATTTTTACGATTGCTGGGAAATTGAATAAGGATAGCATAAATTGGGTGGAAAGGTGCACAGCAAGGTCACCCTGGGAGAGGAGGGTCGTTCAATCGCTGGCGCCCCTGAGGGTAGAATTTGGCAATAATTTTGTCGAAAGTCTCACTCCACTCATCGTGCAGGAATTTTGCATTCGCCAGGTGGCATCTACACTTATTTTGATGAGGTAATTCTCAGGCGACATTAAGAAAGTCCTGATAACAAACGCAAGATCTCCGTAGGAATACATATGTATCAATCAGGCATTGATGCTGTATAATAGTAAATCAATGAGGGTATTCGTTATTTCTTCGTATCCGTAGTATCGTAAAATAGTTTACGAAGATAAAACAAGGGGTCAGCTTTCGTAAAAATCGTAAGCGTAGTAACGCGATTTTCGATGAGAAAATCTTACGACGCTTACAAAATCTCGTAAGCGTCGTAAGTTATTTTACGATACGAAGAATACTAAGGATACGAAGAAATAATGAATACCCTCATTGTATTTATAAGCATGCAGCGCCTTCTTATGTACATGTTGTAGGCAACAACAAATTTACGAGAAATTATTCAAGCACAACTTCTTACATAAATCTATATATCTGAAATTTAAAATCTAAAAGTTATGCAAACTTTATTATTTTCAAACTCTAAATGTTCCATTAATACTTTTAATACGCTACGGTTAAAACCCATCATATCAGAGTATACATATGTATGTACCTATGTTAGTTTGATTATATATTAAAAACTCACGATTAGAGTGAGAACAAATTTCAATTAATTTTTCACCATCTCATGAAAACTATATCTATTTATGTACAATTTAAGTCCTCAATGATTAATTAATGCGAATTTGTATTAAGTATTGACATAATTACATACATATTTCAACGTGCACTCTAAATATGTAAGTGTATAGAAAAGTTTAAGCCACTTCAAAGCTACTTCTGATCGAATCTTTCAGTCAATTTGAATTTCAGAAAAGTGTTTATTCTTACTCCTCGATGTATTACATTGGATTGACATTGTTTCAACAAATTGTTCAGTGTATGTACGTAATTGCAAATTCTAATAAATAATTAAAACGTTTTTAATATTTACCACGACTCGTTCTACGTAATTCAATTAACAACTCTGCAATACTCTTGCGTTTGTCAAGGTCAACAAAGACAGTGATCGAATTTGATGGTAATTATGCTCAACTTTGGGGCCGAATAAAATGCTATCGTAATTGCGCCGGTTTTTGGAGCCTATTTTTATTTAATTGCAAATGTGTTGAAGAGTGGGAAGAGACAAAAATTAAAAAACCGGCGCAATTACGATACCATGATTTTTGACCACAACCGCACATACTTTTGCATGCATTTCTCATATTCAATATTTTTTTTACTGATTTCATGTACGTTTTGTTGCTAATGGCTGCATATATTTGTGTTGAGTTTTTACTTTGCAAAAAAAACAGAGTTAAAAACATCATTCTTGTGCACATCGCCTTACCGCATCACATCACGAAGTGCTTCAAAATGCCCAATATAAAGTGTTTCATGAAAAATTGTAATAGTCACATTACCACCACTCAGAAAAGGAGTCGATTAGGGCAAAATTCTTTGTGGCCACTTTATCAGAATTACGTGGATGGAAAGTCAAACGACAGTGATAAAAATGAGGTCATTTGCCAAGGATGCTACATGAAGGTAAGTTTCTATTCGTATAAATTGGCATTTATTTAATAAGTAATTATCATTTTAGATTCGAGGTCAACTAAAAGCTCCTGGTTTAAAGAATTTCGTCCGGAGAACACCAATTACTCCAATTCTCACACCAACTTTTCTTGAGCAGACGAGGGCAAAACGAAGGGCAAATCTGACCACAGAAGACGAAAACGCGGAGGAAGATGGTGCTCGTGACGGTGATGAAGATGAATCTCGTCGAGGAGATGAAGGCGAATCTTGTTGCGGTGAGGAAGACACTACTCGCGGCGCTAAAGAAAATAATTCTCCTGGCGGTGAGGAGGAAGATCATCGTGGCGGTGAAGAGGATTTTCTTGGTGGTGACGACGACTATTCTCTCGGCGGCGACGACGATGCTCAACAAGACATCGACCGGTTTGAGTATGGACTATTAGACATGGAGTTAGACGACTTCCGGTTAAATAGTGAGGGCACTTCGTTCACTCAACACGAATACAATAACAATACTAATAACAATAACCTTCTCATCTACCAGGTGGACAAGATGACTTCTCAATGCCTATTTCAATAAGTAGCAGAAGTGAAGTCGAGTCAGAATGGAGCACTCAGGGAACAACGATCACGATGACCACTGCAGGAACACAGTCTCAAGTGTCAATCCTGTCTTCTCTTGCCCGAGACTCTCAAGTATCAACGTCCAGCTCTAAATCAAGTAAATCACGGCGTCTACCAAAGATCGACTCTGTTGAATCTACGCAGAAACGGTGTTTCATATGTCATGACCCCAACGGCAGAAAAAGAATTCCAAAGTGCGCAATTACTCAAGTTTGGACAGACAAGGAAATCTATATCCCCCACGACAATCGTTGCTGCGCTGTGCACCTTGAGAGACAACTTTTCACAGATGAGGCGATGGAATTGATCATTCCAACTAAACATGGTGTCTTAATGTCGGATGAAGAGCTAGCACGGTGGATTCTGGATCTTACCAGCAACAAAAACAGGATAGGTGCCAGAAGACGTCATTACAACTTTGACGATCAAACTGATGTGCAGAAAGACGACTACCAAAACCTTGTCGGATTCTCAAAAATCCAATTCAACTCGCTGCTGACAGAAATATCAGATCATGTACACAACAGTGTCAACAGAAATGTCCGAAATGCGTTGGCCATCTTCCTTATGCTGCTTCGACACAATTTGTCTCAGGTATTAATATATAACATTCATTCTTACCGCAATATTCACTAGAATTAGTACTAAATGTTGATATACCCTTGTATGCAGAAAGTCCTGAGCAGTCTTTTTGGAATTCCCAATCAGTCATGTGTGAGTGAGACCATTGAAGCAGTTGCAACAGCTCTGGACAACCATTTCGTTAAGAAGTACCTGGGATTTGAACACTTATCTCGTGAAGCAGCACTTCGTGACCACTCGCGACCAATATATTCTAAATTATTCAAAGAAGAGGACCCCACCAAGCTGTTTCTCATCATGGATGGAACCTACATTTACATTGAGAAACCAGCCGATTTTCAACTACAGAAACTCACTTATTCTGGCCAGAAGAAGCGCAACTTGATTAAACCATTCATGATAGTTCTTCCGTCGGGGTATATCTTGACTGCGTGTGGTCCTTATTATGCTAATGGTAAGTGTATTTTAGTAGCAAATCAAAAAAATAGAACAAAACGCATAATCTATTTCAAGTTACATATTTGCCAAATAATCCGAAATTATTAATTGCAGGTGCTAATAATGATGCTGGGATCCTAAAGTCCATCCTGTCAGAGCTGCCACCTGATTCTCCGTACTTGAAACCCGGTGATCACCACATTCTGGACAGGGGATTCAGAGACGTGATTCAGACTCTGCTTCGCCTTGGACACCTGACACATATGCCGGAGCTACTAGACACCGATGACAAACAATTCACCACCTCGCAAGGAAATGAGTCAAGACGGGTCACGTTGGTTAGGTGGTTAGTGGAGGCAGTAAATGGAAGAATCAAGAAAAAGTTCAAATTATTTCGAGAGACAGTTCCAGGAGGTAAGTATACGTATAATTCATATGTACTTATGTCAATATGATGGAATGATGATGCAAGTTTTAAAGTTATTACACTGTGCGATTAATTACAGGATACCTTGAGAAGCTGCCCATGTTGTTCAGAATTGGCTGCGCCCTCATTAATTGTTTCTACCCTCCTCTGTCCACCCACTCGCCCAAACATGATAAAATAGCCGAAAGAGCACTGGAACTCGTCGACCAGGAGAATGCTCTACAAAAACGAGTGGAGGACGAAAAAATGGATCGCCGGACCAAGCAGTGGAAGACAGCCTCGTTGGAAGAATTTAAAAAATTTCCCAAGCTTTCTGTTGAAGACTTAGAAGACATTACACTTGGAGTCTATCAAATTGGATTAGCCAAGCGTTATGCTCATTTGCACATGTCCAACTCTGAAAAGTTTGAAATTAAACTGAATTCCGAGTTTACCAACATTGTCCGAGCCAAGATAGAATCAAGATTTACAGCAAATAAAGCCCACGACCTATGGATCGAATATTCTTTAGAAGTTCAAGGTGCTGACGCCATAAAAGGTTTTTACTGCAAATGTAAACAAGGCGCTCGGACTATGGGTTGCTGTGCACATATTTGCACGGTAAGCTAAAACTATTCTATATAAAAAAACTCAACTTTATAAAATATAAATAAATGCTATTTTTTATTGTATTATTAAAGGTGTTGTGGTATTTGGGTTATCAAAGGTACCAAAACCCAACAATACTTAAAGTTCGGAAAAGAAAACTGGAAATTATCAATGCTGGAGAATCTTAATGGGAGGAGGATTACGATTAAGACAGTCAGGTTATGCATATACATTTCTTCACATCTGGTAATGATTCACAATTTTAGAACATTTACAAAGTACGGAATAATTTGGGAAGGCACATGGGTACTACGATTGATTTCGTAGTTAGCAATCCCAACCGTACTTGTAAATGCATGCTAGGCGATTAAAATTAATATTAATATTGCATATTATTTTTTCAGGTTTCAAGGTTCAACAGTTACAATGTTCCTGTGATTTATGCATTTTCGTGAATATATGTATACCAGTTACTTTGTTATATGTACAAATTATATTGTATAAAATTATAAACACGATGTTAAAAATTCCAAAAATAGTTACAAATTAAATTAACATCGACTTTGTCCAGTATCTCACTTCCAATAGCTGCAAATATGTACTTATTACTCTCTCACCTAATATTCCCGACTTGCATATTTTGTTACCACACAACCAAAAAAAATAATTAATATCTTATCGAATGGGGGGCCCATCATTTTTCATGGTAATCAATGAAAAGTAATTTAAAGGGGCCCACGGTTGCCATCAAGTTCGATCACTGTCTTTCAGTTCAGACATACATACGTTCATAGGTATGTCCAGAGGAAACATGTTTCGTACATAGTTTTCGAGATATGGTTATTGTAAGGAGCATTATAATTTTGACTTGAAGCCCCAGTAATGATTTTAAATACCTGCATTGATTACTAATCTTCTAAATGTGCATCATACACACCGTCATTTCCTTGATCGACAACTTTAACTTCTGTTTCCACAAATTTCTCTAACTTTTTAAAAAGTTTACAAATTCCATCCCTCCAATCTTTCCTCTCTCTACGAGAAACGTATGGATTCACAAGCTCCAGTTGGATCACTGACCTGTTACAATAATCTGCCGATTCTGCCCCCCGTGGTATAAACATGTGCCCGATGGCCACTAATTTGCCTCACCCACAAAGGTCACCTTGACTTTTAGTTGCTTTAAATTGGGGAAATGTTGAGAAACATCAATCTTTGTAAATTTCCATCTGTCCACTTCGCCAATCTCTACTTTTCCCATGATGAATTCCACCTCTAACTTGGTGAGACTTCCTATCCTTGGAAGATACAACCCGACAAATTTTTTCTCCCGAAGCAGATTAATTGGAAGGCTGAACGCCTTGAGATACGTGAAGTGGAAGTCTATAAGAGCGGCGATTTTATCTCTGGTTACCTCTGTCCAGCGGAAAGTGTCGTAAAATCCTAACCTTCGGATCCTTCTGGGTCCCCAATTGTCCACAATCGACGCCATACATACTTGCGTACACAAGTCTTATGTTTGTTAGAGATATCACAGGTTGTGGAAAACAAATCAACGCATGAGGATGATGTCTGAAAAGAAAAAAAAACAAAAAGGTTAACATGTAGCTGCACTTTGTAGCTACACTTTGTAGCTGCGTACATATAAAGTCGAATATGATAAACAAGTCTATAAACTTGTTTATCACTGGTTTTTTGCACTGGCATCGAAATTTGACGTTATAACGTCAAATTTCGATGCCAGTGCAAAAAGCCGTCAAATTTTTAAACCAGTAGTGCACTTTCTGACCATTAAAAATCCTATGCTGGGATATGCTATTAGACATTAACTTAGAACTCATCTTCAGAAATATCGCAACAGTTCCAAACCCAAACCATAATAAAATCAACTATCTACATGCATTATATGCAACTTTGTAAATATGTACCATCGTCCATATAACGGTTCAATTTTAACATCAGATTCATTCACAGTTGATCCATATGTTTGGTGGCTGATTAATTTTTCAACAAAAAAAGCATTTTACCGAGTTATGCAGGCAATAATACTTGTCCTCAATGTGTAGAGTAGCGGAAAATATTGCATGTTCATGTATGTATGTATAATACACATGTAGATACATATTTTACCTGTTAGCCTCCTTTGACTCCCATCCTGCCTTCGTACCGAGAATGGTGGCAATTCGATTGTTTCCAGAGCTGGAAAAAAATTCCTACTCAGCAGAAAGTGTTCCACAATGTCAGTCGTTTCCCAGGGAAAGTCAGATTTATAATGAAGTATTAACTTTCGCAATTTTTTCAAGGCGATTCCGTCAGAATTCAAATTTCTGTCGTTGTCTTTTTTATTCAAATGGAGGCGCAGTTCTTCCAGTTTGGTTAATTTCTTGAGGATAAATGCGAACTGGGCTAGCTCGAAGCGAGTCCTATAGTTAACGAAGGCATCCAACGATTTCATTTGGGGGCCAAAGTTGGTGAAAAATCGTTTCACAAGGTTACTCTGAGATAGGTTGAGATTCGCGGAGAATCTGAACGCCACGTGGACATTGTCTGACTGAGGTTGAGATGCGAAATAGGTCAAATATTCTGTAAGGGATGCCCCATCTTGGATGGAGACCACCCTTTTGAAATTATTGAATTGGATGAGACAAGTCGAGTACCAGACGCGGTTAAGGGCGAGGCAGGTCTGAGCATCGTGGTAGCCAAGGTGACCATAAATCGTGGAGATTATCTGTTTTTGGGATCATATTAAAATATATTCTTTTAAACTTATGCATAATCGCGTTTTTGTATTAGTTTATTAGAGGAGTGTAGAAAGTAATTTTGGACAAAAAAAATTTTGGCTTTATACCTTATTCCAAAAATTTTGAGAAAATTTTAACGTAATAGAAAAAGTGAACAAGTATGTACCACTTGCAATATTAATGCACAAATACCCAATTATTTAATGAACTTACAAGATCATTGGAGAAAACTTTGTCGCTTAGTTGGTCCGCAGCAGAGAGTGAATTTCCAGTCCTATGATTCGCCATATTTCAAAAACTCTGTAAATAGTCGATTAAATTACTTGTTAATTTTATGTACACTAAGTATGTATGTAATTTATAGCACAGAATTTTCTTAGTCCGGACTTGTCACAAGTGCTTTAAATATGTGTAGTAAGAATTTGCAAATCGAAACAATGTTGAGAGATTTGCAGTGTTGGCTCGGCGAAAATTTCAGACGAAATTGAGGAAAATGTACATACTGCACACCGATGCACATACATATGTATGCATACAAAACAAGCCGACACAACGAGAATAACTTTTACCAATTTAATATAGAAGGAATAAATGTCATTCTTATTATGTACGTCTGCCGCATTTATGCGACAGACGGGTTTAAACGTCGTTGAAAAGTAATTGGTTTAAATTGGAAATGCGAATACATGAAGTTTATTTATGTATGTATGAGGTTTATTTGTCGAGCACCTGAATATTTACATTTTAATACGCATGGTCACAATAATAAAGACTGTAGAATATTTCATCATACTTAAATGTTTATGAGATATCTATGTACATCATAATTCAATTTCTTTCATTTTAAGCTCTATCATTGCCCCATGTTCCTCTTTACCCCCCACATATCCCTCTACTCGTGCCCCTCTAATAATCCAGTACATCGCCCCAAAAGATATCCAACATATCAACAGACTCCCATAATTTGTATACATCAAGACGTACGGATTTTGCTCAATCCACGTCCCAATAATTACTGGATATATGGCAGAAATTAGCCCACTGCTTGAAATTATAACTGCCCCGATCACATCCGTCACGTGTAAATGTTTCTCCAAAAATCCATAAAAACATGGAAACACGGCGGAAAATCCCACCCCGAGGAGGACCGCGCCACTCCATAAGATTTCTAGTGAAGTACCCCCCACAAAATGTAAGGCTATATTTCCCACCAGGATTACCACAAAATTCCCCACGATAATAATTTCTGGTCGAATCTTGAGTACTAGAAATATCCCGACGGCGCGTCCCGACATAAACGCGGCGGAGAGTCCGGTCAGAATTTTGGCTCCATCGGATGGCGCAAGTTTCAGGGGGATGAAGTGCGTGAAAGTGGGGAGGAATTGTACCGTGGTGATCTCCATTCCTACGTATGTCCCCACAATCAGGCAGGCTAACATGATCAATTGTATCTTGTAGGAAGTATTTGGACTCTTTTTTTCAATGTGGTTTGGTGGATTGGTCTGAAATTTGCATAGATACTTTTACACATTAGAAATTTTAGTCGGGCATAATGAGAGTTTTTGGGTCTATGATTCATTTCGAGAGCACAAAATAATTTTGAACAATTTCCCAAAGTAAATACATACTAGCACTAGAGATGCACAAGTTCGCAAATAAATTTTCAGGCTATACTTTTTTGTGACCTTTATTTTTTGCAAAGTTTTTTTTGCGAACTTTGCTGACGCGAACTCGTAATGAATACCCCCAACAGTACTACATACCGTTGTAATCTTTGGGCATTAATTATGTTAGCAGAAAAGTTAACATATTACCTGATTTCCAATCCTACAAGGACCAAAATTTCTTAGACAAGTCACTCCCAAGATGGCTACACCTCCGAGAATACAGCTGCTTCCAACAATCAAGAACGGGATCCAAATCTCGGACGTCCCAGGGTCCATGTTATCATTCGTGGTCGAATTAGTAAAATCAGTCAATGTCTGATCGACCTCCCTTTTTGCGAGAAATGGCCTGATTATCAACGGGGATACAAAAGTACCCAGTGCGAAGCTAAAGTGTTGAACTTGAATGTACGGCGCAGCTTCGCCCGACCAAAGATCAATCAGCCACACGATATGGGCCGTGTCGAACCCGCCCGACGAAAATCCTACAATGACCGCTATGCCGAAATACACCACGAGAGATGGCGCCAGGGGATAGCTCGCAATTCCAACCCCCATGATGGCAAGGAATAATCCACACAGGACGGAACGAGACAGGTAGCGAAAAATTATGCCGGCTAAAAAAACAAAAAAATAAATACATGTAGCGTACTCACGTCAACCTTCGCATATCTGGCAAGTTGAACATAGCAACATAACTTGCGAAGGTTGTTAAATTTTGTGAGACACCGCAAAATTTTTGTTGGAAAACTATTTAATTTGTTTCGCAAATTTACTTACACAGTAGGACCCCGACAATAAATGCAACGCTCAGAATGGAAAACACTTTCGACACAGAGGCCACATTTGTTTCGAACTTTTCACTAAATTGTAAGAGCGTAGTTCCGAGAAAACTGGCACTCAAACCCTATAAATCCAAGGATTAAAAGCCACATAAATACATGCCCATAATTTCATATTCTAGATAAAATATTTAAATTAGCTGATTTTCTTACCATTGCGAATGAGCCGTACCATATAACAACGGAAGTTAAAAGTTTCATGGGGCGATTGACATTTGGCGTCGATCCCTTGGCTTCATTGGAAACTTCCATTTGAACCAAATACCTGTCAAAATGTCACATGTTGGTCAAAGTGGTAAAATTGAATACGTTAAAATATTAATTTAAACGAATTTGCTGAAAGCCTTCCAAGGATTCTTCTTATTTTGATTAGGTTCGAATTGATCATGTATTAATCCTATGTACATAAGTATAAATTCGGGAGAATTTCTGTACGCACACTTACCACAAATATTGAGCCTTTATGCACGTAAGCAATAACGATTGAGAAACATGTGACGATAAATTTTCAGTATTTTCATTTGCAGACAAGGTTACCGAGTGTATATACATATGTGCATATGTATACTTATGTACATGTACATTTATACATACAGTGATTCATAGATCACTATAAACTGTAAGATGTGTTCATACATACGCAAAGAGTAATGCCAGTCTTCATGCTAAAAAGTGTAGTTGTGATAAGTATAGGAAATTATAGGATAAGGTTGATGGATGAAAAATTCCGTATGTATAAAGTATTTAAGTACAAACAAATAAACATGCTCCTACATATACACACAATATGAATACACAAATTTTATTTTAAATAATAAGTATGTACAAATCCTTACTGACAGTCATAGAATTAAGGACCTAATAAACATATGTCAGATATGATTGAAATATGACTTTTTCCATTTATTGACCTACAGGCTGTAGGCTACAGCCTCAACCTTTCCGAGAATGTTAACGGTCACGAGTAGCCCACGTAAGGTCAAAGCATATTTTCTCATATTGGTCATATTTTCCGGTTTTGGGACATATTCATATTCTCGATCATATTCCGGGTTTTTTCGTTCACTTTCTCCCCAATTTGAAAAAGTATGTATGATATTTATAGTGTAACATTACTTATGTACATACAAGTGGTTTGTGGATTATTTAAAAAATTATAAAATAACATTAACATGCATAACACAACTTTTTGTCACTTTTGACTGAGGACGAATCGTAAAAAAAATTAATTAAATAATTGATGTAATCTCCTGCCCACCGTATTCTTATTAAATTTGGTCAGTGCCACTACAAATATATGGCTGAATTAATTATGTAAATGATATTGTCAATATAACATTTTTGCCATTTTTGCTCTATGATTGTATTTAAATATAATAGCTAAAAAATTATTGGGTGCCTACTAACTACGCGTGCGATACTGCGTACATCGATAACTCTTATCTTATCAACCGAAAGAAGAGAAAGTGTGACATAACTAAATACAAAAAGTGCATAAAATGCATTATCTCAAGTTTGGCATGTTTAAATTTCATAATAAATTCACTGTAAACTAAACAATTATCAAGTGTTGCTCTCACAAGAAATCCGTGCAATCAAGCATCCTCATCTCACCCTGAACCAGTTACGTTGTAACACATTCTGATTGCTTCAAGTTTATCGAATCGAGTACGTAAGTGGATGCATTTTTATGCTTTCTCGTTGTATCATACTTTCCTATTCGCAGTTACATATGTATAATGCATAATAATTAGCCTAACCTTTGTAAAAATCAAATTCATTTCCTATAACCTGTTCCGTTTCTTTTATGTCATTACTTTCCTAAAAATCGGTCTAGCATCAATTACATTTTGATCATCATGATCGTCCTATTCATACTTTACGCTTGAGTGATGCATATTCATACGTAAAATACAAATAAATTTCAAAATTTGTTTACAAAATTAAAATGCAACTACATTGTTTCGTAAACAAAATAATTATTTCGATAGTTTTCATACTAACTTATACTGGGTTTCAACTTCCAATTGTCTTTGCATATCCGGAACCTGAGCCAGGATCAACTTACAAGAGCTTGGGTAACATTTATGTACTATACAGGAAAACCTTCATATTTAATTCTCTGTTTAAATATTTATGATTTTTTAAGGTCACTACAATACGGATCGCTACATAACCATTTCCGGTATTTCTGCGGGTGGTGCATTCTCCATGATGCTTTCCTTTATCCACTCGTCGTTCATAAAAGGGGCCGGAATATTTGCCGGCGCCCCCTTCCCCATTGCTTTAGTGGCGTTGGAAAAATTTTGGAATTTTGGAAATTTCTCCGCCATGACAACATGGACGGACCATCTTGCCCACAAGGGATGGATTGACGATCCGTATAAAAATATGAGGAACAATTTAGGAGCATTCATTTATCATGGCAGTGCGGATCAAATAGTGCCAAAATGTGAGATATGAAAATATATAAACTAAAAAATATGTGCCCTGAGAATTCTCTTTGATTCCAGTCTATTCTGAAATGAATTTACGACAATTTGAACACTACGGGGTTCCCAGGACAAAAAACATGATTTCAAAAGTACCTTCTGGACATTGCTATGTATGTATTTACATATGCGAAACGCTTTATTTTTCTGTGCGACTACCTTCTGTATACATAATTAAAATTGCATTTTATAATGTGTCAATAGCCAATTAATGCCACCGGAGGTTCTGAATTCGACTATCGCCTCTGCTCCATCGGTTTGTATAATGCCGTCTGTGCCTGTGGCTATGCTGGGATTTACGACATGTTTTCTTTCCTCTATCAAGATAAGTACATCGCTCCAACGTACGAACCAGGTACTTCGGGTCATCTCTTCAAATTCAATCAGGACGAATTTTTCGATTCCGGATCTGCAAAAAAGCACGGCTTTTATCCACACGGGTACGCTTATGTCCCGTTCCGTTGTCGACCGGAGACTGGGATTAAGTGTCGACTTCATTTCGCATTTCAAGGCTGCTCACAAAGTCTCCTAGATCTCTGGGTTTTCAAAAAGCCACCCAGCTTCATACTAGAAACGGGGTACTTGGAAGTTGCTGATGCAAATGATATCATCATGGTGTTCCCGTTGTCTTGGATCGACCCTAAAAATATGGGGTTAAATTTATTCGGCTGTTTTGACATCTATTCTCATACGGATCCGTTCAGGATTAAATTTGGTAACTAATTTTATTAATTTTAACTTTGACTAATTGAATGGAAAGACGTATCATGCTGGAACAAGCGTTGTTCTTTTGTAGCAACTCGATGGGGATATCAACCACTCGCAGTTAAGAGAATGTTTGAGAAGGTCGCATTTGGAAAGATATTCTCGAGGGATGAATTCCCTATTGCAGAGAGTGAAAAATTAGATTATAAAAACACAAAAACATTTGGAGAGAAGCTTACACTTCGATATGTAAAACAAGCTTTAATGGAAACCTTGCGAGCTGTGGGACAACTTGGAAATTAGGTTTTTAGTATTAAAAATTGGACAAGTAATAAATATAAAGTGTTATTTGTACAATTAAACATGTAGTTCCTCAATGTAATGTATGCACATAAATAAATAAAAGTTACGCATAGTAAATAGTAAAGTCACATATGGAATACACCTAATAAGCCATGCCATTTTTTAAGTATTTATTCATATCTACCTTAATTTCCTTTATTTTCTAGCTCAATCCCACCTCCTCCACTCAATTCCTCCTTACCACCAACATACCCATTCACTCCTTTATTACCCTCTTGTACACCGGAAACAATCCAATTCATCGCCCCAAAAGCTAACGAACATATTACCAAACTACCATAATTTGTATACATCAAAACATACGGATTACTCTCAATCCACGTTCCAATAATTACCGGATACAACCCAGAAATTAACCCACTGCTCGAAATTATAACCGCCCCCACAACATCCGTCACGTGTAAATGTTTCTCTAAAAATCCGTAGAAAGATGGAAACACGACGGAAAATCCGACCCCAAGAAGGACCGCACCACCCCACAGCATTTCATACGAAGTGCCCCCAATCACGTGGAGAACCACGTTTCCGGTCAGTATTACCACGAAATTCCCCACAATGATAAATTCGGGCCGAATCCTGAGCACTAAGAATACGCCGAGACCTCGTCCTATCATGAATGCGGCTGTTAGTCCGGTCAGAATACGTGCCCCGTCGGATGGCGCTAGTTTCAAGGGGATGAAATGCGTAAAAGTTGGGATGAATTGAATCGTGCAAATTTCCATTCCGCAATATGCTCCCAAAATTATGGAGGCAAGCACGATGAGTTTTATCTTGTGGGGAAAATGTTGTCCCGTCTTCGGATCGGGTAGTTGTGCGTCTTCCTGTAAATATTCACATCAAGCTTTTTACAAGTATTTCTCAAATTCCATGTCAACGCGATACTTCAAGGTCTCATAATTTCGAGCGTTTCGGGTACAAGTAACCACTTCCAAAAAACAAGAAAGTGGTTTCATGCAGCTATTTTGACCTGCAAGAAATGAAGAAACTATTTCCCAGCGCTATAGTACATAGGGTGCGTCGCTAGATGACTCTTATTTCTTGTGCCTTGCATTTCTTGCGTTCCTTACTTTGTAACCCAATAAACATAACGTAGCAAGAAACGAAACATTGAGTATTTTAAAAAAATACTTGACTATTCCCTGGAGTAACATTGCCGTTCGCAAAATCTTAATACCTGATTTCCGGGTATCGTACTCCCACGATTTTTGAGATAGGTCAAGATTAAGAGCGCCACACCCCCGAAAATACTACAGCTTCCACCAATCAGGAAAGGAATCCAAAGTTGGGATTTCATAGGCTCCAGTATTTCGTCCGTAGTCGAATTCGTCACTCCAGCCATGGTAATTTTTTCCTCTGCGAGATATGGCCTGATTATCATCGGCGACACAAAAGTGCCTAACGCGAAGCTAAAGTGTTGAACTTGAATGTACGGCGCCGCTTCGCCCGACCAGAGTTCGATCATCCACACGATTTGAGCCGTGTCGTAGCCTCCCGCCGAAAATCCCACGACGACCGCTATACCAAAAAAGACCAGCAGTGATGGCGATAACGGGTAACTCGCAATTCCAATTCCCATGAGGGCCAGGAACACACCGGACAAGACGGAACGGGACAGGTACCGAAATATTATACCAGCTGAAGTAACCAAAATTACATCAATAATTACTCAGAACTGAATCGTCCCATGGCATATTTTCTCCCGTTTATGAGTTGCGTGAAATTTAGGATGATTAAAATAGAGGATGACACAAAAAGTGGCTAAAATTTATTCAATTTTTGTATCATCCTCTATTTATTTTGCCAAAGTTTAAGCAAATTTTTGCATAAACTTTATCAACTTAGCTTGTATAAACTACTTACAAAGTAGTGCTCCAATTAGGAATGCAACCGTTAGCATGGAAAACACTTTCGACACCGTGGCCACATTTGTTTCAAATTTTTCACTAAATTCCAGTAGCGCTGCGCCAAGGAAGCTTATACTCACACCCTGCAAGTACGTACGAAAACATAAATTCATAAATATACTAAAATTCTGCATACGTGTGTCCAGTAAATTAAAATTTTGCCAATAGTTTGCATTGAATATATATGTATTCATGTTAATCGTCTTACTTACCATTGTAAATGTGCCGTACCAAATGACCAGGGAAGTTATCCATTTTATGGGACGTTTGAGATGGGACGCCATCCCCTCGTTAGATTCCATTTTGCAAAATTGGCACCAGCTTTCACATAATTTTTGCAAAAAAAACCTACTTAAACGTATATTTAGAAATACCCTATATTATGCAATATTTGCATGATTGAATAAGAGAAGACACTGATCGGAATCATCCTTCGCATCAGACTGATGCCATCAGTCAAGCAAAAATACGAGAGCCAACAGTCGTAGTATAAACATTGAATTGAATCACGTAACTTACATATTTACTTGTATAACATTTTACTCCAAAACAATGGAACAATAGGTGATAGGTAAGCAAATCAAGATATGAAGCATTTTCCTTCATTCAGTTTATAAATACACAATTATTTGTCGGACATATTCTGATACACGTGTATACATTTGTATGTATGTACATATGTAAATATTCACTGAAACATTTTGCGTAATCTTCATGTCCCTCGTAACCCACCAGCTCATAATAAGCCAGCAGCTTCACATATTACTTATATAGTACAAACATACTTATCATGCATCATGCATCCTACATCATGCATGCTGCGTAAAATTTATTTGACAGTACATAAATATGTACGTAAGAGGTATGCCAATTAGTTGTCATATTCTACAGGCAGGAACAACTCTACGATGGAGTCTTACTGTCTTCCATATTTGCATACACTCTAAATAAAATGTAAGCAAATTGCTACTGGGTGGTGTCTATATATGACCTCACCGGTTCGGTAGCGATTTGCTACAAAATTGTAGTAAATTTGCTACCATCTTGTAGCATTTCCTTATCCCGCTGTTACGGTTAGTCAAAATGTGGGAGCAAATTTACTACAATTCCGTAGCAAATCGCTACCAAACCGGTGAGGTCATATATAGACACCACCCAGTAGCAATTTGCTTACATTTTATTCTCAGTGTATTTATATATGTACACGTGCGTAATGGAATTGTGTGTAACTAACAATAAGTATCTGTATAACAATTGGAGAATGAAGACCGAAGAAGAGTAAATTATGACACATTTTAAGTAAAATAAAAATAAAAATAAAAAGTGTGAGAAAAATAGGTTTTTAGTATTAAAAATGAGACCAATTAACAGGGATGTGCGTCTAGGGGATAGAACTCGGGTAAAAATGTAGAAATTTGGAAAGGTGGTAGACCAAGTTTACTAAAAATTTACTATGCTAAAGTAGTGATCCTACCCGACAAATCACCATCTACCATAGTTTGCTCCACCCACTTTTTCGCTAGCACGCCCACTTTCTTCCTGACAAATCCCAATAACTTTTTGTCGCGCACCTTGCTTCCACATTCGGTATTTTTGATTCATTAGGATGTTAGCTTTTAAAATTTGTCCCAATTTTTTCAATGGGATGACATCAGGGATGATTTGGGGCATTTCCCTGCCGGAAAAAAATCGAAGATTTTTAACTTTTTAGCAATTTTGACGTATTGACAGCGAGTTACGTCCAGCCAAAATATAATTTCCTGTAGGGAATAATGCTTAATGACCATGGATTCCAAAATTCATTCGGCTCAGTTTTTTAGGTAGGTATTTTGGTCACTGGGGTCATTAATAATGGTCATTTCTTTTCTTGTAAATCCCAGAATCTCTTGGGAAACTTGCCTGTCCCTTTTAATTTCAAGTCATATAATACTTCCTGACCTTTGCCTTAATAGAAAATCGGCCATTTGACAGTTCGGCAAAATTCGAATCCAGCATTTCGAGCATTTCGAGCATATTTCTCGAAAAATACGATGCGTAATGTCCACCTTTAACTAGACTTAAAAAACTTCTAGACATAATTTAAAATAACGCATTATGTATGATTTTGTAAGTCAACATAAGTTTGTCTAAAAGTCCGACAAAAAATTGCATTTTAAAATTCGCACGTGGAGCCACACGGCGTTTTTTCGGCCAGTTCCATCCGCTGGACGCATATCCCTATTTGTACAATAGTTCCTCAATGTAATGTAAATACAGAAATAAATGATAAAGTTACGCATACATATGTATTTATTTGTGTAAGCCACATGGAGTATACTTTTTTTTAAATTAGCCATATAGATATATCGTTTTAAGTATTTATTCGTACCTTAATTTAATTTCCTTTATTTTCTAGCTCAATCCCACCTCCTCCACTCAATTCCTCCTTACCACCAACATACCCATTCACTCCTTTATTCCCCTCTCGTACACCGGAAACAATCCAATTCATCGCCCCAAAGGCTATTGAACAAATGATTAAACTACCATAATTCGTATACATCAAGATGTACGGATTCTGCTCAATCCACGTTCCAATTATTGCCGGATAAAGGCCAAAAATTAACCCACTGCTCGAAGTTATAACCGCCCCCACGACATTCGTCACGTGCAAATGTTTCTCTAAAAATCCGTAGAAAGATGGAAACACGACGGAAAATCCGACCCCGAGCAGGACCGCACCTCCCCACAACATTTCATACGAAGTACCACCAATCACGTTGAGAACCACGTTTCCCGTCAGTATTACTACGAAATTCCCAACAATGATAAATTCGGGCCGAATCCTGAGCACTAGAAATACGCCGAGACCCCGTCCTATCATGAATGCCGCCGTTAGTCCGGTCAGAATGCGGGCCCCGTCGGATGGCGCCAGTTTCAAGGGGATGAAATGCATGAAGGTTGGGATAAATTGAATCGTATAAACCTCCATTCCGCAATATGCTCCCAAAATTATGGAGGAAAGTACAATGAGTTTTATCTTGTGGGAAAAGCGTTGTCCCGTTTTCGGATCGGGTGGTTGTGCGTCTTCCTTTAAATAAAGGTTGCTAAAAATATGGCTCAAATTTCATATCAACGCGATACTGCAAGGTCTCAGAATTCCGGTGTTTCGGGTACAAGTAACCACTTTCTTGAAAGTGGTTACTTGTACCCGAATTGACTTCCAGCTATTTTGACCTGCAAAATATGCACGGCGCAAGAAACTACGCCAAGCAGCGCCATCTTCATATGGCGCATTATTCTTGCACTTGTTGTAGTTTCTTGCATTTCTTGCTCTGTTTTGCAAAAAAATGTAGCAAACCCACAAAAAGCGAAACACTGAGTATCTCTAAAAATACTTGGAGTAACATTGCCGATTTATTATCACATCATGTTCGCAAAATCTTAATACCTGATTTCCGGATATCGTACTCCCACGATTTTTAAGACACGTCAAAATTAAGAGCGCCACACCCCCGAAAATACTACAGCTTCCACCAATGAGGAAAGGAATCCAAAGTTGGGATTTTACCGGCTCCAGTATTTCGTCCGTGGTCGAATTCGTCACTCCAGCCATGATAACTTTTTCCTCTGCTAGATACGGCCTGATTATCATCGGCGATACAAAAGTGCCTAACGCGTAGCTAAAGTGTTGAACTTGAATGTACGGTGCCGCTTCGCCCGACCAGAGTTCGATTATCCACACGATTTGGGCCGTGTCGTAGCCTCCCGCCGAAAATCCCGCGACGACCGCTATACCAAAAAAGACCGGCAGTGATGGCGCTAACGGATAACTCGCAATTCCAATTCCCATGAGGATCAGGAAAACGCCAGACAACACGGAACGGGATAGATACCGGTAAATTATACCAGCTAAAATATCAAACATTACATAAATAATCACTCAGAACGGGCCTGTCCCATAGCATATTCCGCTTATGTAGACTCTAAATAAGGTGTAAAATTTAGTCAAGGTTGATTAAAATTTAAAATAGAGGATACCACAAAAAGGGGATTAATTTGGTAAAATTTACTCAATTTTTTGTCATTTTCTATTTTACGCAACCGTAAGTAAATTGTGCGCAACTTTATTTACAGTGTAGTACATAAATATACAAAACTACTTACAAAGTAGTGCTCCAGTTAGAAATGCAATGGGCAGGATAGAAAACACTTTCGACACCGTGGTCACATTTGTTTCGAATTTTTTGCTAAATTCCAGTAGCCCCGCGCCAAGGAAACTTATACTCACACCCTGCAAGTATTTACAAATATATTGAGTGCATAAGCGTACTAAAATTACGTCCAGTAAATTACGATTTTGGCAATATTTTTCATCGAATATATATCACAGTGGTATTCATGTGTAGTCTTATTGCTTACCACTGTAAATGTGCCGTACCAAATGACCAGGGAAGTTACCAATTTCATGGGACGTTTAAGATGGGACGGCATCCCTTGAGCAGATTCCATTTTGCAAAAATGTGCACAAGCTTTTACATAATGTTTGCAACAAGCACTAATTAACTGTATATTTAGAAATATTCTGTATTACAACATTTGTACATACATACATATGATTGAATAACAGACTGATCGGAATCATCCTTCGCATCAGTCAAGCAAAAAATACTTGAGCCAGCAATTGTAGTATAAACAGGAAATCACCGTAACCCACATATTTACTTACATAAGATTTTACTCCAGAAACAATGGAACAATAGGTAAGCAAATAAAGCTATGAAGCATTTCCCTTCATTCAGTTTATAAATACACAATTATTTGTCGGACATATTCTGATACACGTGTATACATTTGTACACATCCTATCATAAATAAATTTAAAAAAATTAAACTAAGGCGAGAGGCGCTATTACAAACACGAAACAAGCCCTCCCACCAACACCCCCATCTCGCCGTGGCCCCATTAATATTTTTATATCTGGGAGGGGGTGTAACCATAGTTTTATTTTTTGTAATTCTTTCCTGCATCATACAACAATTTAAAAAACAATAATGGGGGATATATGCCAACATGGGTGCATGTCATTTTCATGATAATGTCATAAAATTGTCACACAAATGTCGGAAATCAAACTACGAAAGCTTAATTTAACTCGTTTACCAGAGCAGCTAGCTCAATTTAAAAATTTCTGAATGCAGATTTGGAATGTATTTAATTACATGATTGCCTACGTTAAAAGCTGGTTTTAAGAAGTAAATATTTCATTTTTTTGTACGGCTGTTGATGAACAGAGTCCGGGTATATATTTTCCAAACTTTTTGAACAATACCGATGGATTTGAAACTTTAGGATCTTGGTTCTGGTATCTTTAATCAAAAATCTTTAATAAAAAAAATGTTTTTATACATATTTTGTCGATTTGATTAAACATTTTACACAAATATTTCGCGGTTTTTAAGAATATATTTAACCGGATTCTATTGATTAATGCTAGACTACATGTTTAAATTGAAATTAATGTAAGAACTGCAGATAATAGGTTGTAAAAGTGCAATGAAATATAAAAGTGTAATATTTATCAATTTAAATGCAGTTTGCATTAGTAGTTAAAAGTTTAAATCATAAATTGCGGTTACACCCCCAAGATATAAAAATATTAATGGGGCCACGGCGAGACGGGGGTGTTGGTGGGAGGGCTTGTTTCGTGTTTGTAATAGCGCCTCTCGCCTTAGTTTTATTTTTTTAAATTTATTTATTTTAGGGTTTTTAAGTGAACAATTTTTTAACTCCGACATTAAAAGATTATACTTGATATAGCCCGAGTTAGGAAAAGGAAGTAATTATCACCCAATCGAATTTTTGAAGGAAATTTTATCATAAATGCATATCAACATTTTTAAAATAAAAACTAATGGTCCTAATTTAAATTAACATTCTTACATTAGTAGCGATTGGCAGCATATGTAGCAAATTGCGGTTCAATAACGTAACGATTAAAACAAATCAGTATGGGTCACCCAAGTAGCATAGTTGAAAATTTTTCCGATTTTAATTCAAATTGTTCCCTTACGAATCAATACAAATTTCTCTGCCAAATTTCTGCTAGGTTTAATGAATTGAATTTGAAAAATCAGAATGGGTCGCTTCACAGGGTCGCTCCAGATAAAAATGTTTTCAATCTCAATTCATATTTTTCTATTAGTTGCAACTAGCAATCCCCACACCAAATTTCGGCATGATTGGATGAGTTTGAAAAATCGGTGTGGGTGACCTCCTCGGGTCCTTCCAGATGAAAATTTTTACAATTTTACTTTATATTCTTTAATTTCATTATCAACCTCTGTACCAAATTTCAGCTCGATCGGATGATTTTGAAAATCGGTATGGGTGACCCCACATACCACCCTCCCGTTGAAAAATCTTACAATTTCATTTCATATTCTTTCCTTAGAACCCATTATCAAGCTCCATGTCAAATTTCTGCTTTCTAACACAGTTTTTAAATTTTGATGTAAGTATGTACGTCACCCCCACCACTTCAAATCTTGTTTGTACCAATATTTGAACTCGGTCGTTGTATTCTCCAGACACATATTTGTACCAAATTTTGGTCAAACGCTTGAGAAAGTTATCGAAAGACAGACGGACGTAACGATTATATAAGCCCTGTCTCGGGCCATCATTTACGCATACATATAAAGAATTTCTTTACTAAAGTTGCTATGGATGTAACTGAATATAAAAAATTTCCAACCTCCATAACTTCGTCATTTTGCATCCGATTTTCATGACTCTAAAGAATGATCTTAATAATTTATTAAGCTCTTTCGATTTTCCTTTGCCGATTTTTCACTTTCAGCCGAATATTTTGAGATACAGAAAAAAAGTCACTAAAACGAGAAATACGCCATGAAAGTGTGAACCGATCAAGCCAGAGATATACGCGCAATACTACAAAGAATTTACTACCCATCAGTCGAAACCGCATGTCTCTACGGCGTATGGTTCTCTCACAATCTTGTTGGACTGTTTTGAGGTGTCCACTTAACTGCATACTATGGCTTCGCCGTAACCATGCACGTATTTTTTTGGGTGCATGGTTACGTTTGGGTCTCGCCTTAGAAAAATTCAATGAGACATTTTGCGTAATATGCTTGTCTCTCGTAATCGATCAGCTCAGAAGCAGCTTCACTCTTTTATGTACCTATGTACATTCCACAAAATATGCATGTTTCGCAAAATTTATTTGACGGCACATATGGACATAAGTCAATTACTTCTCAAATTCTGCAGACAGGAACTTAACGATGGAGTCTTACATATTTGCATATGAACACGTGCGTAATTGAACTGTGTGTAAATGCAACAATTGGGGAATATGTATGTAAAACCCAGACGCGAAGTAGAGTAAAGTTTTTAGCCACATTTTAAATAAAATTGGGTAAAATTGTATATATACAATGCAATTGGTTAAATATGTGTAAAGTGTACACGTTGTGCAATGATTTCTAAATTTCACTTAAATAGATTCGGAAAATTTTCACCTAACCGATGTTTGATCATCTAAAAGCTTGCTCCATACTGAATCATCGTTAAAGCCTACATATGTAATGCATGCATTTATTGGGGGGAAAATATGCTTTCCATATATTTACCACCTAAATATTTAAAAAATACAACTCCTCCTTATTTATAACTGTACTCTTGTTTATGTATTTTGTATTTACATAAATGATTTTTTCATTTTTTCACGATTTCATAGATAATATCCTACCATGCATTAGAATTTCTTTGTATTAAGCGTGGAAATCAGAGGATCGCGCCTTGATATTTATTAATCAGTAGTATGTACATATTCCATTGATAATTACATAAGCCATTAACAGATACACACTTTCAGAAATATTCCATGCGAAAAAAAAACCGCTGAACTACTACATTTATAACTCGATAATTATTTTTTCGAGTACAAATTCCATATTCAGTAACTTTCACTAACGCTTATTCGCTCAGTTATGTTCCAAAAATAAATAAAAAAACGCCAAAAACATGACAACCACGTTCGACACAGGAAACACAAAACCCACAAACCTGTGCATGTACCTAGAAACCTTTTATGTACCCAATTTTTCCTGAATATGTACCTGAACTAGACAACATCTGTAATTTAATGTACTGTAATGCAAATATACTAATGTATGTACATAGATAAGTTGTACTGTTACGTAGTTCTGTATTTTTCATGAAATATTGATACAACTGGTTTACTTTTTTCAAAAGTAACAGGTTACCACTTTTGAAAAAAGTTGTTGCTCGCAACTTCCCACTACAAAAATTACATATGTAGTTTTTGCCTGATTTTCTTGCTCTTTCTCTCTCTCTCACAATTCTCCCCTCAAACTATTTCCACATAAATTACATTTAGAACAATGGAAAGAAGACGAGTCATCCAGCTATTTGCTGTCCTTGGCGTGGGCACCGTATACAGTTTATTAAACTACTGGGGTAACATGCGGCCTGACATTGGCCTGTTAGACATGGGAAATCTACCGTCTCAAATCTCTCCCACGGACGCTATCGTATTGCGATATTTACGCGAGCAGAAGTTGACACCTCCCGCCAAACGGGAGCAACCTTACCGTCTCGGAGGAGGAGAGAATAGCGCCGACATGGCGAACATACTCGCAGCCGTGGACCATAAGGTGTAGTTGGCTTGGTAGATCCGATCCGACAATATCTGATCTGTCGGATCGGATCGGATCGATTTTTTTACCCGGCCGTTTACTATAAATTGGATATAGTAATCGGTTGGATCGGACATTATCGGATTGCCAACCAACCCTGCATATGTATTTGCAGTAATTTTCAGCCATAATTTGAGTACCGTATAAATTTTAGCGGGGCGGATACTTCATCGAGTGCGGGGCGAATGATGGAGAATTTTTATCGACATCGCTCCCATTGGAGAGAGACTGGGGATGGAGCGGTCTCCTCCTCGAAGCGTCGCCATCCCTTTTTCAGAAACTTTTAACCAGAAATAGGAAATCTTGGGCGGCTAATGTCTGCCTCTCTGGGAGAGTAGAGCAGGTACATGAAAATTAAAATTGACATAGTATCGTATCATTTGAGTGGTAAATAAATATGTAAAAAAATCCAGAACGAGTTTAAAGTTTACAATAAAAGCGAAGAGAGCTGGATGTCAGGAATTGGCAAGATTGTTCCCGGGAAAAAGTACAAATATCCGGTAACCATTTTTAAATACGTCAGGGTTCTTAAGGCCGGTATTACAGTCAAATGTGTTTCCTAGAGGTTTCAAGGCCAGACCGTGTCCTTCAAGGGGTTCAGAACGGAAGGGAAAATCGACTGCTTTCCACTGGTCTCACTTCTTACCGCCCTCAACGTCACGACGGTCGATTTTTTCTCCTTGGACGTTGAAGGTCACGAAATGGAAGTACTGAAAACCATCCCGTTCGACCAAATTGACATCAAAGTTAGCACAATTGTTTATTTCCGTAAGGGTGGTGCATTTCAAATAAATTTTGTTCCCCCACCCCCACGATATTAAATTTTTACAATTATTAAGGTCTGTTCTGTTCTGTTCTGTTCAATCTTTTACGTCTGCGGTATATGATATGTGAGCCACATCGTTTCCAATACCAAGACAGGGATAGATACTGACATCAACAACTACAAGGAAAGGTATAGTTAGGGCTGGCATGTCAGGTTTACTAGGATAGGTACTGTAGAGGAAAGGGAGTAATTATTGAAATTGAAAATTGGGGTGGACGGTGAAACAGGATAGGATGTAAATAAGGAGATATTCAAACTATCTTAGGATTTGGCCAGACAATCCTATGCAGATTATCTGCCGGCATCGAACAGTAATTTGTATTTCCATACCAGTTCGTTCCACACTTTTTGCTGCATAATACAACTCAAGAGGAATCGAACTCTCGGCTTTTTGAGTCATGACACTGATGGTCAAGCCTCTAAGCCAAGACGGCAGGTCAGTACTTAGGTCCGTATATCGGGCGAGAAGTCAGAATTAAAAAAAAAATGTATGACATCCGTTATGCACAACTCTTCATTTAAAAAAAAAACGAAAAATTAAAAACTTGAAGTTAATTGCGCACTTATTATTCTGGTGATTGTTTATTAGGTTCTATTTGTGGAACATATACTCATCCCAGAAGGGAAAGAAGGACTTCGAGCCTTTTTGAAGGGAAAGGGCTACAATGTTGTCGTCGCCTCCAGTACAGACTTTTTGTTTAAAAAGGCGAGATGAGATAATTTAGGTTAACTTGTTGAAGTATCCTTTTTGTAATTTTTAAGTAGTATTTACATAGTTGAGGAACAAACAAAGTGACGATTACTGTGCTTCCTTATATTACTCTTTATCATTGGTTCTTCATATTTTATGTAGGTGGTATATATGGGAACAATGTAAATTAAAATGACAATTTTAATGTACGTTTATACGTGTTGTTCAATTTGTTGAACATACGGAATCAAAATTTCAAAATTACACGGTTCCAGTATGCAGGAAATTCGGTAAAAACATCCTCCTTTCGGATGTATGTAAGTGGTTTTGGTTTTCATTAAATTTAATTATTTCTAATTATTATTGCCATAAGGTAAACTACTATAAATCCTGACAACCTCGTAAAACTTTTAAGTGAAATTATGTAAATCCTGCTCCTGAAACTCAAAAAGTGGGACAGAGTTACAACAAATTCTATATACATTATACCCAAATTAGACTTAAATCGTCCATGCTGAGGCGTTGGAGACCTTAACTCAAAGCCAGAGGTTTGAAATAAAACCTTACATGGTTTTATTTCAAGTTATCTAGATTTGAATTGTATTTGTACATATGTACACGAAAACCAGAAACAATGTCAACGAAAAATGAGGATCTCAAAAATACTTATGTATATTTAATTATAGTTTCGCAATACATGCATACACACATCCATATTTTATTACCATGCCATCGGCTTAAAGGCAAAGACATATTTGCTTTACAAACTATGTATGTTATTTATCCTTACATAATCACACAGCAAACACAATTACCGCCGCAAATTAGCATTTTCCATCCTCACTTAGTCATTAACAAAACTCTAACTATCCCCCTCGAAACACCCCTAATAAATAAAACTACATTTAAAAAACAGCATTCGTCGGTGAGGGTGCGACTAAAAACTTTAAAACAAGAGCATTGAGGTAATTTTGAAATTTACTATTTACCAACTTTTACCTCACCGTGAGCATTATCTATATTATAAGCTGGAAATGTTTGTCTGCAACGGAAGTGAAAGTAATTTTCCGAAACGGAAGTGAAAGTGGAAAAGGTTAATCTTAATTTAATTACTTCCGGTGCGGACTGGTATTCAACGTGTGGAACTTATCGCCCGGCGGAAGAGGGCTTATACGCTAGTTTAAATACAAAATCAATTTGGGCCCACGGTGAGGCAAACGTTGGTAAATATTAAATTTTAAAATTACCTCAATGCTCTTGTTTTAAAGTTTTTAGTCGCACCCTCACCGAAGAATGCTGTTTTTTAAATGTAGTTTTATTTTCTGGTTTTTGGGTTGGAATTTTTTCGTTGGTCACCAATAGCAACCAACTAGGTGCAGTTATGAATAGTCTTTTAAGCAGCGTAAGTGGCTGCAGATACCACCATCAAAAGTTTCTCATTTTTCAACCGATTTTTCTCGAACGTATCTCAAATGATGCGTGATCAGTGCCCGGACACTAAAATCAGCTACTGGCATGATCATTGCATGGCAAAATTGAATTTGGGGTTCATTTTAAAGTTTCAAAGGTCCTAAACTTCTTTCAATATTAGACTTTCGTAACGAGAAAGATGAAAAGACACTAGATTTCGTAATTGTCTGATTTTTTTGTTTCAACAATTTTTCACTAAATTCAACCGTTCGAGCTGTAGCGTTGACAGAAGTTTTAGGACCCTGTCTTGAAAGCATACCATGGCTTCGCCGTAACCATGCGCTTTTCTGTCGTGAGGGTAGCCCTTGGTTACTTTCCTCACCTCAGAAAAATAAGATAGTCACCTTATTAACTTAAAGTGAGACTGGTCCCCTATTTGCAAACGTCTACAAGATCTCACAAACTTCTGCATATACATTTTATCTTCTTTGCTTAAATCCAATGTTTTCCACGATCTCAACGTTTTTAAGTTTTCGGCAAAGTAGTAGCCCCCAAAATATAGCATTGTTCCCCAAAAGATACCAAAAGCTACGATGTAGTAGGAAATAATCAAAATTGTATGGCCACTAATACGCGACCAATGCTGTATTATAAGGGCGGATGGAAATATTATCATTACATAAATCAACATGTGCATCGGCACTATCAACTTTCCATAGTATTCCATCTGCATGAAATGCACGATTTCAAAACTTCTATACTCATGCGTCAGATTTCCGAGATTAGACCAGGGTCGATTAATTACTCCACCAGCGCGCAGATCTTTCCACATTATCTGCATCGTAAATAACGCTGCCGTTAAAATGACTTGAAGGTGTAAGCAGAACAATATGTATGATTGGGTGGTTATCGTCCAATAGAAAAAACAAGTGAGAGCCTGGCTAAAAATGTGATACTTCCAGCGATACGGAACACAAGATAAGATATTCCTTGGCGAATCGGGGTGCGAAACTGCGTACATGGAATACATCAGGGGAGCGATAACCGACAAGAAGCACGGAACTAGAAGGAGTTTGTCTAGTAAGGATCCCACATTTTTTGTCGGCATGGGCCATTTACCTGTTAGTCGTTTCAGAATAAATTCGTTTCAGAGCTACATAAGGATTTTCACTGGTTAAAAATTTTGGAGTTTGCATTTTCATTTTATCTATTAAATTCATAAAACTGGTGACAATTCACACAGAAATACCATATAAGGAGTCCAAGGCGTAATTCACGTCCTTCTTCGTACTTACCATAGTAATTTCTCAGATAGCTGAGCAATTTGTTGACCAGGAAAGAGGTCTCATCGGATTGCAAGATCGTCAAAGTCATTACCAATAATACGAATATCATAAAACTCAGGAAGATTATGGCAATTATGACATCTTTCATTGCACACGACCTAGTACACGTCACTGCTTGCCGTATTAAGAAAATTGCGTGAAAAATAAACGTTCCCATTGTGCAAGAACATTTGAATGCAAGCCAACGCGACCAACTAACTCTGGTTTTCAGGCGGTCCTTACTCCAAGTAAGGGGTGCCACACCGAATAAAACCCCAAGGCGACAAACGTGACCAAATATTTGGATGTAAAAATCTGAAAATGGCTCGGTCGAAATTTTTCTTGTAGGTTGAAAAGACCTCAAGTATGACAATTTTCTAATTATGTTCCACATTCCAGCTGTAAATATGTAAAATTTGGTCGGATGCTTTTACATTTTCGTTGGACACAAAAATTAAACTCGTTGCCCATTGCACTATTGGCCAAATTATTAATTTTGGTTGGAATAAACTAAATTTTCGTTGGATGGTATAAAATTGACCCAAATATGTAAAGCTCGAGATTATGTTTGACTCGACATTGTAAATATGCAAGAAGGTAGTAAAGGATCAGTTTTCGAATACAAAAATAAAAGTTAAAACCAGAAATTTAGGACTACTCTTGGAACAGAGTGTCTGCAGTATCTAATTGTTAGTTTTGAGTTTTTACATATTGGAATAGTAAACTAGGATCAAATTAACGAGAAAAATGCAATTTAAGTTGGGTATCATTAAAACAAAGGTCAGTTATTACAAACATGCATAGTGCATAGGAAAATAATACATTTGCCTCAGCTACACCATTTAAGTGTTCGTAGCTAATATTGCTCAATTTACATACGTAAACGCTTGTTATTTGGGTATGTATTTGCTTCGAGATATGTACATAAGTAAAAGTATATGCATGGAAAATTATGAACTTATGCATAATATGCAGACATACATATTATGCATATGTATGTATGTACATAAATGTACATAAATGTACATACATATACAAGCTTGGAAAACAAGTCGTCATTAAGTAGATATAAATACGCTTAAGTTGGTTAGAGCAAATCTTATATGAACCCGATCACTAGGGCGTTTAATAGCAGAGTCCTCAAAAGTAAGGTTAGAAATCTGAAATTCTTGCAAAATATGCTAAGCATATCTGACCACGTCTCCCAAAAATTTCATAAGTTTTCATTGGAAAATAAATTTCCTACACCACTTCAAATTGAGGAAATCGGGAAACGGGTTTTTGCAAGTCCAAAAATTTGAGTGACAACGACTCGAAGTAGACTTGACTGCATTTCAACGGAGAAGGGGGTGGGCGTGAAAAAATTGAGACATACATAAAAAAGTATGCAGAATCCGAAAATGTCAACCTAAAATACGCGCCATGAGAAAAAACCACCATATAGGCCCTTCGAAAGTTAATAACGATTGAATCATTTTTTAAAAATTATTCATCCACGTCCGTGCCTGATGCCGCCATGAAGTCAAAGATTAATACAAACTATTTGTATCATATTAAAGCCCATAAATTGCGGGTCAAAGCGTATTCAAAGAAATCTCCAGCAAAACATACGGAACGTCAAGAAAAAATGGTAAACGCAAGACCTACCAAGCCGTGCAACAAAATGTCACCAAAATAATTGGTCACTGACGACGAGTCCTACGTCCTTAAAAACGTGACAGAAACTTCGGGAAGGGAATTTTTTCATGGGAAATATATCTCTCAACTGAAAACCGAACAGAAATTAAAATATTTTTCGAAATTTCTCAAAAAATCTCAGGTTTGGCTGGCGTTCGGTCAATTTGGGCATGTTTCGGACCCCACAGTTCATATGGGCGGTGAGGCGTCAAATTGACCCAGTCACATTGACCCACGACACATTGACCCGCTCATATTGACCCAACGACAGATTGACCCGATACCATATTGACCCAGCGACAGATTGACCCGGCACCATATTGACCCAGCGACAGATTGACCCAGCACCATATTGACCCAGCGACAGATTGACCCGGCACAATATTGACCCACGTCATATTGACCCCATGCTATACCTGGACATACTGTATTTTTCATACAAAAAAACTTAACTTTATTTCATATTTCATTTCTGGTCAAATATTCCAATCAAAAATTGAATTGTTCTAATAATTATTAGTCCTCCTTTTGTAAAATTCCTTAATCTATTAGTAACGAAATCATTTAACCAACGGTACTAGTATACTAGTACGGTAATAATACCTATTGTAATAGGTATTTGTATTAAGATTCTTAATTTAAGAAGAGAGAGTGCACATGCAATGAACATAAGCCCCTAAGTGTTTTGATGGTATGACCACATTTGCGCCCACCACACCCACTCAATGGGGGCAAATATTAAGAAAATATCATCAAACGGTTGACAAAAATTTTATTTTGTTCAGATTTTGAAGATG